AGTGTTGTTTATGTATTTGAATGGATGGAGTGAGAATGTAAATGTGCTTTTAAAATATTTTTCTCTGCCAACTAGATGTGCCTTTTTCTTTGTATTTTCTTTTTTAGGTCAAATGTACCAACAGTACCAGCAACAAGCTGGCTATGGTGCACAGCAGCCTCAGGCTCCGCCTCAGCAACCTCAGCAGTATGGTATTCAATATTCAGGTGAGCAGGTGTTGAAAAGGAGGTAGCTTACGGTTTTTGTTGTGTTTCTGTACTTCTAAATTTTAAGCTCTCCCCTTAAGTATCGGACTATGATACATTGCCCTAAATATTTAATTTATCAGGGGAGACATTTGTTTTATTTAAAATTTATGTGTAAATGTTTTATTGGAAGTATTAACATTTCTGTTTTCTTCTGGACAAGTAAGACTTATAGTAGATGATTCTGTAACAGCTTATAGTATAAAAAAAGCTTTTAGTACAAATCTATCTTTCTAACATGATCAGCTTATCTTTAGATGGCTTAAAACTGCGAAAACAAGATTCCACCCCATTTATATGTAACACATAATTCCAGTGTACTTTAATACTTGCAGAAATATTAACAGCTCTCTTTAACAGAAAAGTGATCTTATTAACTAGAAACTAAGTCAAGTTACTTAGCTGTTTATAAGCTCCTAAAAAAAAAAAATGTAGGGCTCCAAAAATTGACTGTAAAAATAACTTCAAATGTCACTTAGGCAACCAAGAACATTGTTTAGCTGTTTTAAATAAGCATCTAGGGTTTTTTTTGTTCTTGTTGTTGTACCTCTCTACTGAAGATTATCTGTATTTTTTCTATTTAGAGAAAAAACAAAACCAAAATGGGTAGAAATAATACAGAATTTCAAAAAAATAACACTAAGAAATCACTAGTTACATATTGTTATCCTACAAGTAGTTGTTCAAGTTACAAAATCAAAGCATAAAAAGTGGACAAACAATGGCAGTACAAACGATTCTGTTTGATAAACTAATAAAAGCTTAGTACTTTGGTTAACTGTATTTAAGGATGATAAATATCTTTAATGTAGCTTTGATTATACTTTAGGTAATTTTATATTTGCCAGAGAGTTCAACTCCAACTCTTGGTTTACAGCCAGAAATTTAAGAATAAAACTTTCAACACTAATTAAAAATAAATTATGAACTGAGTGTAGTGACAAATGCCTGTAATAGCAGCTATTTGGAAAGTGGAAACAGGAAGACTGAAGTTGGAGTCCATCCTGAACAGTTTAGTGAGACCCTGTCTTAACATGAAAATAAAAAGGGGCTGGGGTTGTAGTTCAGTGGTAGAGTGCTTGCCTAACATGTAGGAAGCTCTGGGGTCCGTTCCCAGTGTTGTCAAAAAGAAGATACAAATTAAATTTTGTTTAAACTATATTTTTCAAAGTTTTATATTATCAAATCAAGCAGCAGTAAGAAACTTCCCTTTTTGTAAATAAAATTTTAATAGAGTATTGGTAACCCTGTTCATTTCTGTATTTTTGATTGGTCTACGAAGCCTAAAATATTTACTATTTAAGTATTTGCATGAGATTAGATAGAGGATGTAAATAGGCCTTAAAAATACTGTTCTGTGCTAAATTAAACCTGCCTCTTTTCCATGTAAAAAGTGCCCTTTGTTGTATAAATTTGCTGACCCTTGACCTAGACCAAAAAATTCTTCATAAATTGGAATTTGATATATTTTAACACTAACAGTAGTTTTATTTGAAGTGAATTTGCTCTAGCATGATTTAATCTGTAACTAGTACTTTTTAATTGTATAAAACAGAAGAAACAATTAAGAGAAGTCATCATGTAAACTAGGTGATTATAGCCCACACTGTGCTTCTTGATGCCTATCCCCTATGCTCATAGATTTTGTTTGATTTTGGTTGGGGGTGGGATTTAGGCTTTGAAATAGTATTTTTAAAGCATCACATTCATCTGCAGCCAGGGTTGGTACTAATCGTTTTGTCTCATTTACTCATTTTATAAATGAGAAAAATAAGGTCATAGAATTTGTGACTTGTCATAGGACATATAAATGTTCAATGGGAGAGCTGGACTGAACCCTAGTTCTATAAATTTTGTAGTTTCCTGTTTTATTATGCATTGTCCAATTTAGACCAAAAGTTAGTAGACTTTTTTTTTTTTTTTTTGGTCTACTTTTTCCATAAAAGTCTAGATAATAAATGTTTTTTAGACTTTTTAAGCTGTATGATCTTTCTCTTATTCATTGATTTAAAAAATCAGAATTTCTGGTTCTCGGAATTTCTGATATTTTTTACCAAAAGATACTTATTTCTTTGCAGGGGCAGGAATGGAAGTGGAAGACTGATACAAATAATAAAAAGCATTGCCACATTATAATCAAAAGATTAGGAGGTTGTTAATGAAATGTTTCTTGAGCTCTTAGGCTTAGTCCCTCTCTGAATAGGAACTAAGGATCTGGTTGCTTCCTGACTCAGGTTAGATTTATTTGCCTGAATGAAAAGGCAGCTCTTTAAATTTCTCCCTCAGTCTTAAATGAGGTAGACATTTTCAGCATAAAGCTGAATTTTTGTGTTTTGCTAAAAAATGACGTTCTATATATAGAGGATAGGAGGAAATGTATGGCATTCAAGATTTTATCATGAATTTATTTTAGTTACATATTTAGATGCTGCCATGAATAAATGCTTTAGATACTTCATTTTCTTATTAACAACTAAGCTTGCTATTAATAATAATTTTAGGGTGTTCACTCAGTAAGATTTAGTTATTTTGAAATTATCTTTGTATTTCTGATCTCAGTAGTCCTATTAATTTGAATTTGGTTGAGAGTTATGGAAGTAAATTGGACCATTTTGACACTGTTGGTTTGCCAATTTCCCTCTGACCTTTTACAGTTTTGTTCATGGACTATATCATAAAGGTTTATTTCATGAGTAAATTTTGAACCCAGGTTCAAGGTGAGTTCAGAATATACTCAAATTCATTCAATCCTTTTTTTTAAATGCAGGGTTGTACATATTTTAATAATTTTCTTATGTATCTGGTATTTAATGCTGACAGGATTCCAGTCATTGGAGAGGTTTCATTGCAAGTAGCTGCAGGTGTGTTTCATGGTAGAGATAAAAAGTTTTCAGTGAAGCAGACTTTGTTTTAAAAAAATTATGTCCTTGTAAATAAATGAATGTGGATGTTGATTTTTGTTGGACAATACAATATGCTTTTTGTATGTTGTGCTGTACTGCTAAGTTAAAATTTTAGTTGTACAAAGAATCAGGTGCCATATAAAAAAGAAATGAATAATTTTAAGGGTTGTAGAAATGGTGCACAGTGTTCTTAACTAGTGTAATAACTGAGTGAATAAAATCTTAAAGCATTTCAGTGTAATAAGGTGTATTTGTAGTATTGTTTCATTTAAAAATATTCATTCTGTACAGTATGTTTTTCTTTTGTACTTTTATAAATAGGCCTCCCATGAAAACCATTTAGTTTTCTTGGTCTTCCTAAAAAATGTAGTAATGCCTTCTTTTATTATTCAATCATCTTTACACTAGCAATTGTATTGGAACAGGAATTTGCTCTTCAGGGCCATAACGTCTCAAAGTAGTTATAATAAATACATATATACTGAATTCATTTTAACATTAGGGGATTTAAAAATTGTCTAGAAAATGTGTGTTTAATAATTGGTCTTGAAATATGTTACATAGAAAGCTACTACTCATTACATAAATATTTGTAAGTTGAATTTTTAATCATTTTTGGTCCATAACATTAAGACTAATTCTCTGGAAACTTTTCATCAAAAGAGAAATGAGGTATATATGCTATTTGTTTTGCCTTTTTCAGCTAGCTATAGTCAGCAGACTGGACCCCAACAACCTCAGCAGTTCCAGGGATATGGCCAGCAACCAACTTCCCAGGCACCAGCTCCTGCCTTTTCTGGCCAGCCTCAACAACTGCCTACTCAACCACCACAACAGTACCAGGCGAGCAGTTATCCTCAACAAACTTATACTACCCAAACCTCTCAGCCTACTAATTACACAGTACCCCCTGCCTCTCAGCCTGGAATGGCTCCCAGCCAACCTGGGGCTTATCAACCAAGACCAGGTTTTACTCCACCTCCAGGAAGTGCTATGGCTCCTCCTCCCAGTGGGCCTAATCCTTACGCACGCAATCGTCCTGCCTTTGGTCAGGGCTATACCCAGCCTGGACCTGGTTATCGATAAGGAGGTTCAGCTGTCCTGATGAATATAGCTGTTTGCCTCTCAAGACTCCAATACTATTTTATTTCAATTTGTATTGAAGTTCAGAAATTTAAAAAGCTGAGCATTTTTTTATGGTATCATTGTTGCTGTTAATGGAAAGTATAAATTGCTGGAACACAAAAAAAGACCAAAATGAAAATTTTTTTCTCTCCTGCTTAAAAATGTAACAGCTTTCTAGTTATTTTGGAACACTACTCTTACATGTGTGTTAAGTGATTGACTTTCTAGCTTCTTTTGTCCAGAGGATATTAAAATGCTAGGTTGAGGTATAGCCATCTTACTTGGCTTTTTATTGTTAACATTATATACTAAAGGTAGACCCTTTGAGAAGATGACTAGATACTATATATAAAATGTAACATTGATAGGTTAATAAAAGTGATTGAATCCATTAATGGTCTTGTTTTTTAATTTAATCATTAACATTATATATAAGACAAAAATCATATTTAGGAAATCTACATTAATGTTTGTTCTTAAAGTGAAGTAACTTAACAATTTCCATTCAGAGAAACAGTGCTATTTGGATTTTGTACTGATTTTGAAAGAAATGTAATTAACAGTCATTGGTTTAAACGAACCTTAAAATAGACTTCACATTAATTGAGAATATTAGCACAATTGATACAATGTGAAAAACATATAAGGGCCTAACTTTGTGGTTTTATTTCTTACAGAGGTAAAGGTATGTTTACATATAGTTAAATCATTCAGAAAAAACTCAGTCTTAAAAAAACTACATCTCTTTATTGAAGAATTTATACTTATTTTAAAAATACAAAGTGTAACATTGATAAAATTGAAGCATGTTGAAAGACAGGCATAGGGAAAGGTCCTACCATGAGGGTAATAAATGTAGCATTTCCATCTCCCTATCCAGTATAAATGAAAACAATACATTCTAATGAAAATGAGTCAGATTTTTATTACACCTCGAGTTAAAAAGAATTACAGAAACACCCTGTTACATTCATTCATAGAGGTCTAATGTATAAATACATAGCAAATAGTCATTAGTAAAATGGTAGAAATCTCATCATGCATTATCTTTTTCTGCTCAAACTTCACATTCAATCTGCATACAGTTTGATTAGACTCAAAAACAACATGAAGATAATTGGTTAAAGGGCTAATTTGACAAAGTATATTCAGATACTACTATACTTCTTTTAAAACTGAGTATATCAGATTTTGAGCTCCATTTTTAGTTGAAATTACTGATTGAAAATTTCTTCAGAATTGCTGATATTTCATGGAGATTTACATTTGCATGAACATATAAACTATTCAGAACATTTTTAGCTATTGCCAAGAAAAATTGAAGTTTAAATAAGCATTAAGACCTGTTTTCTCCTGATACTTATCCTGAAGATAATTTGATCTAATAAGTTAAACTAAATAGAGGTTTAGGGAATTAACTCACCAGTAGGAAGTATACAAATCAATAAAAGTAAATATTTTAAAAAGTACATTGTTTTTGATGTTAGTTTGTTATAAAGTATCAAAACATCATTACAACAGTGTGATAAATAATATACAAATGATCTCTTAAAATACCATGAATAGGGAGCCAGCTTCCCTAAAAAATGTTACTCTATTAATGTCAGTATCTTGCTTTGTTAAAATGACTTTGTAAAAACTGATAAATATTCTCAGCAATCTTTTTTTCTAAACACGTAATACTGCTATTAGATTGTAGGCTTTAATACATAGTAAACAAAATTGCTTTAAATGGATGAGAAAAATAATCATAGTGGGTTTTTTTTTTTTCCTGGTGTTTTGGTGAAGTTTTTTTGTTTGTTTTTTGGGAGGGGACTTTGGCCATATGAACCAGAAGTAGTTTGGAGCAAGATTGCAGCATCTACCATTTTCCAGGAATTGTAGTCCCACACTCATACCACTGGACATAATTGATTTGGGTGTGACCACCTATTTCTCCAAATTGAACAGGTTCCTGGCGAACTGCTCTGAAATAGCCTAAGAGAGAAAATAATTGAGTTTTAACTGCTGTGTTACATTTAGCCTTTGCTGTTCATAGATTAAACAATATTGTTGAATGGCTGAAGAAGTTAAGAAAACTAGGTATAATGGTTTCCTAAAATTATACAACCCCCCAAATTCTTGACTTTTGGCTTAGCAAGTTAGGATGGGATCGTCCATAGTACCTGAAAACAGTTCAGCTGCCGGTTAATAGGTTCAGTGATCTTAAGTATGGTTAGTATTTTTAAGTGCCAATGATGGTGGATGGGGTGGGATGTGTTACTGAAAAGTCTGATCAAGTAATTAAAAGTACTCTTTTGGTGCTTCGTAATTTAGACAGTTAACTTACCCTTTCCTGCTTAGACAAAAATTAACTTTCAGTCTTTTTTAATCATTACACAATGGGTTGCTTCTCAGTGAAATTGGTTTAATTAAAGTTATTTATAAGACTATCTTCCATGTGTTATGATAAAATTCTAAAATGTTTAATGAAGTAAAGATACAGTAGGTGTGCTCAGCATGATAAAAAGTATAAGTTCATACATGAATAATTTTAGTTTGGGAAACACTTTCTTGACTGTTTTTGCAAATACAGATTTGCTTAAAAGTAAAATGTACTTATGTCTATAACTGGCCTTGTCTCTTTCTGAGTTGAAAAACTTAAGTTTTGTTATTTTTTTCTAGCCAAATAATTAGAACAAGTTCTATAGAATGATTTTTAACTTGATCGCTTTTCTTAATTGATAAAGCCCTTTTATTTATGTGGAGTATCAGAAAACATACCTTCTTTGGTGGGTAACTGATCAGAGGAGAGATGCTGTCCTGTGCGGCCATCTAAAAATGAATCCACAAACTGACAGTGATCCTCTCCATGGCCCCTCTGGTCACCTATGTTATAAAATTTTCCTGAAGAAGGAGAAATTTGATACATGACAATTCTGAAATAAATTGTTTAAGAATAATCTTTCCTGTTCTTGTACATTTTTCCTTACTCTACAAGCCACCGATGAATATTTCTTGACTGAACCGTACAGTAGTCTTCCAACTAATGTCTCTGACTTCTTTCTTCCTTTCCTATATTCTCCTCTCTTTTTACAAATTAGTGAAAATTTGTAAAGATTACTGATTTGAAAAATATTCAGGTAAAAATGCTCCTACAACACACGTTCCCAATAATTTTCTCTAGCAGTCTCCCATTATATTTAGCATAAAACTTTATTTCAAAGCTGTATGAATTCAGCTCCACAGAATTGATAAGGTGTTTTCTGCCTCGTGCTTTTGGACTTTACATCTCCACATTTTTTATTCCTAGACCTTTTGTTTTTACAATTTTGTACTTAGCAGAAATGATAACTTTATAGAGAGACCTTTCCTAAAACCATTCTAACTAAAGCAATTTCTTATCTCTCTTAAGCCATTCTCTTACCCTTCTTAAAATTGTCTTCAAAGCACTTGTATGAAATTCTTACGTATTTGTCTGTCTCCCTAAGTAGAGGAGGAAAGAGTGTGCTATATTGAAAGTGTCTTGTTTACTACTTTGTCATCATCTACAACAGTGCCAGGCATAGATAATATCGTAAGTATTTTTTAAATGATTGAATCATCTAATCTTCTTAATGTTGGGGCCAACCTTATATATTTGTTAAAATTTTTATTGTATGAATATAGGATAAAAATTACAGATTATCAATAAGCTTTTTTACCCTTGGATGGCTGTAACTAATTGAACATGAATATATTATTGCCTCTACATAGTAAATATGCCATAAAGGCACCATATCAATTTGCATCTTCATTACTTTCTAACAGTAAGTCTATGTCCTGGTCTTCTGAGACTTTTTAAATAACATTTTGCTTAGAGGAAAACTTGGGTACTAAATCACCCAGTATTGGCTGGAACTTCACAGAAAAGACCAATCTAGAGAATACAGCAAACATTCTCCGAAGATAAAGGTTCAAAACGGGTAGTAACCCTACTTACCTGTAAGGGAGTCGCTTAGATAAATCTTGTATCTAAGAGAGTTGCACAGCTGGACGCCTACAAATTTTTTATACCATGTCCTTTTGACATATTGTTTGCCTTTGCATTCTGAGTAAGAATCTGAGTTAAAGGGTCTTTCAGTCCAGATGGCATCTCTTCCTGCTGCATTTGGGAAAGACAAGGTTTGAGTTTACTGTCTGACTCTTGGGTACAGAAGAACTGTCCTTAGAGTTTTTAAAACTATTTTGCAAAATGCGTCACCAACTTGCTGATTCTTTTTCTCTAGTACCAAATATGGGAACCAAAAATAGTGCAGAACTTTAAGCAAACTCAGGTTACTGTCAATAGTTATATAAATCTCAAAGCAGTATGTTTAGGGCTAGATGGAGACTGTCATTTAGGAACAAATTTAGGTTTAATTTTGCAGCATATAACATGATTTAAACAAAAGCTTCAATATGATGTTATTAAAAGTGGAAATGAGAGGTATAATATCTTGACTTAAAATTTAATCTGGCCTGGTACAAGTGTAAAAGTAAGTTTCAGAGTATCTGACTTTCCCTTGCAGTATATCACTTCTCAATAGTCATCAAGTTATTCATACCTGATCAATTTCTGAGAAAGCTAATGATAAAAAATAAAAATCATAGCACAAATTCTACCATGTTTCCTTAGTTCAGTCAATTTAGAAAGCATGTACGTATTCGCAGTACTTACCAGAAATGGGCTCACTTACTCTTGGGTCAGCTAAGGAGAGACAGCAAATAGAAATCAGCCATTAGTGAAGTTAAACTTTAAAGTAAAAGCCCTAAGTTCCAGTGGCATGATGAAGATTTAAATTTAAGTCTTATTTGCAAAATGGTATATTTTTGCAAAAGACTGAATTTGAAAGTTTGCTCTGAAAAGATTCTTGATTGAATAATTTCACAGGTGTTCAAGAACATATTATTTGAGGAGTACTGAAGAGCCTTTGTTATTCTAGCCTTTAATTTCAAGTTTCCTTTTTATTCAAAAAAGTATTCATGGTAAAATCACCACGAGGCCATGAAATATAGTTGGCATAGAATTATGTAAATAATAATGCCATACATACAGATGTGTATTTTAAAGAGTTGGAGCTTGGGATGTGTGCTTAGAAAATTTCTTGATGTACTGACTGATAGTTTGATCTTAGGCATACTGGGGAGCATTCATTCACTAGATTTTTTAGTATAATGTATGCTTTTGTTTGAAGTAATGTATCTTTTTTTCTGACATAAAAAGAAATGAGGAAATAACCTAAGTGGTGGTCTCTTCATCGGTTGGCTTTTTCCAATATGTAAGTTTTTAGGAATTCCTGAAACTGGATTTTTGCATAGGGAGGTTTCAGACAGCCTCCCTATGCAAAACATTTTTCCCATTGGATCCCTTTCCATGCTTATTGGAGATTAATATCCATGTGATTACCTGATTCAGTACTGAATGCCACTGTATTGCTGACTGGGCCTTCACCAAGTGGGTTTTTGGGTTTCACCTGGAATTCATAGCTGTTTTGGAGAAATAAAAATAATTGCAGTATATTATTAAGAAAGCAACATTCCTTTGTTAAACAGGCGTTCCTCCTGGTTCTCTTTGAAATTATAACAACATAGGTTCTAGAAAGAAGGCGTAGGAAGCATAATGCTTTCTTAATTTTACTTTCTAAGTACATTATCTTATGTTGTATACAACAAAAATTTTTTCAGCGATGGTGTTTTTTCAGAGCACCAAATTAGAACTGGGAAGTTTGGTAGTAAAACATAAGTTTGTGGTGGACCCAAGCTAATTCCATTAGTGAGGCACCTTCACTTTTCCTTCAAATAGCTCTATTTCCTGGGGCAAAGAAGTAAAAGTATCTTGAATTTAGCTAGTGAAATTAGGTAGTCTTAGGTAATATTTCACATTTGAAATACATGAGAACCAGGGTAGAGTGACAGTGGGAAAAGTTTAAAATGCAAATTACTTGTCCTACCCCTGCTACTTGAAAGTTTCTTTGCAAGGTTTTGTAACTCCAGAACTCAGGTCTACTATGGACCACAGGAAGCCACAATGTGGAGGAGAAAAAAGGCTCGATAGTTTTACAAGTAGTATCAAATTAAAGCATGTCTTTTGAAACATGTAGAGACTAAAAAGTAATTGTCTTTATAACTTTCTCACAGCTGTTTTCCCTGGAAGCCACAAAGTAGGAAGTAAAGAAGGAAGAAATGTATGTTAGAATTAGTGGATTCGACATAGGCAAACAATGATGGTAAGGGATTGCAGAAGTGATGTTACTGGAAACAAAATAGAGGACACAAAAGGAGAACTCGAGTCTTTGTCTTTGAGAAATATTCAGTCTAAAACTACAGAATTAATTAACTGAAGAAATAGCTAAATTAATAAAAAAAAACTTTGGGGGGCTGGGGATTTAGCTCAGTGGCATAAGCACCTGCCTTGCAAGCAGGCGGTCGTGAGTTCGATCCCTGGTACCGAGAAAAATGAAAAAGACCAAAAAAAAAAAAAAAAAACTTTGCTTCGGGAAACAGAATTTAAGGACTCCTTTTGTACTGCTTGAGTTTTAACTTTATTTTAAACTGGCAGCCTGATCAAGTGGTTAAATATGGTTTTGGTCATTATTACAAAATACCTAAGGTAAGCTTCTTTAAAGAAAAGAGGTTCATGGTTTTGGAGGTCCAAGATCTAGGGACCGTCTGATGATGACATTCCTCTAACAGAATCCTGAGATAGAGTATCATATGACAGGAGAGAGGGACTGCCTGTTGGTGTTTCTCTTCTTATGTGTAAAGCTACTAGGATTCAATCATGGGTACCCCATAATAAGATTTATCTAATCCTGACTACCTTCCAAAGCCCCTCCTCTGTAACAACAGTGCAATTAAATTTTCCTGTGTTTTCAATACCTCACCCATAGTTCAGGGGTACAAGAGTAGTCTTCATAGAAAACAAAACATATATCTGGAAAGAAATGAAAATTAAAAGCCACTTCAAGACCCATTATATAAAAGTGAGTATCTAAATGGAGTATTCTCATGAAAACATAGCCCCATCTAGGACAAGTCAAGTAAAACCTAACACCCCTCTCAGAATGCAATGCATAGCTCTCCCTGGATAGGTGTGAATCTCAAATAGTCTTCCCATACATGCCTGGCAGGAGGTAATATGACCCTAGGACCAAGTACATGGTCTCTTTGGGCAGAAAGGTAGACTTATAGCTCATTAATATGTAATTTTAAGATATATTAATGAAACTTCCTAAGGCTTGGTTTGTCTTCATCTTTAAATGAGGCCAGTAACATCATTTGTGAGAATACTGTTGTCATTATAACCTCACAAGGATACAAGCTTCTGACGTTTGCGTGAGAATTAAATAAGATAATACAAGCAAAAGTAAAATGCTCGTACTCAGTGACTATAAACATTTGCTAGTATTGTATCCCTATAGGATTTTTTTTTTTAAAAGAGAGGTTCTTATTGGGAAATTTGGCAAACACTATCATAGACCTCTCAATGTGGAGAGGTCTTTGCTGTCACCTACTTGCATTTTACTCAGTTATAAGGCCATAGCCAATGAGTTACTAGTAAGATTGAAATTTTATTGGGTAAATGTTTCTGCCTGTACTTCCTTAGACTAAGAAAATAAAGTTAGAATTCAATGAGAAGTCTAGAAAGTTTCATAGCATTATTCTGAAAGGGAAAACATTAAAGCTAGAGTTTGAGGCAAGTTTGAAAGTATAAAAATCAGCATACTAATATATCAGTTCATTTAAAAATGAAAGTCTAAAATTTCAGCAAGTTCAGCCTACATTTCATGAGCTAAAGTATCAGAGGTGGGCAGTATCTGTTTTGCAGGATCTAGCCTCAAACGAATGTCTTCAAACTGAGGTGAAGGTAGAGGTTTAAGTAGCCCTCAGGTCTAGTAGAGAAGGCCACTTATTTCTGTCATTTTCCTACCCTTTGTTCCTCCTTATAACTTTTTTCCTCAGTGCATTCCAAAAATATAGTGTGCTAAATTGTTTTTCATTGTCTGATTAACTTTTTTTTCTTACATAGTCCCTAATGGTTTGGAAATTGGCTTAACAAAAGCCTTGTCATCCTAAAGCAACCTATCACCACATAGCTGCCACCCTATAGCTGCTCATTGATCTGATTTATTTGACTTGGTGACTTTACTTCTACTGTATCTTGAAATATTTGAACCCTATTGAGGTGAGGTTTCCATCTGATGAAAAGAAATGGAAAAGTTAACTAGAGAAAAATAGAAGAATAAGGGCCAATCAAATTAGCTTAGGGAAATTCAGTCAGTCTGTGAGAGTGCATTTCCAAGGATACTGCAAGATTATAGAAAACATTTCTGGATACCTGTGACACACAAAGCCACTGTGTAGATTTCACAATAAGTTAAGGAGCAAGAGGGAAGATCTGAACAAAAGCTGCACCTATCAACCCTAAAATGCGGTCACAGAGTTAGGGAGTGGCAAACACCTATTATCCCACTTACTTGGGATGGGAGACTGATATAAGCAACATAGTAAGACCCTCATCTCAAACAAAATCAGGGGCAGAAGGCAGAACAAGGACTTATGAGTCATAGGAAGCCATAGACTAGCTGCCTTTAATGCCCTAAAGAATGTTTCTTGGGTCCTCCATTGCTGCGAGAGACAAGAAATTATGGAGTTGAGCTTCACTTCATTTCTGTAGTGCTGCCATGACCTACTCCCATCCTTAGAGACTAAGGAAGTCAAAGAAAATGGGATAAAAAGTACACAGTGATACCAGAGGAAGAACTGATCTTGTTTATAGACAAGCAGTTCTGTGTTCCTAGAGAACTGCTCTTTTGCCTAATGAAAAGTTGCTAAACTGAGCTATCGACTCTTCTATAACAAGGAAGAAATTGCTTTTCTGCTCCCCATACCTACAATAAAACTAAATCGATGCTTGCTACTTTGGCAGCTTATTTTATTTCTTTCTGCAAAGCACATGAGATGAGAAGAGACAATGAAAAGTTAATGAAGAATTTCCAGAGACCAGAATTTTACAAAAACACTGTGGAAAGGGTATAATGACTATTCCACATGCCAGTTTCCTTCAGCAAGATTTAGTTTATGAAAAGTTGCTGCCTCCATTCCAGCTAATCTTCAGTGTGCCAACATTTTATTAAATCAAAGAAGATAAACAAGGAGTCCCAAGCCATCCTTGCTGCCACTGTGGTAGGTTTTAGTCTCAAAGGAAGAATTGTTCTCCAAAATCATCTAAGCCAACAGAGGTTAGTAAAAGTACTCTAGCAGATTAAGTGAATTTGATTTATCTTAATTACCAGTGTCCATTTTCCATAGGAAATTGTTGGACCACAAAAGACTGGCACACACAATGGATTCTTCAGTTTTTCAGTAAAGTAAGGAGAGAATTGGGCTTATTGAAACTGAAGTGCAGGTTTAAAAGACCTTTTTAGTGTCAGTGATTGTGGTATGAATCTATACTGTCAACCAGCTCATCAGGAAGAACACAGCCCATGAATGCATTATCAAATGTGTGTTCAAACAGTTCATCTGAAAACAGGCTGCAGACTGCAGACAGTCAAAAGAAACTAGTTTACTGGGAAAAATTTTTTATGAGGATGACCTAGGTTTTAGTTTTATTTTTGATTCCAGTTCCATCACTGACTTGATGCACAGCTTAAGCTACCATAAATTATGAGGTAGATGAGACTTAAGAACAGAATACCACCTGTCCCTATATGCACTGATGTAAGATTTAGCGTTTGTTATACTTTTTCAGCTCTTTTAGTCACAGAATTAAAAATAATCATTGATTTTGCAGACCAAGTGATTTGTTCCATATTGGAAAAATCCTTTTTCTTTTAGTTCAACAAGAGTCTAAGTACAGAGAGGATTAGTTATCCTGGGTGAGTATAGGACAAGAATAGAAAAAGATAAATGGAAAGTAATTACTGCAAGTAGGCTAGCTAGGCACTGATTGATTTAGATAAGACTTCTACATTTCTTTAAGGATGAGAAGTGAGAGATAGATGCTCTAAATATGGAGTTTGCCTGTGTTAACATTTCTTTTGCCTCACTTGACTGAAAATTATGGCTCCTCTTCCATGTGCACACATATAGCTACAGCCCACTCCACCTGCAGGCAGCCACTGGCCTGGCTTTGGGCAGTATGCTGCCTTTGTAGGTGCCCTCAGGTGGTCCAGAGTAGTCATATGGTTCTACTCTCTATAGATAGGGATACCTTGTGCCTGGTGTGGAACCAGACTTTCATTTTGACAAAATAGCTGCTGAATAGCTTCTTCCTGTGGGCTAGTTTTTGAGCTTCTGTAGAGAAGATAAAAACCTAGCTAAGTCTAAAAACATACAGAAGAATTTTGGCTTTCTCTGTGAGAAGGAAAAAGAAGCACAGTGTCCTGTCCTTTTGTTTTGGAATAATGTGTGGTCATTTAGGATTTCTGACCAAAACCATACTATAGATCTTTAATCTCTGCCTTGCTTCTTCTGGTTTAAATGTTCAAACTTCAAGCTCTATGTCACCTCTGTCAGTGTGTAAACATTAGCCAGTAATTATCCTTTACTTTTAGATGTCACTTTTCCCCCATCACTTTGATTGATGGAATAAATGTTACCAAGACAAATGATTCACATCTATCTCCTGGTAGTAGAACATCACTATAGTAATTCTTTCAGAAGCCTATTATCTTCAGAAGCTCAGATGCTATACTTCAAAATTTGCAGCTGTGTGCTGATGCATGCTGTTGTGGATGACAGTCCTTTCACCTACCTCATTCATTCAGTGAGCTGTTTTCTGCTCATCTGTCAATCCTCAGCCCAAGTTGTCCTAACTTTTGTGGACATTCCTTCTATGACTTTTAGCATACTTCCTCCAGTCTTCCACCACTTTGCGTAGGATCCTTGGTTATTAGCTGCTTCTCTGCTATGTCCTTGCTACTTTGTGTATACTCAGGTTTGTAGCCACAACACAAGCACACATCCGCGCACGCCCTTGCCACTTAGCACACATTAGCTGACTGGAACTACAAACCTGTTACAAACAAATGGACCTAAAAAGGTCATCAGAAAGACCGTGTTCTACGCTTTTATCATGAGTTAATGGCAGCACTGCGAAAAGTTCTGAGGACAGCCTGATTCAGAAAAGGAACACAATGCACATTTAGAAATTGGACATCTTCCATTAGAAATTGTATTACACAGACCACTTTTATTAAGTAGCCTAAGAAATCAGAAAACAAAAAGAAAAAAACAAGTTTTGTGAGCACACATGTACCTATTAAAACAAAATTAAATTTTTTCTTACTTTTCCCTAAAAATACATCATAGTAAAATTAGACTCTTTCTTTCAATTTCGGTAAGGAAATGGAATCAGGGCCATCAAGAAGGTTTTTACTAAAATTTGTGCTTATTTTGATCAACTTAAATCTTTTTAAGAAAATTAACAAATTAACAAATTTTCCATGTTACAATTCATACTGAAAAACTGCTAAGGAAGGACTAAAGTTTATGCACAGTAAACAATCAATAATGAATTAGATACTTCTTTTTCCTCAAAGAATTAAAAGAATTCATTTACTACCAGAGTTAAAATAGATTCTTGGAGTCACTCAGCTGATTCAATCAACTGACAACAATGAGAGGCTGGAGAAGTGAAACAGTGAAAAAAAGCCCTTATTTATCTCTCAATAATAAACTGACACAATATTATGTGTTTTAGATTTAAAAAGGAATAAAAAACTATACAGTGTTATGAATAACCTGGTATCAATGTGTAATAAGAGATAACCTAGAAAAGTTATTTATTATAGAACAATGTTAAAAATGTTAAACTCAGGTGTATGTTGGCACATGCCTATAATCTGAGCACATTGGAAAGTTGAGCAAGGAAGATTGTAAATTTTAGTTCAGTCTGGGCAACTTAGTAACTGAGCAAGACCTTGACTCAAACTAAAAAATAAAAAAGGGATGGGGATGCAACAGTGCAAAGACCCTGGGTTCCATCCCACGTATCCCCCAGGCCAAAAAAAAAAAGAGTATGTTACTTTATTGTCAAAACTCTAGTCTCAATGTTTTGATGATAAAATGTTCCCAAAGCAAATAATTTCTGTATCTGAAACTAGGATGTCATTATTTAAAGTATTACTACTAAAAACTACCTACATTTTGTCACATGGCTTTCAGTTTTTTGTACTATTCTAGCATGAGAGATAAATTCTGCAGTGCTTCAAGTCTAGTTTATATCATTCACAGTCCAGTTATTTCTCATCCAGAGAGTATTCATATCACATATTGAGTATTGTGGTATTCAATATCAACATTCAATATTAATGGACTATTTTGACATTGCTGATGATTTAGCAGACCATTTTAGCATATTGTCAAAACATGTGTCCAGAGATATTTAATGCCACATACAGAAAGCTAGAGTGAAACACAAACTGTCTTAAGACAAGAAAGTTGAAATAATTCCATTTCTTTGTTGGGATTATGATTTTTGCACTCTCACAATTTACTTGGAATAGCACTGAGACTTACCTTGTGTCTGGTTTCAGATTTTCTACTGTGGAGAAAGTTTGATTTGTAAGCTGAATGGATTTATTCTTTCCACTGAATGTCCCATTTTCTCTGGATATAACTTCATATTCTGAAAAATGAAAACAAAAAGAATAATTGACTTCATGTCCTAGTTGATTTAATGGCTCTTGAAACTAACATTATAATACAGCCATTTATATAAAAATGAGCAATTGTAATTGGAGTTCTAGAGACATATTGATGTATATATTATCAATTTGCAGATAGCAATGGTCACCCCAGTTTATAAAGATCCCCGAAAACCCTTTGGGAGCTGCTTACTGGCCTTTTCTGCTTTCTCTTTATCAGACTGAGAAAAAATTGGTAAAGACTAACTATCCTCCTGGGGTTGATTTAGATATAGAGCCTGTCATAATGTTAGGTAGGAAAGAAAGCCTGCCATCATCAGGAAGCCCAGTTTAGGGAAAGCACTGTGAGGGGTGATGCTTGTGTAGACGCCATGTTTCCTAACCTATGGGATTTTATATGCAGGCTGAGGAAAAGGTCATTCAATATGTATATGACTGCAAAAAATTGAACTTTAAAACTATATCAACAAATAACAGCCAATCAAATATAAGCTGTTTTTTTCTGTAGATCATTATTAGTAATTATAGAATTGGGAGGATTTTGTATCTATTGCTTATACAACTTATGCTACCTTGGTAATTTTCTGGGTATCAAAGAAAATCCCCTCTTTTAAGTCTGCATAGAGGTGTGAATAAATTTCACGCAAAGTCATGTTTCTATGAAGTTATAGCCCCATCAAAAAAGACTGTCAGAATAAGAGAATAAAATTTACAGACTTTTCAAGTGATTTTCCCTGCTCTCCATTGAGATTTAAGCTTCATGTATGTGACAAGATGATAGAACTAAAAATCAAATCCAATCAAAACAAAACAAAACCATCACACTATTCAAAATCACATCCATTGATTCAAAGAAATGAGTTTGGCATCACATAAGGTGGAAAAACTGCAAAAAAGATGGCAAGTTCTATTATGGACTTCTGCTATTGTACTGAGATAAATAATGGGAAATAAAATGAAAAGTAGAACAACTTAGGTAAACCTGACTTTCCAATTTAATTTGGAAGAATTTTTAATAGTTTATTTTAAAACCCAAAAAAGTACATGACATTTTTTGGGAACAGTTTCATCTTTCTAAAAATCAAAATAAAATTGCAGACACTGTTTTTTTTTTTTTTTTTTTTTTTTTTTTTTTTTTTTTTGTCTTTTACCTTTTTATCAGTACCGGGGATTGAACTCACAACTGCCTGCTTCCAAGGCAGGCACTCAGGCTGCTGAGCTAAATCCCCAGCCCTGTGAACACTGTATTTTGACACCATCACTGCAATGATTAAAGTAGTACTTGACTGTTAACCAAGTAACTTATTCAGATTCCTGTTTGTTCCCAAATGCTTTCCTCTCTCCTTGACTTTTTATTCCAGAAGATCATGGAAACAGAGGGAGGGAAGATCAGGAATTCAAAGTTATCTATCTTATGTCTTTTTCTCAGCTGATAAAGAGTATTTGCCAGTGGAAAAAAAAGATGTAAGCAAATTTAGTTTTTAAAAAATTTAAAGTGTATGCAAACTTGAGTTTTTAAAAATGGCAACCACATGAATTAATGAAGGTGAAAAACCAAGCCACTTACCTTGGAATTTAGTTTCAGCCTTCTGACTTATAATATGTCAATAATATCTCTTCACAGTAGTGTTTGTGGGATTAAATCATGAGCATATGGAAAACACCTAACATTGTACATGATTTAACTAAACAGGTGGTACTTATTACAGTTGTTGTTTGTCTTCTCTTTATCTCCAAGTTGTGTTTTAAAAATAAATTCACAAAACAATTTAAAAGTGTCCAATTGGAAACACTCAAGTGCTCCTCAATCAGCAGAAGAAAAATTTATATAAAATTCTACTGAATTATATACCAAACGAACAACCTTCAAAATGTATTTTGGGGCATTCGTCACCAATTTTTTGATGTCCCTTCTTAGTATAACCCAGAGGTTTAGTACTTTAAACTTCTGGTAAGTATCTTCTCTATTTTTCATTTGACTCAAATTTGAAAAATTAGTAGTATTTTTTCTCTAGGAGATTTGAGTTTTCATAGTGGATTTAGGAGTTTTCTTTACAATTAAAAATATTAAGAATTTCTCTAAAAATTCTAGCTTTTAGGTATATGAATGCTTGATTTGTGCTTTGTAAATTTATCTTTCATTTTAAATTTATTTGTTTGTTTTTTGATTTTTGGTATTTTGAGACAGGGTCTCTCTGCGTAGTTCAGATTGGCCTCGATCTCACAATATAGTCCAGGCTGGCCTGAACTCATGGTTATCCTCTTGCCTCTGCCTCCTGAGTGCTGGAATCATACGTGAGGGCCGCTATGCCTGGACCATTTTTAATTCTTTAAAGTGATATCTTTCCATAAATCTATAAACATAAAGCTTGCTTCTACTGGTCCTCTACTGACAAACATTAATTTAAAGTTATTTGTATATTCAGATTCCCTGTTTTTCCCTTGGGATACATTGATAACAATGGGAATCATAACTATTATAACAGATAAAATAAGTTCACAGAGGCTACTTATTTTTTTTTAACTTTTTATTGGTACTGGGGATTGAACTCACAACCACCTGCTTACAAGGCAAGTGCTTATGCCACTGAACTAAATCCCAAGCCCCCCATAGAGGCTATTTATAAATCTAAGTTTCACATCTAAAATGTAGCCAGCCTTTGATTTAAATTCACATCAGCATGCTCTGTGACTATAATATTGCAGCAATTTACAACTAACTGAACTCTAAGTTGTCCAAAGACTCAAGCTATGATCAACCTTTTTTTTTTTTTTTTGGTGCCAGGAATGTGCTCCTGAGCAGTAACCCTGGCTATGATTGACTTTTTACTATCCCCATTGCTATGTGCATGCAGAAGAGACAGTAGAAGCAACTGAATTTTGGAATGTATCTGTCAACTAAAACAAAAACAACAACAAAAACAAAAACACATTATTGGCAGAGGTCAATAGGTCAATTCCAGATAGGAGGGCTACAACTCATTCTCTTTTTGTTTCTCTCAATTCCTTATTATAATACCATTTCCAGAGGCATAAAATTAATTTCTATACTGTCTAAGCTGCTGATCTGTAAACAACCATATTTGAAATGAAGTGGTTTTAATATAACACTAAATAAAAACATAAAGCAGATCATTAGGGCAAATAGTATAATGTTGAAATATGGAATGGAAAAACAGCAGTTAGGGGCTGGGGATTTAGCTCAGCGGCATAAGCACCTGCCTTGCAAGCAGGTAGTCGTGAGTTCCATCCCTGGTACCGATAAAAAGGAAAAAGACCAAAAAAAAAAAAAAAAAAAAAAAAAGAAAAGAAAAGAAAGAAAAAACAGCAGTTAAAGATAAAACTTATCTCCATTTAATAAATATTAGGGCTAATGAGATTGATCCTTGTCAATAAAAATCGTTAGAAGTTTTATCTAGTGAAGGAATCCCAAGCAGCCCATTAACATTAGTAACATTATAAAAGCAGATAGATGTGTAAAGTATGGTTAGACCTACAAAATATACTTTATTCATAATTCTTCAAGATTACACATTTATATAAATTTTTAAAATTATTACAATAGAAAGGAAAATCCTGTATCTTTAAAAAGGTAAATCAGACATTATACATGTAATAGAGTAGTTTGTATTAGATTAACTAGTCCCAGGTTGATGTCCAGCATCTTCAGGGCAAAAGAAACTTTATAGATTTTTTGGCTTTAATGAAACTAAGCTCCAGACCAGCCTAGAAACTCCTAATTACCAAAGTATAACTATCAAGAGTTTTGGATGCTTTAATACATTACAGATAATCAATACTGAGAAACTAATTGCTCTTTAGGTTTGGAAATGGTAGTACCAACTGGCATAATCTCAAATACAGAAGCAGGCTAGGCAGATCTCTGGGAGCACAGGAAGCAAGTTGATTATCAGAATAGAGGCTAGTTTTGCACAAGAGAGGGAAGTTCACAAAATATGGTTTAAAAATCCAACTCATCTGCTGCTTACATGAAAGTTGCCTAAACTATGTAGCTTCAGTGATAGGGAAATACTTTTCCCTTTTATTCACAGCAAACGTTATTTCTGGAAGATCTTGAATTCTTACACCTCACCTTGTGAATTACTCTTTTCTTATTCTTTCCTTAACTCTTCTATTCCCTGCACCAAGAACGTAATGGCAAGATACCTGAGCTCAGGCCATCTGAGGACTAGGCTGATTTAGGTAGATGCGTTTTATTTCTGCTTCTTTTTTTCACTATCCTGTTCACTATGGAGGGCCAAATTGCCACATAACAAATTCAAAAAGTGACTCATGGTTTCTTATTTTTCTCAATCCTTTTTAGAAAATTAGATGGGTAATAGGAATCAAACTTTTCTGAGATGAGCAGAAAATTGCCCAGAAGTGGATTAAAAAAAAAAAAAAAACTTTTTCTAAAGACAAATGAAATGACTTTTAGCTTTCCTAAAAATTCTAGGTCAATTTAGAAGTTGGGTTGGTTAAAGGAAAATTAATATAAATATCAGCAATGACAGCTCTCTGTATATTTTCTGTAATTTTGTTGATAATGAGAAAACTAGCTCTATCTTCAATCTATAAAAAGGAATGTGAGAGAAGATAAAAGGAATATAGTGTGAAGTGACCTGCTCAGTTAAAAGGGGCCGTAGCTATGGGGCCATAGCAAGGAAAAAGATAAACTTTTTCCATCCTTTGACACTTTGGACAGTGTGCCATAAAACAGCAGAACATTTCTAGGACTCCTTTCTCCTCAGAGAGGCCTCACATGTACTGTTTCATCCAGGGTATCTCACTCTCAAAGCATCATGTTATCTAAACTTCCACCATAGCAACAAGACCCTTATGCTGTAATCTTACCAGTGACAGTATCATTTAATGGCTTTTCCCAGTCCAGGATGACAAACGAGGGACACCCTTCTACAGTGACCACAGTGAGGTTGGTGGGTGGGTTCTGTGGTGGGCTGGTGGCATTCCCCTCCATGGCTTCCTCGGTAGGGAAGCGTTTGATGGAGTCGGTGATGGAGCATGGCTTGTTGTCAGGCTTTGGGATGTATCGTACATGAGGACCTAAGAGAAAGGATTCAGAAGTTGTCATTTTTGAAGCTTGTAAAGATAGAAATAAGACCATAAATATTATCTTTCTAAAGATATCCAGTCTCATAGGCAGATGGTTGAAAGCTTGTGCTATGGATGATTCAAACTTGTAAAAGTCCAAAATTGTGTATCAGGAATACATGATATGGATGTTGTTGAATTATTTACTAAATAATTTTATCATACGTTAATACTAAAAAATAATTTAGTCTTATGAGATTGGCTTACTCATATAATTTCTGAGACATTGAGTCTTACCTCACTGGTAGGAAAGCAAGAGCCTTACACTAAATACAGTTCTGTTCTCACCTAGAAAATCTTTAAGGACAAGTAGTTCTAAGTAATTTAATTATAGGTATGAACAAAATTCACAAATATTTTAAGAATAATGTATAAGAATATTATATATTGTAACAATAATATATTATAAATAATATGTATTAATAACATATATATATATATATATCACCAAGGTGAAATTTGCAAGAAAATATTACTGATAATGAAGGGAAAAAATCACATGAAACCAATTTAGAACTTCCATTGATGTTAGTCTCACCAGACAAGAATAATGAAGCTATCTTTATAATCTACATGTTCAAAAGGTATAGAAAGATATAAAAAGACTCAAATCAAATATCTGGAAATAAAAACTTTAATATATAGGTTACAAAACACATTAGAAATAATTAATACATATAAGATATTACAAAATAAAAGATATCAAACTTGGAGACATACCAATAAAGACTACTCAAAATAAAAATAGACAGAAAAAAGAAATTAAAAATAAACAATATTGAGCTAGCAGACAACTTCAAGCAGTCTCATATATATGCAATTGAAGTACCTGAAGTAGTAGCTCATATAATTAGGCAGGAAGAAAAATAATATCCCAGAATTTTCCAAATATAATAAACTTTCTAAGTATGTAAATCCAAAACACTCAAGAAAATTTAAGTTCAACCAACATGAAGAGAACTACGCCAATCAAATCAAGTTTCTGAAAACCAATGAAAAAGAAAAAATATTTACTGGAGAACCCCACAAAGATGTTATATATAGAATGACAAAGTTTAGGATTGTAGTGGCTGTTTTACTGGAAAGAATGCAAGTGGGAAAAAATATAGCAACATCTTGAGGGATGAAAAGTAAAACCTATTATATAGAATTCAGTAACTAGTGAAAATGTCTTAAAAGAAAAAAGCAAAATACATTTTAAAAAACACAAAACCCTTAAGAATTTATTACCAGCACACCCCCACCGGAAGACATATCACATTTTTTCAGATTAGACGTAAAACTGATACCAAATGGAAATAGGAATCTTCCCAAAGGGTCAAAAAGTACCAGAAACAGTTCCTATGGATAAATATATACAATATTTTCTCAATTTTTAGTCTATAAAAGATAATTTACTATCAAAAAATAAAATATTATAATTTATGTTAGATGTAAAAATATAAAATATGACAATAGTAGCCCAAAGTTCAAAAGATGAAAGAAGCTATATGAATATAAGGTTTTTGTATGTGAAGTTTTTAATTATCACTAGAAGATAGATTTTTTAAATTATCATTAGAAGATAGATCAAGGTAAGTTAAAGATACACTCTACGACTACATACACTCTATAACTAAAAATACAGTGACAGCTAATAATAAAGATATAATTTCAAACAAAAAAGAATACAATTCTAAATAAAATAAAAAACAAACAGAATCATAAAATGATCTGAAGGCTGAAGAAGAGGAAAAAAAGAGAACAAAGAACACATGGGCCAAATGGGACAGAAAAGCAAAATTAAGATTTAACTGTAACAATATCAGTAATATTAAAGATAAGGTTCTATGCATGCCAAATGAAGTTTTGATTTTAAGGAAAACAAGGTGAGAGACTGTGAGGCTCAGATGGTTCACTGATATTACTAAATATTTAGTAACAGCATCTTAACATCTCTTCAAAATAGGCATTTACTTTAGAGTCTTATCCTTCACCATACGCTAAAGTCGAAATGAACCAAAGATCTAAATAATAAAACAGAAGCACTGGATCTACTGGAAGAAAGAATAGGTAAAACTCTTGAAGACAATGGTGCAGGCAAAGACTTTATGAATAAAATCCTGGTCACACAGTAACTATCATGAATCATCAACAACTGGGATCTCGTCTTATTACAAAGCTTTTAGCACAGTAACAGCAACCACCAACATAGTGAAGAGACAACCCACAGTGTAGGGAAAAACAGCTGTTTCTCAGACAAATAATTACTATTCAGAATATATAAAGAACTCAAAAAAAATCATTCCCTCTAAATTTAAAGATAGAATCCAAAAATGGAATTTGTGACAAATATACACTTCTCAGATGAAAAAATATGAACAAAAAATAAATATATGAAAATATGTTCAATATCACTGGTAATTTGAGAGATGCAAATTAAAATGCTGAGATTGCATCTCAACCCCAGAAAGAATGGCTATTATCAAGAAATGAGCTGGTGGGATTGTGGGGAAAAAAGAACCCTTGTCCACTGTTGATAGAAATGTAGCCTGGCGCAATCACTGTATAAATCAGGGTAGAGGTTCCTCAAAAAGCTAGGATTAGAGGTTCTATTTGACCCAGCTCTTTCCCTCTTTGTTATCTTCCTGAAAGAATTAAAAGCTTTCTACCACAGTGATACACGCAAATCTATGACTTTAGCAGCAGTTTATATTACCCAAATTGTCAAAACAGCCTAAATACCCATCAACTGCAGAATGGGGTAAGGAAGATGTGTGTGTGTGTGTGTGTGTGTGTGTGTGTGTGTGTGTGTGTGTGTGTGTTTTATGTGTGTGTGTGTGTGTGTGTGTGTTTTGTGTGTGTGTGTGTGTGTGTGTGTGTGTGTTTTAATACAGGAGAATATTAATCTTCTGTAAAAAAAGGTAAGCTTGAGACATTTCTAGATAAATGAATACATCTTAAGACCATACTCTGAAGTGAAATAAATCAGACATGCATGTGTAAATATCACCTTATTTCTCTGGTGTGAGAAGTCAAAAGTATAAATAAGGACCAAAATGTATAATAGGTACTGAAAAATAAGAAGAAAATATTCATGGCCCTGAATCAAGGCTGGCAGCTTCCTGACTCTGTTGGTTTCAAGCAGGAGCCTAAAGAGATGTCTTTCTATGGTCTGTTAGCCATTTCAGAACTTGGGCAGTGAAATGGTCAATTCATTAGAAAGAAACAGCTTGAAACAACACCACTCCCAACCCCCCCACCCCCTGCTCCGAGAGCGGCTGTGAGCACAGTAGGTTGAAGCAGCCCAGGATGGGAGCCACCGGCGTTTACTGGGACCTGTGCCATGCTGGGACCTGGAGTGCCGGGAAACCAAGCAACCCCTCCCCCCACTACCTGTTCTGTTTTGTTGAACTTCAATACACATGAAAGTATGGACAGCTATTTTGAAGAGAATGAGAGAGTGACTTCCCTAATGTCTGGTGTTAAAGACCTAAATCACCTTCCTCATTCTGTCTGGATCAGTTTTATACTACTTTTTTTTTTTTTTTTTTGTATGAATTCTCTGTATACAAAGACATGGACAACTATTTGGAAGAAAACAAGACAATTTGGTAGACAGTGAAGATCTCAGGTCATCTAGCTTTGAAATTTATATCTCTTACATTGATTGCTTTCTTTTGTCCTATTTTGTTCTGTTTTGTTGTATTTAATTTTACCCCCTTTAAAAGAAAAAAAGAAAATATTCAATTGGGGAGGGGAACCAAGAAGAGGGACAGGGGAAAAGAAAGAAGGGAAAAGTAAAAAAAAAATTAGAAAAGAAGACAAACAGGGAACAAAGCTTTTGTAAATGGTGAGGGCAAAGAGAGTTGAAAGAAGGGTAGGGGAATGGGTAAAAGGATACATTGTTCTCTACAACAAATGTGATCATTACGTATATTTAAAATGTACCAATGAAACTGGATTGAAAAAAGAAACTATAAAGGGTCTAAAAAGTTAATAATAGAGTAAGAAAAATTTACACTAATAAAAACAAAGCTTGACTGAATAACATCAGCAAATTAGGTTTCAGAGGATAGAATATTAGAAGGAACATAATGATAAATAGTCAATCATGAGGTGTTTTACAGTCTTAAACAATTTATACCTGTACCTCACTATATACATTTAAAATATATGATGCAAGAACTGACAAGTCTCCAAGTAGAGATAAATCTATAATCAGTTACAGATTTTAGTACACTTCTCTTATTCTCTAATTGATCGATCAAGTACACAGAAAATCAGAAAACTTTTCCACAAAGAGAATGTTAGACTCAGATTCGCTAAATATTTAGGAAAGAAGCAATAGCAATTCTAAACAATTTCTTCCAGAAAGTTAAGAGGAGAGTTCATCATCATTTTGATACTAACCCAGATTAGATAAAAGAAGGAAACTACAGAGCAATGTCCTTCATGAATACAGCTGTAAAAATAATCTTGGAAAATTAAATTCATCACTAGATAAAATGAGAATATACTTGTTGGAGATCACTACAAAGCAGCTCTGAGCAGGATTTAAATTTTACTAATTGGCTTTCTATCTTTATATGTGAGTCTGTCCTAGCCTAGGCCCCTTGCCTAGGGAAGGGAGCTGATTCATAGTAAGTGAACCTCTATGAATCACTGTCTGGCTGAGGCCTGTAGTGTCCTGTGAGGCCAGAGATACCTACCTCATAGGGCAAGATAAGGCCACAGTTGCGGACACTCTGGCTCCAACCCCAATTAATGAGGTAGAAACTGCAGCTGCAGAAATTACTCCTGCAGTCTCACTTCTACCATGTCTTCATGATAAGACAGTGCTGCTAAATTGACTTGATTCATGACTTGGAGACATCCTTGAAGTGACTCCCCAGGTCCTGCTCATTGCCTGCACTTTCCTCTGTTTCTCTGCCCTTTGTCCTTGGTCCTAATATAAGTGGACTGATCCAGAGATTCGTTTGTCTTTACTCTCAAAGCCTTTAGCTTAATTAAAGGGTTTTGACCCTCATGGAGCCCTAAAAATCATACAATTTGTCTCTGTTTAGTTAACCTCTGCCTTACACTCGTTTGGGAGATTGGGGATCTAGGACAAAACCCGATATATACTATGATCAAGTGTGGTTTGTCCCCAGCATACAAAGTTCATTTATTTTTTTAAAATATCACTTCATCATATTTACAAACTAGAAAAGTCAAGTCATCTCTATAAAAGCAGATAAATAAGGTACAATCTAGCGTTAATTTCTGATAAGAACTCTTATACTAAAAGAGAGCTTTCTCAATCCGATAAAAGCATTTCTGAAAAGTCTATAAGCAACAGAGACTGAGTGCTTTTCCTATAGAGTTATAGGAAACTATATCTCTTTTCCCTATTTCTATATAATATTTTACTGGAGATATAGTCAGTGTGATAAAGCAAGAAAAAAAAAGACACTCAACTTGGAAAGGAAGAAGCAAAACTTTATTTTCAGATAACTTAATTCTGTATGTAGAAAATTCATTTGGCCTACAAAAAAGCTACTAAAATTAACAAGCTTTGTAAAGTTCTAGGATACAGAATGACTGTACAAAAATCAATTATTTTTCTACATATTAGCAAACTACAATTAGAGATTGGAAAATTATTAGTTTTATGATTTCCTAATACTTTAATGAGATAAACTTGCAAGACCTAAATAAGTGACAGCATATACTGTGTTCACAGATAGGAAGAGGCATTACTGCATAGCTGTGATTTCTTTCCAAATCACCTATAGCCTCAATGCAATTCCAAAGAAAATCCAATCAAACTATGCTCTAGCTAGTGATAAGCTAATTCTAAAAATGACACAGAAACTAAAAGGGTCTAGAATCATAAAAACCTTCCAAAAATAAGAACAATATTGGGAGATTCATACAACCTAATTACAAGATTAGAAAAACCACAAGAATCTAGAAAGTGTGATGTTGGTAGATAAATAGATCAATGGAACATATTAGAGAGCCCCAAAACAGATCAACATATATGGAAAATATATGTTTGAGGATTTTTGGCAGAGATAATTCAGTGGAGAAAGAATAAGTTTTTCAATAAATGATGCAAGGACAACTGAATATTCATAAAACGGACATACATCAGACACTGTATCATATACATTTTACTCAATATGAATTATAAATTTAAATGCAAAAATATAAAACTTCTAAAAAATGGCAAAATCTCTTTGTGATTTTGATTTAATCAATGATTTTTTGATATGATACAAAAACAAATATTAGGATAATCATAGAATATTATGAGCAACTTTATGTAGATAAATTTGGAAAAACATTAGGCTAATCCTTTGAAAGACACAAAATCTCAAAATACAGTAAGGAAGAAAAATACTCTGAGAAGTGTTATATCTATTAAAGAAAGTAAATTCAATTAAAAATTGATAAACAGCTTAGTTAAAATTAAAAAAGAAGACATATACTAGGGGAAATATTTGCAATGTATATTGCTGGAAAATATTTAAGAAATACATTCTCAAAACTCAACAATAAATGAACAATTCCACTTAAAAAGTGAGCAAGCTGGGTGTGGTGGTGCATCCTATAATTCCAGCACTCCAGAGGCTGAGGCAGGAGAACTGCTGTGAGTTTGAGGCCGGTCTGGAGTACATTATGAGTTTAAAGGCATCCTCAACTATATATAATGAGACTCTGTCTCAAAATAAAAAAATTAAAAGTAGACAAAATTTTGAACATAACCAGAAAAAAAAAAACCCATAGCAAGTAAACATGTGAAAAAGTGTTCAGGACCTGCAGTCCTTAGGAGATGCATGTTAAAACCATAATCAGATAACACCACACACCTATTAAAATGGCTAACGTTTTGAACCTGATTGTAGCAAACACTGACAAAAACATGGAGGGATCAGAACCCTCATGACTTAAAATAGTACAATCACTTTGGAAAACTGTTTTTCAATCTCTTAAAATGTTAGGCGTAAACTCACATATCATCTAACTATTCCTTTCTTGATATTTTCACAAGCGGTATAAGAGGATACGCCCATATAGAGATTTACACATGAGTGGTCACTGCAACTTTATTGGTTATGTTAAAGAAAAATAAATAAAACACCTGAATGCCATTAATAGGTTTAATAATGAAACAGATTACATATCTGTATAATAGGATGCTAGTCCTCAAAAATAATGGATTATTTATAGGTACATAGAACAATATGAATGAATCTCTAAATAATTATGCTATGCAAACGAAATCAGGAGTTCACACTGCATGTATTCATTTATACACAATTTATAAAGCATAAACAAATCTATAGTATTTCACATCTGTGGTCACTAGAGACTGGGGACAAGGTAGACATGAGAGGGCAGAATTTAAAAAGTACATGACAAAAGTTTCACAATTTCTGCATGTATTGTCTTGTTTATGATGATGATCAGGGGTAAATACATGTGCTAAAATTCATTAAATTTTAGACTTTGGAAAAAAATTACAAAAACTGAGATATACCAAATCTCTCCTACTGTGGTATATTACATTATTGTTCAAAAAATATTCTCTACGGGAGGAGTACACTTTCCTAATCCTTGGCTTGAGCTTTACTCATGACTTCAGTTGATGTATATTGGCAGATATAACATAAAAAGGAATTTGAAAGGTCCCCTGTTGAGGGATGCTTGTCTTTATTTTGTATTGTCATGAGAACAGCTTCTCTGGGTCACTGATGGCTCTCCTTCCAGGCACTCAAATGAACATATGTGGTGTGAACCTGAGACCAACCCACAGAGGCCAGCTGTACCTACTTCTAGGAGAAGCATCTACTGAAACATCCTGAATCAGAAGGTTCTCACATGACTTATACCAACTTAAAAGACACTATGTTAGGCTACTCAGTTTTGTTGGTTATTACATAGCAATACTTGCTTGATCTATCAACTTAAATTAGCCTTGTCGAATTCAAGAGAGGGTGCTAAACATACCTTTGAATCTGGGCTTCCCAAGATGATCAGTTTCTCTTGTTGGGCTTGAGCTAAAGTCAGTTGTATTGCCTGAGAATGAAGGATTATGGACAGTTTTGGTGAGGGATAAAGAAAGATTCATGACCCAACCAAGAATATAGTAAGGACTAAATATTTAATATTCTTCCTAAATTATTTGCAGTTTTTATTTCCTTTATCATTATTATACATATTCACCTAAAATAAAAAGCCAGTAATTTTATCCCTACTGCAAGATTTTCTATAGTGTAATAATGAATTACATATCGCAATCAAGTAGTTAATTCCATTAATAAATTAAGATATGTGTAGTTAGTAATGATGTGTGATTCCATAGTAGCAATGAATAGTCTAGATCTTTTTAGGAAAAAAAACATAACTCTTCTATGTCTGCTAAGGAAAGAAGCATATTCTATATCAAAACATTGAAAATAATATAATTTTAAAATTAAAAAGGCACAAATTAATCATAAAATTAAGAAAAACAGAAGATCCAGAACTGAGACTCTATTTCTTCTATAAAATATTTTAGTTTCTCATATCCAAGTATCCAGTGAGAACAGACTGACATACTAACCAAGTTCTTCTCCAGATGCAGGAGCTGTTGGTTGCTTTTTATCTGCTCCTGGTATCTCTGAGGTGGTTAGCATAGGTTTGAGTGTTGCCCTCTGGGGCGGGGAAGTAACACGGTGTGATGAAATGATTCCTGTAACATAGAGTCAAAGTAATAAGTCTTTATAGGAGCACTGCCAAGTTTGAGTATTTATTCTCAGTAAATGTTTAGTAAGCACATTCTATGTAGATTAGCACTTTTAGGCTTAAAGAGAGAACAGAACTTGGTTCTTAATGGAGATAAATGTATGTATGAGTCATGGGCACTGACACATCATGGACATTATAAAAGAATTAGAGAAGTCATAGGGGGCAAGAAGAGGAAGTATTTGAATCTATTGGGAAAAGATAGAAGGTGTTAGGGTGGGCAGGAATGTGTTTACAGAGATGATTCAATCAGAGAGAACTGATCAGAAGATAGGAATGAGGGTTTTATTTCAGCCTTAATGAAATCTTATTTATCTTCAGCCTTAAATTGCTGTAAGAATCATGAGGAAAGATGAAATAGCCTGGCATATTTAATTTGAAGGGGTGGGAGAAGAGATTGGCTAGTGATCATTTGAGAGCTGACAGGAACACAGCAGGGCAGATTATCAAATAACTTGCACAATTTGGGTTTAGAAGTTATTTTCAAGTAATAAGGACCTATGGAAATATTTTCAATAGGAAAGTAATAGGATGAGCAGAAGATGAATGACTCAAGAGCAAGCCTGGTAAGTGAGAGAGATCAGGAGACTAAGGCATTTACCTAGACAAAGGAAGAAAATGTGAATCTCAGCAGAAGCAGTGCAAGTAGATGGAAGACGTCAGACATCAGAAACATCAAGGAGATGGAATGGTGTGACTTGGAAATTAGGAGGTAGGCATACGACACGCCCTGTGCCCAGAGAAGTGCTACCCTGAGTGGCTATATTCAAAGGTGATTCATTCTTCTATTCCAAAATTACTTACACTGCACTCCTCCAAAACTTGATCTATCCCAAGGTCTAAGGATTCTATGTGTTTAGAGCAGAGGGACTGGATTTTATTGAACTGCAGCTGAGGATATCTGACCTAACCAGGAAAACTCTGCAAGGGAAGTCCCTTGGGTTTTTCATGGGCACATCCAGTCATTACTTTCAATCTGTGACTCACCCAGGCTGATCTAAAGGCAGCTGGCATTCATATTTCAGTTGCCTCATGCTACAGTTAATCATAAAACTTGGACTTCTGAGAACATGCCTTTGGACTTCCACTCAGGAAGGTACTAGATGCATGAATGAGAGGCTAACTCCTCTGCCAGACATTCAGGAAAATGACCTAGAGTTCTCCAGATGCAGGAGCTGTTGGTTGCTTTTTATCTGTTCCTGATATCTCTAAAGTGGTTAGGGTAGGTTAAAAAGCTTCCCCATCAGGGGCTGGGGGTTTAGCTCAGTGGCATAAGCGCCTGCCTTGCAGGCAGGCAGTCGTGAGTTTGATCCCTGGTACCGATAAAAACGAAAAAGACCAAAAAAAACGCAAAACTTCCCCATCACTATGGCTTCTTTTCATGCTGACACAGCATTTTCCTTCCCATAAACCCTCAGTTTTGTCTTTTACAGCTTTCTTTTATACTTTTATTCAGATTCCACTTACCGAATATTTAGGAAGTAGATATTTGGGGAGACAAATATACCCAATAGGGAACATGTAATTTGCTGATAGGTCTCAGGAAAAAAAATCTTTAATAGAAATATGGTAGAGTTTTGCTCTGAACTAGAACATTTTTCACTGACTCTTAGTTCCATTCACTTATTCATCCAGTCATTATTTATCAAATATTCTCTATGAGCGAAGTGCTGGTTTGGTTCTGGAAACTGAGAGACTATCATCACAGAGCTTGTGTTGCTGTAGTGCTCTGCCCCCTCAAGCCTCACATGTTCAGATATGAGGCTATGGGAAGTTGGTTGGACCACAGGGACAATGTACTTATGGGTAGGTTCATTTATCTACTGGTGAAATCAGTAGTTGTGTACACACAGTTAGAAAGTGGGTCGTAGTTAGAGATGGGTTTCTGGGCATGTATATGAAAGGATCTCTCTCTGTGTCTGTGTCTGTGTCTGTGTCTGTGTCTGTGTCTGTGTCTGTCTGTGTCTGTGTCTGTGTCTGTGTTTGTCTGTCTGTCTCTCTCTCTTTTTCTCCCTCTCTCTCATGACATGAGCAGCTTTCCTCCACTCTGCCCCTCTGCCGTGCTGTTTCTGTCCTGGAGGCAGCTAACCACAGACTGTAACCATGAGAAAGTGATTAAGACAACTTGGTCTGAGGGGAAGACAAGTATACAAACAAATGGGTACAACACAATTTGCTATTCGTTCTAACAGAGGCATGTCTCAAGGTTGCATAGAGAAGAAATGCCAAAGCTTCTGTGGGGAGCTGCAGGAGGGATGATGTGTGAGTCTTGCCAATTCCGCCAAAGTCGAGAGGACTCTTGCTATGTGGAGGAGCAATTTGTACGCAGGCATGGAGGTGAGAATCAGCTTGACTCCTAAGACAGATTTGTGATGTTAAATGGGCTAGGCCTCCTCAGTTGCCTCAATGGTTTAGTCCTAATTCTTTCCCTAAGCTGGGACTGGAATAAAGCTAGGGGAACTTTGGATGAAATATGTAGAACTTCATTTTAGGTAACAAAATTGTAAATCAATGAGAGGGCATCACATTTTAAATTATCTCTAGGGGCTTTGCAATATATATTATCTCATCCTTCAATTCAATCCACTTAGAGGGCTAGAGTCATCTTTTATATAGATTCTAAGCATGCAAACATCTAAGAAGCAAGCTATCTTAGATACAGAGGGATAGTTTCTTTCCCTCTACCTGTCCAGAGTCAGAGTGTAAGTCCACAAATTTGTAAGTTATAATGTCTAGTTCTTGGGACCTAACAAGAATGGGCCAGACACATCATTGGCTTATCTGGAACATTAGGAAGGGTGTAAAAATTAGAAATCATGGCTAGCAAACCTGAAATAACTGAGGTGGTCATACCTGAACTTCCTGGCTTGCCAGTAACATTGTTTGGTGGTAAAGGTTTTCTTCGTGGGTGTACAGGTCTAGGTGGCAGAGGTGGGCGGCGAGTCCCTGGGATTGTAGCTAAAACATTATAGATAATTCCATCACGAACATTTGTCATACAAAAATCAACATTTTTCTTAAAAAATAACATTTGATAGATAGAAGTTGATAATAGAGTAGATTTTATACAAAAGTGTATATATAAGTAAATATGCTGATATTCTTGTAAATTAATGTTGATAATCTACCAATGAAGCATATACTGGAAGCAGTATATGTTTTACATATACTGATATTACATTCTATAATTACAGATGCAAATATATATCTGCCTTTTGATACATAGAATCTAACATTTTAAATTTCCTGTTTAGGTTAGCATTTGTGAATTTCATTATTCCCAATTACTTTTGACTTTGAGACTATAATTTTTATGGCTTTTTAGCTTTGAACTGTTAAGCATATGATTTCTGTCTTTGTAGATGTTTAACCCTATCATTTAACTTTATTAATATGTAGTTAAACAAACACCTTCTGGACCTCTTAAATGATTATACCAAAGTTACCCAGGGGGCAAAAGAAAGAATTTGGTGCTTGTGGAGAGCAGGGTCCCTAGGATCCACTTGCAGTGCTTGTTCAATTCAGCAGGACTCCTAGCCGGAGGTTGTGAGTGGGAACCAAAGTGTAACACCCATTCTGTTCATCCACTCAAAACCTTTGGGACAAGGCTGCCAGCCTAGAGAAAGGCACATATTTTTTTCTAACTGGTCTGACTAAAAGACAGAGGAAAGTAGGACCTTTTCATAATTTGCACAAACTTGTCTACTTTGCACTAATTTGGCAAGGCTAAAGATGTTTAACATACATTTTAAGTCTTGTGTTATAACTCAAAAGCCTTCTTTCATTGCATTATGTAAGATGATTTTTAAATAATTATCAATGGAAGTAAATGCCTTATGGCTATAAAGGACTTCCAGGGAAGGGCGAGGGAAAGAAAGGAAATGGAAGGGGAAGAGGGAGAAGAGGGAGAATGATGATGAAGCCGTTAGTGCAGAACAGTAGATCTCAGCATCATTTGAAAAACCAAAGGTATTCTGAAAGTTGCTAACTTTTTTCCCTATTTTACCTATTTCACATAGTGTACTCTTAAGTTATTAATCATTTCCAGCAAAAGGACAATGTAATATAAACCACACAAGAACAAAACGTGATGAAAACTGGAACCCATGGTAATACAACATTATAGAAAATAACTATTAAATAAATGCCCCACTTGGAGAGGTTAATATTTGATTTGTGCATGAATACTTTTAGTTCCCCTAAAGCTAATATGTTGGAATATTTCTCTCATAATGCAGATATACTGTTAACACAGTTCTGACATGTTGAGGGCCATGTGGATATCACTATTTTTTCTGCAACAAATTCTACTGCAGTTACTGTGCAAGTTTCAAACCTGGGTTACAGTAGGGGAGTCAGCATTCTATCCTTTACCTGGTCTTTTTGTGGATTGGACAGAGTCCACTGACACATTTCTGCCAATGCCAGATGGCTTGGGTCCTTGCTTGGCCCCTATGAATAGAGATAATGAAAGAGAATAAATGTATAACAAAATATAATAAATTCTTCGTGAGAACTTGTTAATCAATGACAACATGCATTCTGAACAGAGCAGGGATACTGGTGTTTTTTGGACTAGATATTTGATTTTCATTTGGGTACATAAAAAAATTTAAAACCCTACACTCATTGGCTATATTATCTCTATGAGGATAGCATTGGATTATGGGTTGTTAGTCGCATTTCTCCATGACCCTCATAACAGTACCACCTTACTGGGAAGTATCACCTTGCCAGGCAAAATTTCATCTTTTACTAAATATCTGCTCTTTGCCAATATTTGTGGGTATGTTTAGTAGTTTAAAAAAATTTCCTCCAACTTCTTCCATTCCCATAAAAACCTTAGAATTGCAACATGCTTAGGTTTATGTTTAATGAGTTGATTTTAAAAATATTCCAGGGCAACCAAAAGACTTTTAAGTCAACATTCAAAAATCAATAGCCTTCCTATACACAAAAAGCAAACTCACAGAAGGAGAAATTAGGGAAACCATACCTTTACAATAGCACAAAGAATGAAATATGTAGAAATCAATCTGACAAAGTAAGTATATCCAGGGAAAACCATAGTATTCCATAAGGGAGATCAATGAGGATATCAGAAACTGGAATGATGCCCCTTGTTGTTGGATAGGCAGAACGAATATATTGAAAATGGTCATATTTCCAAAACTGTTACACAGATTTAATTCAGTTCCAAACAGAATACCAATAGTTTACTTCACAAAACTGCAGAACTACAGAAAACAATCCTAAAATTTATTTGCAACCAGAAGAGATCTACAATAACAAAAGCAGTTTTGGGCAACAAGTGCAAGGCCAGGGACATCACAATCCCTGGTTTGAAATTATACTACAAAGCTAATGTGATAAAAAAAAATTAAAAACCACCATGGAATTAGAAAAAATAAGCCCAAAACCCAGGATCAATGTAACAGATTAGAAGTTGCAGAAGCAACTCCAAACATAGCCAACTTTATGTTTGACAAAGTAGCCAAACATGTTTGCTGGAAGAAAGATCATCTCTTCAATAAATGGTGTAAAAACTGGCTTTCCACATGCCAAAGACTAAAACTAGACCCATGTCTCTTACCATGCACTAAACTAAAATTGAAATGGATCAAAGATCTAAATATTAAAATAGAAATAGTAAATCTGTTGGAACAGGATAGTTAGAACTCCTAAAGACATGCACCTCTATGGCTGCCTTAGAAACAGACTTTTTTTTCACTTATTTTTTTGGAGGGGGTAACAGGTATTGCACTTGCCAAGAAGGTGCTTATGCTTCTGAACTAAATCTCCAGCCCCAGAAGCAGATATTTTTAAGAACCTAGATAGTAAGTATCACTTCATATATAATGGCTCATCCCAAAAGAGAATCCATACTCTGAGGATGGGTAATTAGTGTATTAAAAACAGAATTATTTACCTAACATTCAATATACTAGCTAGTATATGAACTACCATATTAACCAGGATAATAATCCGGTTTTGAGTTAAGGAACTTTTTAGGGACGTTATTTATACAAGCTCATTTAAAGGTCAGAGAGATGTAATGATTAAATATATAGCAGAAGCTTTGTTTGACAAAAGTGAGATGACATTTCTGCATTTAATTGTGAAAGCTGGGAATGAACTTAAAATGGTAAACCACAGTCTGTTGCTTGAATAAAAGAGAACATAAAATCATGGTGAATGTTTATATGGAACCATGAATCAAATTACTTATTTGTGGTAGGAAAAGTTTCTGGAGCCAATGACTATTTTGTAGCTAACTCCACCAGCATGGGGAAAATGAAAGGTCCATTAATCTTCTTTTGCTCCACTGTCAGTGGTAACAGTGTGAAGAAAATGGCCCATTTGAGTGGTTGCTGTGTAAATAGGATAGGGGAATGGAAAATATTTCTTTTTGTGGGACCAGAATGACATAGTTTTGTGGGGTTTGAGACACCTCTTTTTGTCAACAGCATAAATAAATAAATAAGTAACTATCCTGAAAGGTCAATACTGTGTATACCTTGAGTAGATCCTTTTTCATGGTTCTCCAAATATTTTGACCCAATACAATTGCCTGTTGGGAGACTGCCATCCTTCTGTGAGGGAGACAACATTGAGGGCCAAAGGGGAGCTAAGGCCTTTGGGGATTAGGCAAACTGCCCAACATCTTGTATCTAGGAAGTGCTACTTGTATCTAGGAAGTAGCAAGATTCAGAATCATATATTCCTTCCTGTCTTCTTTCTCAAGAGGCCTTTATATCGTTTCCTTTTTTTTTTCCTCTTGCTCATATCAAAGACTCTTAAATGAGACAGCCTGAAAACCTTATTGTGTGTTTCTTAGGTTGGTTGAGGTTGACCACTAAACGAGGGTTAAATGACCTTGGCTGAATAGTATCTGTTATCCATCCCTGCCATTGTCATGTGGGACTCAGAAAATAGGCTTTAAGGAGTGTCTGACCAAGCATATGCAGATTTACCAAGCTGCAGGGCAAGAGTCCAAAGGGACTAGTGAGTTTAAGATACAGGATCCAGTGTTCTACAGGGTTACTTCATAAATAAGACCAAAGACATAAATTCTTCAGTTCTCTTCCCTAATCAAGAAAGAAACTGGGTTGATGATGTAGCTCATTGGTAGAATGGTTAAGTAGCATGTGCAGTGCCCTGTGTTTGGTCTTCAACATGAGAGAGAATGAGGAGATGGAGAGTAGGGAAAGAGACAGAGGAGGAATTTTTCTTTAAAAGTCAGTTTTTGTGTAGTTGAAAACAGAAGCATCTTAATGGTGTAATTCTTATATGTAAGTACCCAAGTTAGCAGCATATCAGCTGCTCACTGGACTTTGTCCAGCCTTTACAGATGGAAAGAAGCTGGTGGCAGTAACAGCCCTGAGAAGGGTCCTACAAAAGGCAGCTGTGGAGGTCGGCATAAAGAGCTGGGACCGGATACTGAGTTCCACTTCCAGATAGACCAGTGAACTTCTGCTGACCTGAGTTAAAAGCAAGTGAGAGCCAATGAGCAAATGAGAGCCAGAGACAGCAGAGAGGGAGGGAATGGGAGGAGAAAGAAGAAGCCAGTAAATGAGACACAACAGAAAATGTATCTACAGGAATTGGCATCCAGCAAACAGTCTGGCCCAAGCTGTGACCTGAATTCTTTTTCCCCTCAGGCAGGATTAATGGATACATCTTCTGAAGGGCAGAGTGAGTTTGGGAAGCATCAAGCCTTGAGCCTCAGCTGAGCCACCAACTGCCATATGGGAGTTCGCCAAAAATCTCTGGATTTACATAGCTTGCCACCAAGAAATTTTTGTCCAGAAGGAAGTAGTGATATGTGTATTTTTCACTATAGTAATGAAAACTTTGCAAACAAATATGGTAAACTAGGAATCAATTTTCAGATGTATTAGTAACTCCATTTTCTGTGTCCAAAAGGGTGTGTGATATTTATGGATGTAGATGCCTGGTCTTTGGACCCTTCAAATCTTCAAATATTAGCAGCTGGCTAAAATTTCAAGAGCAATGGAGCCAGCAGCCTGGAAGATTTAGTCACAGCACCAGAAAAACACATTCCTCAGCCCAAGGAGTCTGGGTTCTCACTGAGAATCACACTCCATGTGGGGGAAGTAATGTGTGGTTTTCTCATTAGGATTTAGAAGAAAGAATCTGAGATTTGACTATTTGACAATATTGTCAAATAATATCTGACAAGATAGTTTTAGAATTACAATTTGTCTGTCATATGATGGCCCTTTAATAAATGTTGGTTGAATGGAAACAAAGGTAAATGGCTCAACAGCTTCTAGCTTCAGAGAGAAAATCAAGAGAGGATGTCTAGCACAGAGGCTGACAAACTTTTTCTATAAGGAATCAACCATAAATACTTTCAACAGTATAGGCTGCACCATCTCTGTCACAACTATTCAACTTAGCAGATTCTAACATATGAAGCATATCACTAAACTAAGCTACATCTCTGGAAACAGAAAAAGCAGAATGATAGGGAAATGACCTATCTAAAATATTAACCAATAGAGTGAAAAGACAACTCACAGAGTGGGAAAAAAAATGTAGCCAATGGTCCCTCAAATAAAGGACTCTTATCTAGAACACATAAAGAATTAAAAAGACTCAGACTTCTTCCAAATGCAAAGACCCAATCCAAAAAGGGGCATTTGAGATGAAAACACATTTCTCAGATGAAGAAATACAAGTAGTAAATAAATACATGAAAAAAGTTCACCATCATTGGTCATTCAAGAGATGCAAGTTAAAACAATACTGAGATTCCATCTCACTCTAGAAAGATCAGATATCATCAAGAATCAACCAATAACAAATGCTGGCATGGATGTGAGAAAAAAAAAAAAAAACCACTTCTCCAGTGTTGGTGAGAGTATAGACTAGTGCAAATATCATGGAAATCAGTGTGGAGATTCCTTAAAAAACTAGGGCTAGAGGTCACTTTTGAACCAGCTTTCTCCTGCTGGGTATCTTCCAGAAGAATTAAAAAGCATGCCATAGTGATATATGTGCACCCATGTTTTGGGCAGCACAATTTGTAATAGTTGAATCTTGGAAACAACCCATCACTAAGGAATGAAAAAAAAATGTGATATTTTTATACAATCTAGTGCAACTTGGGTATAAAGATGGATACACTGGAGACTTTTATAGGTTAAATGGATGCAACTTGAGACCATACTTATAATTGAAACAAAACAGACTCACATGTGTAAACATCATATCATCTCCTAGGTATAAGAGTAAATAAAGTATAAAATGTACAATAGATGCTGTGAAAAGTGAAGAAATTGTTCAAAAGGAAAAAGGAACTAGGATGGGTGAAAGGGGAAAGGCAGTAGGGAAAAAGGAAAAAAATGCAAATCAGTTATAATATTAATATCTCTTTTTATTTAGAGAAAAAGCAAAACAGAAAAAGGGTAGAAATAGTACAGAATTTCAAAAAAAACAGTAAGAAACCACTAGTTGATAAATTACATATTTTTATCTTAGAAGTAGTTGTTCAAGTTACAAAATCAAAGCATAAAAAGTGGACAAACAAACAATGACAGTACAAACCATTCTGTTTGATGAACTAACAAAGCAAGGTTTGTGATCAGATCAATTGGAAAAATTTTTAGACCTATATCTTATACCCTGTTGTTACTTTAAAGGTAACAACATATAATGTAACTATTGGTATTCTCCTACTATTTTGTTATGAAATTTTGTTTTACCATTTTTCCATAAAATAAAATTTTAAAAAATAAAAATAAAAAAATAAATCTTAACCTTTCCAGATTATTTTCTAAACTTGATATAAAGGAAAATCTTCATAGAGAGGTATGAGATATTTGTAATGCAGAAAAAACACCTGTAATGTTATTATGAAATAAAAAAATCTGGTTTAAATATTGTTCAAAACGTTTTTGAGGTTAAAGTGATTATTGAAAAAATTTTTTTAAATCTCTCTTAGTCAAAGTTTCAGTCTGGAGACCTCAAATCTTTTCCTTTTTCTTCTTTTTCTTCCAAGAGAACAACCTTTGGAGGCCTACAATTCTGAGTAATATGTTCTGCAGACTCTGACACTTCCTTTATCAACTAATTTTTTAAATTAGCTATTTATGAGCTAATGGAAAATATATATGAGATGGATAATAAAGACATACATTCTGGGCAAAATGTCAAAGTTGAATATGAACTAAATTGACATAAAAAAGCCTCTGATTCATAATCAATAGAAGCTATAAGTAAATGTGGCTGAGGTGATAGAATTTTATCAGAGAAAGAAATAAACTAATTTCAAATTGTTGCAGTTCTGTAAACAAGTCAGACTAAAACTATGCAGAATAAAAGGAATGTAGATTGAGAGAAGTCTATAAACTGGAATGACTAGGCTTTAGAAATCATGATTCTTTACCATTATTCCTTGACTAATATCTGATTAAACTTTCCTTACATAGTGCTTACATAGATAATCGTATTACTTAGGATTTCTGATTTAAAGAATTTCTTTTTTTATTTCCTTAACTAAACTCTCCACTATTACATTTATTAGAAGTGGTAAAAGTTGTATTTTCAATCTTAGGAGAAAAGCATTCAGTCTTTCACATTGAACTGCGGTGTTAGCTGTAGGCTTTCCATAGATGCTCTTCATTAGATTGAGGAAATCTATCCCTAAATTCCTGAGTTTTCACCAGGAGTGAGTTTTGAACTTTGTATAGATTTTTTTATTCCCCTCCAACAGTCAGACAATATTTCTCCTTTATTCTTTTAGTGAATTATGTTAGTCAGAATATGGAGTGAATCTTGCAGCCGGGGAGTAAATTCCATTGGGTTATTATGTATTACTGTGATAGAGTGGTGTATGTACCATTCAAGGATTTATCAGCTAAGACTGATCCTAAACGAAATGGCAACTGGATACCACCTTGTCTGGTGACCTTATTCATGCAGGTGAACTGAAAGCCCTTCCTTAACAGAGGGTACCAACAGAAGAACAAAAGAACAGAGAACAGGTACAAGAAATTTCAGTTAGAGATGAAAAGCAGCAAGAAAAGTGGAGACTATGAATTCTGCATACCTCTGCCCACCAGCCCAGTTTCTACCAACAACTAACTAAATTGCAGAAGCACTAATATGTTCTTCCAAAGCTATGTTGGACGAGTTATTATTGGAAAGTTGATTTAATGAACATAGTGGCAATAGAAACCAGCTTATGATGCAGGTGGTTTTGGAAAATGTTTATAAAACAAATATGGTAATCCTCTGTTTCTCCTCAAATGACATTTTCCTAGTAAGAATTAATGTTTGATTAAGGGTAATGGCGTTCATGTATGATCACAGCAACTTTACCTGTTGTTTCATTTACTTTGTGGACATCTAAATATTTTTTCTATTTTTATTTATGCAACTTTCAAGGAATTATTTTAATACCAAAAATTTGTACCTACTTTCTTCCCAAAAGAATCTGAGAGAAGACAGTCCTTCTTAGATTCAGATTGTTTTTGTCAATCTGAGAAATCATGCACTGCCTACTCTTATAGTTGGGAAGAATAAAAAGAATAGTTGGGCATAATTAGGCACTGAACACTTCCTTGTTTTTCATGATTTAGGAATTTATAGTAAGGGTCTCATTATTTGATTTGAAGAGACGTAAGTTCCTAAAATTTCAGATACTGTAATAATCAAGTAAAATTACAAAATAATTCTAAAATCTAAATGATTTTAGATAAAATCAAATTGAATACCTCTTTTTCATTATGAAACCATCAAGGTTCAACTGAAGATACATGCATTAAATAAATTATTATCTTATGTTTTCATTTATGGAGCAAGGTAAGATTTATACTACTGAAATATTTCAGGACAATGATACAATTCCGTATCAGGGCATGTCATTTTTACCATTTATCCATGGAGAAAGTTAAGAATTAGAACTTTTATCAGATTAGTGTCCTAATTACCTGCAGTGATGTCTACTCCAATAAAGCTGACCAAACAAGGAGCATGCCATTTATTTAGGCCGAATGATTTGTAAACATTAATATGACTTCAACAAGATGACCAGTTGCTAATTGTGCTGATTAAATATGCTTCTTCTTTCAATTCTATATAAAATGCCATAGACACATGCAAGTCTTTGTGAAAAGTTATAATTTTTTGGTAAAAATTGCAAATTTGAAAACCAAGTAATCACAATCTTAAAGATCAGCTCACAAAGAGAAACCACTTGGAAATTAAGGAAAAAATGTTTATTTGTAATATATTCATCCAATAATTTGTATTTAAATTTTTTTTTGTCTTTTTCCTTTTTATCAGTACCAGGGATCGAACTCATGACTGCCTGGTTGCAAGGAACTCATGATTTCCTGCTGAGCTAAATCCCCAGCCCCAAATTTATATTTAATAAGGATTCATGTTAAGAAGTAAGAGTATATTGCATGGTACCTAATATAGTGGATTGGGTTTAGAAAAGTGAAAAATTATTTTCCAGTATTTTAGACAATTTGATAATTTGAGAATGAATTCTAACTTTCAGTTCCAGTTTTACAAAGAATTTCCAAAACTAGTAAGAGAAATTGAAGTACAAATTTAACAAAGTTATATACAAATAACTAATTTTAAATTACATATAAAGAACTAAGTTTTGTAGTTTTGACAAGACCAAAAGCAAATAAATTTGGATTACCTGTTTCCACTCCATTCCTGCTGGGTATCCCACTGGGTTTGGGTCTAATAGGTTTTGTAGTTGTCCTATTCAGGACTATAAAAATGAGAAGTTAGTTTAAACATTTTTGTTAGAAGTTTGCCACTAAGTAAAGAAAACAAATTTCATGAATAACTGCAAGTGATTTAATAAAGCAATGAGAAAATTATGTTTTACTAAATAGCATTGTTTAGAATATAGAAACTTCATACTGGTATAAAAAAATCACAGACTTGAGTCTGGAAATAGACACATTTTTACGAGATAGTCACTGGCTTCAATATTTGACTTTAAAAATTAACTGGAAAAAACCCTTATAAATCTAAATGGGGAATAGTTACCTTGCTTCATTTATCAGTGTGATACACCTTCCAAAACAGAACTAAAGAAAGGTCCTGACTAGCTATGTTTAATGAAAAATCAAAACATGAAGTGTATTTACTGTCAATACCTGAATTTACTACTCAAACATCTGTGGTCCTTTCATAGGAGTCTTAGGAATGGATATTTTATTAGCAGAGTCCTTGCAGAAAACTGAACAGTGACAAAAACATCTGAATCTCTCTCCTTCTCTGTAGAATGCCATACACTACAAAAAGCTTTCAGAAATCATCTACACTGCCAGGGATATAGCTCAGCAGTATAGTGCCTGCCTGGCAAGCGCAATTCAATTCTTGGAAACAAACACACACCCAAACAAAAATAAGGTCACCTATGTCATAGTCACTTAGAAATATCTTTAAGGGGTACATGAAGCACATTTGCCTTTGTGAGCAAGTTCTGGAGCCAGTCTGCTTGCCTTTGAGTATCTTTTCTGTTTGCTCTCAGCACCGCAGTTTCCTCAACTGTACTTGAGAGACCAGGGCAAACACTCAGCTATTGCCAACATTACCTTTAATCTTTCCTTATTTTGTAGAAATGACTAACCAGCCACATATTGAACTCTCAACAGTTACTGTGACACAAAAGTCATAGAGAGATATCTGTTTATAAAATATATCTGTGTCTAACTACCATTAGGAGCTAGAAACCATGCCAAAATATAGATTCTCTATACGAAGACTCTTTAGAATCATGATAAAAAAGGATGGGAGACATCTATCTTTGGTCCAATTTTTACTTCATCACAGAAGCTGTTTGCATAGGCTGAATCAACTTCTCTAAGTTAACTCCTCCAAGTTAACTTTTCTTTAAAATATTTAAAAATCCAAATATCATTAGAGAATTTAGTAAGTTATGGTATTTCCTAATAAGTAAGTATGACCTCATTGTAGCTATTTTCCATTTATAATTATTTTATCCTTTGAAAGAATAAAGTAAACATGTTCCTCCTTTAAACAACTTTTTCTGAACAGAGAAATAATATTTGAAATTGTCATAGAAAGTTGAAGTTGTGTGATTTATGCACAAATACCATTTTGAAAATATTTTCATTTCAGTAAAATTCCATAGGGCTTTCCGATTCTGAACAATCATGAAAAACCTTAAATTCTGTCATTTTCATGGATTCATTAGTACTTCTCTAATTGCAAGTATTAAAGATTCTACATATTCTTTCCTGTACATCTTATATAACTTCTCTGGTGAATTTGTCTGATTAAATCAACTTTATATCTCCCGTCTGTGGATTATTTAAATTATTGGAGAAAGAGAAACAACTTACCAGGTCTAACGTACAGTTTGTCAGGCATTCTGGGCCTCACAGGAGTAGTATACAGTCTGTGTGGTGCTGAAATAGAAGAAACACTTTATATTTAATAATTTATAACCCAGAAATCACTGGATGGAGATTTGTCATCCAACAACTCATAGACTTTGGAAGGAAATAAAATGTTCTGAAATCTCAAAGTATTCATTATATATGTCATGGAATATAAAATAAGTGAATGCATTCATGAAGGAAAATCAAATATGTATACAGAATGAGGTAGGTCATTTGTAATTGTGCTAAAGGTGAGTCCTAATTTACTTCATGCTTTTCAAGTGCATTAATTTTATCAGAAGGTTGTTTAATGCGATCACCATATAAGCCATCCATGCATCCATGCATCCACCCATCCATCCATTCATGTCTCTCAGTAAGGAATCATTGTTAAACATTGTTTTCCCAAAGAAGACAAACACATTTAAAGCCCAAAAGAGAAATAAAGTTTTTGGTAGATAAGAAAATTAGTAACAGTGGTTTCTATTGAATCATCTTTACTCGTGAACTCTGAAAAAATATACATTCAATGCCCCCCAGAATGGTGCTGTCCATAGGAATGAGGGAACATGAGGTCTGATGCCCTGCCATCCAGGAAACATGAACAAAGAGTGAGAATTAAGCCCTGAGTCCCAAACACCTCCTCTTTAGTCTCTGCTCCTGTTTTCCAGACTCTGCAAGAAGACCTAATGAGTGCTCAACAAAATAATAAATAGGTAACCATTTTAAGCAGGCAAAGTTTGTAAAAGCTGCTTGTTTATAAAGTTTTAAAAATGTGTTTTCATCTTGAAATTTGTTCATTCTGCTTTAGCTCTTCTGTTTCCTTTATACCAGCTGCTTTTTGCAAGCAATTTGTTTTGCTAAAGTTTTAGCTGAGACTAGAAAAACTTTTCTTGCAAATTATATATGCATTTTATATCATTTTGATGGTTTTGTTACACCTTGAGTGGGTATTCATAGCACTATAAATCAGCAATGCTTTGCCTACCCAGCTTAAAATACAAAATATACCTGTGAAATACTTTATAATGGAACTCATTCATAAGCTTCCAATAAGAAGACTGTGATGAGCAGGATTTGCCACACCGCAAGGCATCAACAGCAGAGGCATACTGAAATCCTCCAGAGGTTTATCTTGACTCTTTCCAGGATTATAATCAGAATGAATAGAGGTATTGATGTTAGAAAGAATTAATTCCCACATACCCTAAAAGGTGATGATCTGCAAATGTTTTTCTTCAGTTTTGAGAGCTGACAAAAATTCTTGTCAGTTTATTTCAGCTGTGTGTGTGTGTGTGTGTGTGTGTGTGAGTGTGTGTGTGCGTGCACACAAACCCTTCTTAATGTTAGATCAGTTTTGCTTCATGGTTCTCATTCTAGAAAATATATGACTTTTAAAACTTTGAACAGGGAAGAGATCAGAGTAGAGCACAAAAATAAACAACCAGAGTACACTCAGTATTTTAAAGCCATGGGGTTAGAGACATTTTTAGTCTTCACGTAAATCTAGAAAGAAATTTTAATTAAAGAGTTGAAATATAATTTAAGTTTGGGCTGGGAGTTAAGCATCATGTCACCTCAAGAAAACTGCTGTAGGGATTAAATTTTAATCTGAAAAAAAATGGAGGAAGACAAAATTGCTATGTGACAATGTAACTGCGTTAACATTGCCACATTGGTTTGGGTGACCAATAATAAAAATGAACAATACGTAAAGATGATTTCTTATATAAATTGTGTTATAAAAAGACATTAATAAGACATTAAAGTAGTATATGAAGAAAACATAAAAACAAAAAGCAATTACAAGAAACATTTTGAAGGACCCATGTTCCATTCCCTTACAGGGCACAAGAAAAAAGATAGCTTGCTCCGGATTGGGAAGGGATAAGTGACTGGAAGAAAATAACTAGAGACTGCAAAGTCCCTGACAATGTGGATTGCTACAGTGAGTTGAAATTAGAAGAAGGAGGAAAAGGAATTGAGTTACAAAATCTTTCAGGGAAATTGTCTCAGTAAACACAAGGGCAAGACTGCCACACACACAAACACACACACACACACACAAACTACATGTGGGAGATTCTATTAGGGGACTCTTGCTATGGACCCTAGGGATATTATTACTGAGGGTTTGTGGACCACTAAGCCACTAGGATCAATGGTATGTACATGATCAGAGTATGAAAAATAAGATGAATGATTTAATCTTTACTGCGTGTCTCTCAAATGTTATGTGCTTTTTTATATTCCTAATGTCTGATACTAAAATACAACAGATTGCCTCTGACTCAGCATTCTGGCTTACTTATGAGCATGATCCCAGTGACATCTACGCCTATAAAGCAGCTCACTTATAAACTTCCCATAAGACAAAGTTGAGTAAGATTTTGCCATACTGCAAGGCCACAACAGCTGAGGCATACTGAAATTCTCCAGAGGTTTATTTTGACTCTTTCCAGGATTACAATCAGAGTGAAAAGAAGTATTGATGGTAGAAAGAAATTTGGCATTCTCCCTCACAGGTTTATGGGGATGGGCCAGTTTGAGAATTTTCTCATCCACTTGAAATGGACCATTTTCTAGTTGCTTTTTGTTGTCTCTAAAAAATAGATTCCTTGTGAACCCACCCTGATGATTCTGGCCACAAACCTAGAAAAGTATGACTCCTAAGACAGCACGGTTGAGGCTCAATCTAAGAATCCTTAGTTTGTGAGAATAAAAGTAAAATATAATTCATTATATAAATGTGTAAAGATAGATTATATGATAATATCACATTCTTCATAGATAACCAATAAAGTGTTAAGCTTATATGTAATAAAAATGTTTTAGAAGGAATTTGACAAAAATTCTATGTATATTAGAATAACAAATACCAACATCTCTGTTTAAGAAAAAGCAAAACAAGAAAAAAAAGGCTTATGATGTTTAATCTTTGATCCTGAAACTCATAAAACATTAAAAGCTGATATACTGTTTTTATAAAATTGGCAACACAGCCTGATTGGAATATCTTTACTTATCCTGATTATTGTAAATATTTATATATTTTACACCAAAACATTGGCCATAAGAATGCCATTATCTTCTCTTAAGTGAAATGTTAGAAATGATTTGCCAAAACATAGGAAAAAAGATGGGATGTGGATGTAACACAACAGACCATCTGTCATTAATAGTAAACAGGATAATGGGGATATGAGAGAGCCAAGTAAAAGTTTTAAAGATATATTAATAAATAATGAAATGAAAAGCTAAACCATCAAACAAGAAAAGAGTTATAGAATTTAAAGAAACTGTCCTGTCCACAGTCCTCATTAGTCCTCTTTGTTTAGGATAAATATTGTCTAAGTACATACTTCAAAGTAGGTTGTTTTTATTGCTATCATATCTTTTTTAATTCAAATTTCATAGGCCCACTTTCCCCCTCACATTAGAACTGATAGTGGGTAAACTTACTTAACTTCCAACTCCTTAAAAAAAAGTTTACGTTTGTTTTTCATTTTTTGTCATTTAATAAGGATGGGAAAAAGGAATCATTAAAATAACAACATTAACACTAACATACTAGATATTTACAAATGGATATAATACAATAGGAAAATATAAAAAGGAAATATTTCTGACAGCATGAAGATAAGAGTTCACCTTTTTGTAAGCGAGTACATTTCCTCCAAAGTAGGAAATCACAGAGAAGAAATAACAGAAAATTAGAGGAAAATACCTTCTTGAGTATTCAAATACTATCACATTAAAAAAGATTTTGTTCTTGTCAATAAATTGTTTTCTCAGGCCACAGCATAAATGAGTTTCATCAAGGAGAAGAAATGGGACAGATGGAGAAAAGCAAGGCAGGGAAGGAGAAAATTGTAAAGGTTTCCCCCTACTTAGCAGATGTGGAAAATGAGACACATGAAGGGTAAGCAAGAGATAAAAAAGGAGAATTTTTCATTACTAGTTATCAGCATCCGGTGCACAATGCACTGGGAAGAAAAGCTGTACCTAAAGAACTCGTCCTTCCTGCATTCAGCTGATACTCAGGTTAAGTATTTAGGTCTAGATGATGTCCTTCATGTTTAACATGAAAAAGTTAAGTAACTCACTGTGATGAGAAAAGGATTTTTGAAAATAAAGCTTCTTTCTTGATTAAAAGCAAATAAGAGAAGTCATTCTGCAGAGGTGGAGAAATAGTATTACCATGTGTTGTCTTTGCCAATTCAGTTGTTCGTGGACTCTTAGTTGTGAAGAGCTTTTGTGTGGTTTGATCTGTTTCTTCTGTAGAAAAACATAGTAAGATGCCTTGTTTAAAACAATAATCACTATGAACATAACAATAAAGCAAAAATGAAAAACAACGCATGCTCTTTTCTGCTCCATGCAATGATAAAAGGGTAAATTACATATTAAAATGTGCCCTAGAATCATAAGTCAAAGTTAGTCGTGTATTTTAACAACTCTTACTTATTATGGTTTGTTTTGTATTTCATTGTTGTTTTAATAATAATTAAAAAGCACTTCTAGCAAGGACTATTCTGTTTTATGACCCAGGATTAGCTACTTTCCTGTATGACTAATACATGAAAATCTGCATTTATCTTGTCTCTGTCTTTTCCTTACTCCACAGATTCACTGGCATTTAGGAGAATTGGAAAAAAATAGGTCACACATGGAAAGATGTGTCTTTATGCATTATGGGAATGAATTCCTCTATTTTTCTCAGGTGAAAATAAAAGTACATGTTTTTTGACACCGAGAAATATTTTTAACAAAGTAAATATGAGAATACTTTTGTCTTGAACTTATTACATTGTGGTAAATCACATCATTCCTTTTGTCATGTATTGGATCCAAAGAAATACTTGATATAAATAACATATTACTATCTTTTTCTTGCCTTATTTTAGTCTTATTATCTGCTCATAAAAAGATACCTATCATAGTTGGCAGGTGATAGTTCTTCCTTCAATAAACAAACACACAGAAAAAACAGAACATATAGGTTAAAGAATTTGAATAACAGATTTTGAAAAGTACTTTCATCATCTCAGGTGATGTGGACTTTGCAACCATATAGATGAGTATTTGGTCATACTTATGATATATCTGTTCATTCTAGTTTTTTCTAGATCAACTTCACTTTTAAAAATGATAACTTCACTTGAGCAGACACATAATGAATGGATTGACTTAAAAAGAGATGAAGGGAGGAAATAAGGCCACTGATTGAAACACAGCCACGTAGGATGTAGCAAAGACAGAGGAGCCATTAAGTGGGAACTGGGAACTTTTCCTCTTCGGTTCATTTTTAGCCATGACTTAGGCAAAATGGGGTTTCTTATACAGTGGACGTATTTGTGTTGAATTCCATGAAAAGAGATCCAACTCAAAACCAGCTGATCTTCCTGACCAATCATTCACGTTTCTTAGACTATCTGTGCTGCAGCACATGCCTGCCAGTGTCTCATTCCCATCCACTTTTTTTTTTATTTAAAGAGAGAAGAAAAAAAAAAAAAAAAGAAAGGACATAAAAAAATGCAGTAAAAGGGTACAAATAATACAGTATTTCTAGAAAAAAATATATACAGTACGAAACCACACACTATCTTCCCAGAATCAGCCGCCCATATCACTAAATTAAAGCATACAACATTCCCATCTATTTTTAACCTCAAGGTTCACTTCTAATCTGTGCCTCTCCAACTCTTTCCAGTGTGAAAACCTGGTGTAAATGCCACCTCGTGCTGCAGTTTTCTGGGCTCCCAGGTAAATGTGCTGTTCAGTATGTTGCTCATTTCACTGCCACACTCATTGCAACATGTAACAGTGGGTTAATCCTAGAAGCTCAAGTGACTGAGTGTGTAATTTCAAAGCCTTGCTCTGATACCAGATGTGTGATCTTGACTAGATTTTTAAAGTGCTCTATGCCTCAATATTCTAATGTGTAAAATGAAGTAAATAATGAAACCTACCTCACAGAATTATGTGGATTAAATTTTAAAATGCATATAGTACATTGGGTGGCACAGGGAAGGCAACAATGTCATTAAATCTTGACTTCATATTAGACAGTGAGCTCTCTAGAATAAACAACCACATTTAAAACAGATTTTTTGGGAGCCACATAACTTAGAATCATGCATAGTAACCAGTTAAGGCTCAATAAGCACTGGATCACTAATTTTCTTTCTAAATGCAATTTAAAATTTGAGCAAAGGCAAAAACAATAAAGGGTATATAACGACTGAGGAATATTTTTCTTCTTAGAATACAATCATCCCTCAGTATCTGTGGTAAATTGGTTTGAGGGCCTGTCCCACTATAAACACCCAAGTCCCTTGTATAAAATAATATAGTATTTACAGAACTTATATACATCTTCTCATATATTTGAATCATCTCTAGATTACTTGTAATGTCTCATTCAGCACAATAAATGCTATATAAATATAATGTATACAATAAAATATATTGATATATTTATATGCAACATATAATTATACACAGTATATTATTATATATTATGTTATATATTCTATATTATATGTGATATATATTTATTAATATGTTAATAAATATATAAAACAAACAGTTGAGATACTGTATTTAAGGAAAGATGATAAGAAAAAGGTCTGAATATATTCAATATAGACAGTTTCTAAAAATACACTTGATTCTAGTTTCCTTGAATCTACATATGTAGAACCCAAATACAGAGGGCTGTCTTTGAAATTTTAACAAGATACTTGAAAACACTATTTTTAAATTACAAATCAGCATAAATATTAGAAGGACAAAGATACAGTTAATATGAAAGTATAAAGGGATGCAGATTTTTTGTATAATGGTAAAAAGAAGCTTTGTATTGTTTGGAAATAATTCATTGTCACAAAATACCTATTAATACTTAAGGACAACTCCTTCAAGGTAGATCGCTTATTTGACTGACATTTCGAAACAAAATTTACCAGGTGTAGGTAGTAGTTCCTCCTGACTAAGTCTTGGTGAAATTATAGGTATGAAAGGGATGCCTCGTGTCTCTAAAGGAGCTGCAAAAGAAAAGCACGAAGTTTACAAACTTTGAACTCAAAACCAGCACCAAACTAGAATGTAATTGTATGCTACTCCTTTATTTGAAACATAAAAAGGGAAACATTATCTGGGTAATGATGAAAACTAAATGTGCACAGAACTTTAAAGAAAATAGTTATAGAATATTAGAACAATGGCTCTCAGTTGTTTTCTACCAGGGCACATAGTAAGTGATCTATGCTTCACTCACTCAAGGAGGATAGCTGGTTAAGATGGATATGGATAAGGTACGATCCTGGTCTGTTAGAGGTAGCTTTGTCCCTTTAATCTCCCACTCAAAAAAACATAGAGGATTACAAAATTATTGGGATAATTTTTAATCTGTTCATATTTAGTTTTGCAAAATATTACTACAATTTTCCATATGTTGAGCAATATTAACAATTCTTTACAGCATATTTTAAACTTGTCCTATCTAATAGACTGTGACTTTACAGCTAAAAGTCACTGACCCAGTGGACATTGTTAACTAGATGACGATATAAAAGGCAGAATTGTGAAGACAAGAAGTGGTCTTAAACTAAAACGTTTTACCCCAGTAAAACTATAGTTTTTCTAATTTTGAAAGACTAATCAGTGAGAATTAGATTATGAAATGGATTGAGAATAAATGATGTTTCAATTATGATCATGTGAGAAAGACCTGCAATCTTGATGGTAGCAAAGAGAACAGAGCTGGTCAAATTAGAAAAACCATTACCTATTGTTGTCTTTGGTGGCTCAATTTTAAATGTAACTGGCTGCAGAACTACACCAAAAGCAAAGCAAAGAAACATATTTGTGAGAATTACTACCTGATAAAGCCAAAAATAATTTCTTAATTTCTAAATGCATTCATTTAACCATTTGAATATCCTTTAAGAGCTATCATAAATATGAGCCATTTTTACATAAGGGAATTTAGGGAACTTAGTTTAACCAAGTTTAATCTTTCAACTTTAAAGATTTCATTCCCATCATTTTATGGAAAATTTTAGAGCAAGCACTCTTTCTACTTAAATGTATATTTTGTAGTCATAATGTAGTTACCTTTATATTTTTAAATGTGGTTTCTATTCAATAATTTTGTTTTACAATTTTAGCATGATCTACTATTCAATGAAAACACTTTCAGATAAAGTGAATTTATCATATGTCAGTACTTCATTTAATCAGGAGAAAAAACTTTCAGCTGTATTATATTATTAAACTTCCCCCAAAGAAATATACACTTTATATCTACAGCTTCCTTTGGGATTCTTTTATATCATAGCCATTGACATATATTTATAAGAATTTTTTTAAAAAATATACTTTCTACCCAGGAAAATAAAATAATTCATTTACCAGGTTCACTCTGAGAGATGTCAGGATCTGGTAAATGGGGAAAGGGCACATCTTCTGGACCTAAAAGAAAAAGATTATAAGGCACCGTGTCCTCTAAATGTTACACCTAGAATGAACACAACCACAAGATTAAAATTTCCTTAAAATATGAAGGGAGAAAAAATATTTTCAGAAGGATAAGAAGGTGATGATTGTTTCAAAATGGAAAAGTATCATTGTGTAGAGAAGGATCTGATGGAGTAAACAAATAAAGTTTATCAAAATTCATTTTAAAAGCTCCCTTGAGGGGAAAATAAAAGGTGGCAGAAAATAGTTCATATAATTAAACACATCAAGGTAGATCTTCAGGTCATTTTCAAAACACAAAGTCAGTTTTGCCTGGAGTAGTTAGCTGTCATTTGCCATTTACACTAGGATCCCACTGATAGCAATAGAAAATGGATTATTTTAAATAAAGTAGATAAATGGCCTACAAATTAAGAAAAATAGCAAGAAAACAGAAATCTTGAACAGAAAAGGACATAATGTCATTTAAAATGACACAACATTTCTATGATTAAAAACTAAAGCAAAGGGAATTTTCTGGCCATTAGAAGATACAATATGTAAAGTTCATGGCAGTTTTTGTTAGAGTAAATACTAGACAAATGCTGGCAATGGTGCGTTTTGTCTTCCTGAGTTCTGTGGCTTCCAGTATATTAGGTGTTGCTGATACTTGACATATATAATTAAGGAAAGACAAACATGCTAGCTAGACACCATGATACATAGTATATTTTTAATGCTCTGTTTAATTTTCACAAAATAAAAAAGACTGGAAACATGACACTTTATTTCTTAATGGAGAAAATATCAAGGTATTCTTGCTGTTCATACTAGATTTCTATGCTACATTTTGACTCCAAAAGCAGTGAGAAGTACTTCTTCAGCCCACTTCCCTCATTGAAAGGCTTTCTTTCTACTACAATAAAGATTTTGAAACTATCAGTGCCTTTTTGCTAGGCAGTGTCATTTTCTTGACTCTTTTGTAACACTGTTCAAAAGCATTAGAGTTCTTCTACAATTCTTTATTTCGGAAAGAAGAAAAGACAAAAAATTTTGTATCCTGAAATGGACATGTATCATGTTATCATTAGTATAGGAGCAGGTTTCATAACCTGGACATTCTCTTTTTGGAGGGGGGATGATTTAACTTGCACAGGATAGCTGTTCTATATCTATGTCACTACGTACTAACCAAATAACTGTTATGGAATGGGCATATTGAATAAAAACCTGGATCAGAACTTCCAGGGCAATGATGGTGAACATTTTAGAGCTTTCAATGATAACAAACAACTTGCTGTAGCACTGGTGCCATAGATTTGCCACCATTATTCAAGAGGCTAGGAGGTAAGATGTGGAGAGAAATTTAAAAATCTAGACTTAAAACAAAAAGAAAATGCTAAACTTCAAAATGGTCCGTAGTTCATAAAGGAGAAAATTCACTGCAATATTGAACATTTCACTTTGCTACGTAGTGTTTTGAAAGATTCAAATGGTGAAATACGAGCAATTCCAGATTGTAAATCAAATCAAATGTTTATCTGAAGGTTAAAGAAGAAGATACTTTTATTTGCTTCTGCAAAGGTCAAAAACATACAAACAAGCCTGCAGGTTATAAATGCCCTAATTAAATATAGTACCAGACTATACTATGGAGAGAAAAGACTAACAAAGAAAAAACTGAGAAAAGATATGCTACTAATAAATCCACACACTGTAAATACATTACTTGCCACTACTTTAGTTTACTGAGGAATTTAAACTAGGATAATGTGGATTCCAGCTGCTAAAATTGGCCCTTCTTTTAAACCATGAAGTGATGATTTAATAAACTACTTGAGTGGACTTTGTAAAACAAGTGAAATGAGTGGAAACTAAAATAGAAACATTTACAGGAAAGGAATGTGAATCACCCTCCTATTGGGTCCGTTACAGCTCTATGAAAGCGATTTTTATTTTTATCTAGGTGACATTCACTTATACATTAACTTTGATAAGAATATGATCCCTACAAACTATGCTATCCATGCTGGGGCACCTCATCAATGGAGGCAATTATAATATATTTGAGAAGGCAATTCTGATCTCCATTTAAGTATATTTATAATTACTATACTATAGATTCAATTGTATTAGCCAATTTATCATTTATAGTAAATGTCCTATGTATTAGCTATCTTTTTGAATAAAGTATACTACTACAAAGAAACATTTAACAAAAGCCTGTTATCAGTGGACAATGCCTAATATGCACATTGGTAAATTAATGTGTATGAAAATGTTGCTAGACAAAAATCAGAAAATTAGTGCCGATAAAGATGGTAGAATATGAAGTTTGCAATAAGGCTTACCCTAGCAGTAACATACCGACTTTCTTTTAGAAAAGGCAGACATGTAAACTAAGTCCCTTTTTATTCCAAGAATCTTTTTATTCTGGTTTTATATTCTTAAATCCAATCTGAGAGGTGCCAAGACTTCTGCCCTTTTGGAAGCTATGTTTTGAGCATTTCCTGTGTCCTTGGGCCACCCTCCATCTCATCTCTTCTAAGGCTTTTTAGGTCCCATGAATTATATTCTTATTTTTTCTTTATTGGTCTTATTACTATTTCTCTAAGAATTTTTTCTCCTTTACCTATACAGTTGCTCAAGTAAACCAATATACTAAGAAGAACAAGAACCACAATAAAAATCAGAAAACAAAACAGACACATTTCATTGATGTGGGCTCTTTTTAAGACCATTCATTCCTTGCTTTCATTCTTTTAAACAAAACTTGAGTCTGCCTCACCCACTGTGGTCTGCGTACCCCTCACTGATCTCCTGTAACCACAGGTTCACACTGCCGTAGGTATAGTGTTAAAGTGTAAGAAGTACTGGAGAAACATTTTCTTTTTCTTTAACTTATTCACAGCAAGATATGACTAGAATTGATATAAGCATTAGTTTTTAATAATTCAACTATTGGCATTTCTTGTGGCAGACATATTGATATTTTGTGATCAAACATGTATTTACTTTTAACTTTCTAAGATCTGAAAACTGCTGAATTGCGGAGCAGTCATCCCAAAAGGGATCCCGGGACTGCACCTTCAGGTGCGCAGGTTTATCTGATCCGTCCCTATCCCACTGCCATGTTGGGCCTACCTTCTTGAGACCATTCCCTACCCTCTCCCCAACTCCTTTCCAACTCTGCTATATTTTTGATAGCAACATCTGATGACTCCTAATGTGTGACTGTACACTTGAAAGATTTCTGACTTTATTTTCTCAGTCTGTATACTGATTAAATACAAGATAAGGCCATCTACATGTAGAAAAATGATTCCTTAGTATGATGTCTTAAGTTCAATATAGAAATTCAGCAAACCATTTCCAACCACCAGTTAAATGTTTCCACCTGGAAGTCCTACAGGCTCTGTGTACCTAACAGGTACAAGCCCAGGTCTTTATCATTTGAAACAATAAAGCTAAATTTCTAAGGAAATGTTTAGAATTACACACTCATTCTTAATTACTAGACCAAAAGCATATTTGTTTGGAAATGTGAAAATGGCTACAAAAATACTTAAGTATGTAACTACAACTGAGAATTTACTAATACAATAAATATACAAGACAGCTGAAATCTAAATTTTCATTTGATTAACTCCCAATGACTGAAATCTATCCAAATTCCTGGTGTCCCTCAAATGACCATAAAGTCTTCCTATGGAGAAGAATTCACAAGGAACACAGAGAGCTCTGTTGAATCAGGAGCTCTGGGTTTGGGCTCCAAGTGCCACTTATTTTCTATCAGGGAGAGTGATAACACTAAAGCATTTCTCCAAGACAGATCTAGACAGAAACCAATTATGTTTTGACTTGGATATGACATGTGAGAACAATTTGTCAAGTATCCTCATTGGATGTAGCAGATAATTTAGATAATGTAGATAACTGATTAAAGGAATTTAAAGCCTAAGAATCTATAGAGGGGAAGAGATGTATAGTGCATCCTATAGTGCCTATTTGTTACAGGTCTGAAAATTCAAGTTTTTTGCTTCTGATATCTCAGGATACATTTTGAGATAAACATCATGATACAGTGTAACTGTATCCTAGTTTCAGCACGTTTTAGACTTATTCTCTAAGATTACCAATACATGTTGAATGCACATGTAATTTCCATTTTTTGAGGTATAACTCATAGAATTTGGTAAACAAGGTCTTGGATTTATCAGGATGCAAATCTGAGATAAACCCCAAACTGTCTGAATGCAAGAGAATCCAATTTTGAACACTTTCAAGAAAATATAAACATAGGAACAGTTGTTTAATGACTATTCTTATTAGCATCTCACCCTTGGGGAATGTGAGGGACCTTCATAATCACAGAGGTAGAGTCAATTGCAGGTTTGGAGACAGGGTTCTAAACACATGAAATGAAAGAGTTGGTAGGTAAGACCAACAGAGGCCCCGGGGAGTGTTCATGTACAAGCATTGGGTCAGTTTCCATAGAAAACAAGGTGTTGTGAAATTAAATCAAACATTAACTATTAAAAAGAAAAGAACTATAAAATAGATTGATGAAATTACAGCAACAAAGTCACTCTCTGAAATTAAAAGTAAATAGAACAAGTTAAATCTATGTGATTCTGTATCACAACTCAATTTTTTTTATTTTAAAGAGGAAAAAACCCAAAAAACAATGATACAGAATTTCAGCACAAGATAATAGGAATCTAACAGTGGTTAATATGTTGCATATTATTATCTTCAAAGTATTTACTCAGATTATAAGATATAGGCACACATAATAGATCAAACAATAGATCATACAATATAAGTACAAACTGATTTAATGAACCAAAAGAAGTGTTAGCTATCATTTGTCATGTGTGCTTGTGTGTGTATGTATATATATTTTTATTTTCCCCTTCTTTTCTCCTTTCACAAATCCTCTTTGTTTTTTCCTTTCAAGCAGTTTCTTTCTCACAGTAAGTATTGTGGATTTTGAATCTTATTCACTTTTTTCAATTTCCTTTCCTTGGAAGACAATATGTTTATACATTCAAGGTTGATTTATTTCATTTATGATTATGGTCTCTAGTTACATCCACTTACCTATAAAAGCCTCAAGTTTATCCTTCTTTATATCTGAGTAGGACTCCATTATATAATAACATTACATCTTTTTTGTCCATTCCACAGTTGATGGGCATTTGGATGGTTTCCAAGACTTAGCTATTACAAGTTGTGCTTCTATAAACATGGGTGCACATGTATTGCTGTGGTACGACATTTTTAATTCTTCTGGGAAAATATCCAGAAAGGAAATAGCTGGATGGAATGTGCCCTCTAATCATAGCTTTTTGAGGGATCTCCACACTGATTTTCACAGTGGTTATACAGCAGGGGAGAAGGTTTCCTTTTTCCCTATAGCCCTGCCAACCTTTGTTATTAGTTGATTTCTTGATGATGGCTATTCTTCAGGAGTGAAATGGAATCTCAGTGTTCTATTAGTTTTCATTTCTTGAATGACCAGTTATGTTGAACCTTTTTAAAAATTTATTTGCCATTTGTATTTCTTCATCTGAGAAGTGTGTATTCATCTCAGATGCCCATTTTTGGATTGGGTCTTTGAATTTGGAGGGCCTGATGTTTTCCAATTCTTTATATGTTCTAGAAAGAAGTCTTTGTCTAAGAGAAAGTGGATAAAGTTTTTTTTTTTTTTTTTTTTTTTTTTTTTTTTTTTTTTTTTTTTTTGCAATCTGTGGATTTTCCTTTTATTCTTTTGGGTTTTTTTTTTTTTTTTGATGTGGACATTTTTTAAGTAAGATGAGATACCAGCTCTTGACTCTGGGAGGTATTTCCTATGCAGGTTGATTTTTGTTCATGAATTCTGCCTACACCTATGTCTTCAAGAACTCTATCTACTTTCTCATACAGAAGATTTAGTGTCCCTGCTTTAATTCTTAAAATCATCGATATATTTTGACTTTGGTTTAGTACATAGTGATAGACATGGGTCTAATTTTAGTCTTCACCACATCAAAAACCAGTTTTCCAGCACCATTTATTAAAGAAGTTATCTTTCTTCTAGTAACCATCTTTTGCACCTTTGTCAAAGATAAGATAACTGAGTGTCTTTATAGTTGTGTTTACATCTTATAATCTCTTATATTGATCCTCAGGTTTGCTTTTTTTGCCAGTACCATACTGATTTTATTACTGTAGCTTTGTAGTATAATTTCAAGTCAGGGATGTGTTGCCTCTTGCCTTGCCTTTGTTGTCCAGGATTGCCTTTGCTATTCTTGGTCTCTTCTTGTTCCAAATAAATTTTAGGAATGTTTTATCTAGATCTGTGCATTATGCTAATGATACTTTGATTCTGATTGCATTAAATTTGTATAACAATTTTTGGAGTGTGGCCATTTTCCCTATGTTGGTTCTTCCCATCCATGAGTAAGGGATATCTTCCCATTTTCTGATATCCTTTTCTATCTATTTTTTCAGTATGCTGTAATTTTCAATGTATAGCTCTTTTATTTCCTTTATTTATATTGATTCCTAAATATTTCATATTTTCGGGTGTTATTGTGAAGGATGTAATTTCCCTAATTTCTTAGTGAGTTTGTTGTTTGTGTATAGCAATGCTATTGATTTTTGACTGTCGATTTTATATCCAGCTATGCTACTGAATTTTCTAATTAATTTTAGAAGTCTTTTGGTGGAGTTTTGGGGTCTTATATGTAGAGTACGTTGTCATCTGAAAATAATGATAGTTTAATTTCCTTTTCTATCCTTATTCCTTTTAATCCTCTCTCTTGTCTAATTGTTTTCACTGTTTCCAGAACTATAATGAATAGAAGTGGTGATAGTGGACATCCTTGTCTTTTTCCTGATTTTAGGTTGAAAGATTTTGTCTATTGAATATGATGTTGGCTGTTGATTTGTCAAAGATTGTAGATTGAGATAGATTTATCTATTTTTATTTTATCTAGAGTATTTTTATCATTAATGAATGTCGGACTTCATCAAAAGCTTTTTCTGCATCTATTGAGATAATTGTGTGATTTTCGTCTTTGGTTCTATTGTTATCATGTATCGTGTTTGCTGATTTGCGTATGTTGACACATCCTTGCATTCCTGGGATAAATCCCACTTCATCGTGGTGTATAACCTTATTGATGATTTGCTGCATTTTATTTGCTAGTATTGATGGTTTTCACATCTATGCTCATTAGGGAGGTTGCCCTGTAGTTCTCTTTTTAAGGTTAGTTCATTCCCTGGTTTTGGTATCAGAGTATACCTGCCTCCAGGAATGAGCTGGGAGTAATGATTCCTTCTTAATTTCATTAAACAGAATGAGGAGTATTGGCATTGTCTTCTCTAAATGTCTTATAGAATTTAACTGTGAATGCATCAGAATCTCAGCTTTTCTTTACCTGTAAGTTTTTAATTACATTTTCAATTTCATTAATTGATGTTGGGTTATTAAAGATTTTTATATCTGCTTGATTAAGCTTTAGTAATTCATACATTTCTAGGAATCTTACCATTTCTTCATGTTTTCTAACGTGCAAATAGAGATTTTCAAAGTAGGTATTGACAAACTTCTGAATTTTCACAGGTTCTGTAGTGATTTTCCCTTATTGCTTATTCATGAATTTGAATTTTTTCCTTCTTTCTTTTTTTGGTGATTAAGGTTGGCTAGGGGTTTATCAGTATTATTCTTTCAAAGAAATGACTCTGCTTCATTAATTCTTTATAGTATTTTCATATTCTCAGTTGTGTTTACTTCTGCTCTAATCTGTATAATTTCCTCCCTTGTGTGGGTTTTGAGTGTGACTGAGCTTTTCTCTATAAAGCTTGAGGTGCAGCATTAGCTATTTGTGCTCATTCTGTTTCCTTATGTGAGAATTCATCATTATAAATTTCCCTGTTAGGACTACTTTCATTTTGCCCCACAAGTTCCAGTAGGTTGTATTTGCAATTTTGTTTGATTGTAGATAATCTATAACACATTGGTTGTTCTGGAGGATGTCATTTAATTTCTACGTGTTTATGGAGCTTTTGTAGTTACCCTTGCCATTAATACCTAATTTTAGAGCACTATGGTCAAATAATATGCATGGAATAATTTCAGTTCCTTTGCATTTACTTAAGCATGCTCTGTGGGCTAGTATACGGTCGTATGTGCAGATGAAGTGAAAGCGTATTCTGATGTTGGATAGAACACTCTGTAAATGTCTACTAAGTCCATTTGTTAATGCTTTGTTCAATTCTTATATATCTTTGCTGGTATTTTGCTTGTTGATCTATCTCTTTGTGACAATGTGATATTATGATACCCTGTTACAATTGTGTTATTGCTTTTTTGATTTTTCATTTGTATTAATATTTATCTTATATAGTTGTGTGTTGTCATATTTGGTGCATATATTTTTAAGATTTTTCGTCTCTTCCTCTTGAAGTTTTCCTCTAACCATTATGTAGTGACCTTCTTTATCTAGATCATTTTTGGTTTGAAGTTCATATTGTCTGAAAACAACATAACTACCCCTGCTTTTTGGAGGGTTCCTGTTGTATGAAGTATTGTTTTCTATCCTTTGACTTTCAGTCTATGAATTTCCTTTTGGATTACATGGTTCCTTGTATACAGTATATGATTGGATATTGTTTCTTGATCCATTCTGCCATTTTCTTTCTTTTAATGGATGAATTGAATCCATTTACATATAACTGATATGTACTGGCTTGTCTTTGTCATGTTATTATACTGTTGTTAGTTACCTGTTCTTTCCCTCTGTTTAGTTACTCTCCCTGATTGGTGGTTTCTTACTATATCATACCAACAATATAATATTCTCTGTATGAAAAAACATTATAGCAAATGAATTCAGACTTGCTTCTGAATTTAAAACTATAATTTGGATATTCTTTGGTTCTGGGAATATGTACTATGTAATTTAAAAAATATACAGAAATTTATAATAAATTGTACTTGTAATGGGAAATTACTGATACATTCCCTCAGATTCTCTAGGTTAAAATGAGCTTGATTTGTATATAAAAAATTGTTCATTTGACTTCCTAAGGTCATTCTATGAGTAAATATAAATAGCAGTGATGGTAAGAACCATGTAATGTCTGTATTTCTACATTTCCTCCCTAGATAATCCCATAAACATGAGATTATCTCTCTATATGTAAACAGAACATCTTCCCAGAGGATCTGAAAAAAAATAGATCTGTAACTAAAAGTTTTGGTTGGTCCTGGGGAGTGAACCCAAGACCTTGTATATGATAAGTAGTGAGTTACACCCTTAGCCCCCAAAAATCTTTCTGTGTATATATGTAATAAAAGTATTAAGCCATAAAGTTTTTTGACTTTGATAGGAAAAATACCTCAGCATTGGACATAGTAAAATTTATGAGCCCAAGTAAATGGCCAAATGTCAGTGCCATTTTATCTTTGTTTTATCCTGTGAGGGGAAAATCAAATGATTTCATATTCTTGTTTGATGAAAATTTCAAGCCCAGCATCATCAAAATTAGCAGATAATATTTTTATAAGTCAGGAATAAGAATTTTAGTTCTAGGAAAGCCATTCTATTTTTGGAGTAATTCCTTATCTTTTAATTTTAATAATAACTTTACTACATAAGCAACTGGACAACTCTTAAAAGACCGTGAGATAAAATACACTGTATACAATACAATGAAGTATTTGAGCATACATGAAATATCAACCTCACATCCATCAACTCTCATGCTTTGGTTCAGCTGAATGCAACAGCAGAATGTGTTTGGCTTGAATATATACAAAAAAAAAAGCATTTACCATATGTAGTATATGACACTTCTGGACTTGGTGATACTTTGGGTTTTGAAGTAGCATGCAAGGTCCCCTTAGGCACTGAAAAGAGAGAATTCAGGTCATAAATCATTTGATTTTATCACCTTTCAGTTATGCTTAATACATAAAGTACAACTAGGAATAACATGAACACTGATAAAACAAAGTACTATTGACACAGATATTAATCATAAGCTCTAGCAATAGATGCATTAAAAATCTAAATACCTTTAGGAAAATAAAATCTTAGAAATAAAAAATTTGACAAAACATCAGGATAGCATGAATTTTCTTTTGAAATCTTCATTTGAGAGGAGATGGTAATTAATGCAAGATTGATTTTCCTTTTTTGGATATGTTTGCTTGACTTCTACTTCAACTGACTGTCATATCTTTCACTGAAGATAAAGCAGGAAAAGTTGGTAAAATCAGAGTAGAATTCTACAAAGCATGGACAGAGTAAAGTCATTTCTGGCGACCAGAAGTTGAAGCAGCAGTAAGTGAAGTAAACAATGCAATGAAAGGACTGTTTCATTCTACTCCTGCATTTCTCACATCCCCACTGAACCTTGAGATGAACATATTCACAAACAAAAATTGTCTTTCCATAAGTATGCTTTTGGAATGACAAAGTGCAAATCTAATAGAGAATAGGAAAAATATCTAACTTGAATGAGCATGGTTCTGCATGCCTAAAATCCCAGCATTCAGGAGGCTAAAGCAGGAGGATTACTGTGAATTCAAAGCCAGCCTGGGCTACAAAGTGATTTTAAAGCCATCCTGAAATTTGTAGTTAAACTCTGACTCAGACAAAAAAAAAGTCTAATTTACTTCCAGTTCATTTTTACAACTTTAACAATGTTTTTGTGTGAATTATGCCCTTTGATTCACAGCATAATGCTGGAAGGTATGACTTTTCAGGTACATTTTAAAGGTAGTTAAACAGAGCAGCAAAGCGTGGTTTGGTGCTTGAAGTTATGTGGTTAAAAATAACCAGAACCAAGAGTTGAACCAAATGCTAATGACCATGTAGAGTCACTAGATCAGATGCTTGGGATCTCTACGTATCCTAATTCTGCTGGCCAGGTTTTAATTTGCTTAAAATAAGAACATTTTTAGGTGGAAATGATATCTGTCCTTCTTAAAAGATAATTGTGAGAACCAAATATAACGTGTCGAAACTATGTGAAAATGATACTCAAGTGAAATTTCTTCCACTTCCAGAGGTCTTTATAAATCTTATCATTTTCATATTTTTTGTTTCCACAAAAACTAGGAGAACACACAATTTGGATGTTATAAAACCTCTGAACATAACATTAACAATAGTGTCATTATTACCTATAAACACAGGAATCAAAAATAAAAAAACAGAAATCAAAAATATTAATCCTTTATTGACTTACAAAATTTTCTTGGTGATTTGTTTCAAATTTTAAATCCTGTTTTCCCCTCAAATGCCAAAACACTAACCTGAATTTTGCTCTCCAATTTATAAGCATACTTGAAGTTAAAATAACAAAAAAGGTGACATATCAATTTATAAAATTTTATTTTAAAATTTGTTAGATGGACAAAATTGTGCCATATGCTGAATTACATACTATTGTTAGACGATAGCCATTTCATGCCTAACAAAGTTTGCATTGGTATTATACGTGTAAACAAAATATTCTCCTTTCCAAATGATTCCTGAAGTTTATGAGACCACAATATTTGAATACTTGTATTTAAAAAAGTTTGTGTTATCTTTGTACATGCTACACAGACATCATTGAAAGATTATAAAAATTTAGATATTGTTTATAACTATGAAGTAATATTCTTATTCTCATGGAAGAGGTCTTAATTCCACTCACTTTGAAAAATAATTAGAATGTATTTTGTTTTTCATGATCAGTTTGCTAAGTCATTCCTTAACATTAAGCATCCAGCACTGACAAATCCAGAAATATTTGAGATGTACTTATTTTCCACCAGTCTAGAAGCTGCCTGAGCTGGGACAAGATGAGGAGGTTCCTTTACAGGATTCAGAGTTAGAAACTAGAATACAATGCACCTGTGACTCTATCCATTCTCAATCTTGTCAAGAAAAGAAGATCAAAGTTCTAAATCAAAATTAAATTGAGGCTAAGTGTGGTGGCACACTCCTGTAATTCTAGAACTCGAGAGCCTAAGGCAGGAGGATTACCATGAGTTTGAAGCCAGCCTGGGCTATTGAGCAAGTTCAAGGCCAGCCTGAAAGGCATAGTGAGATCCTGTCTCAAAAAATTTAATTTGGAAGTTTAGACTATAATATGACAATTTAGAGCAAGCTTCTAACTTACTACAAAGTACTCAAATATAAGATAAATTACAGAGAAATTTTACCTATTACTTCTTATCCTCTTCACTTAAAAATTATAAAACAGGAATTTGGAGACTGAAGGTCTTAACTTTTGGTATTTCTTATTTATCATCTTTTCTCTTATGTTTCAGTATTTATCAGCTTTCATGCTTTTCAAATTTTTATTTCTTCTTTCCCACTCTTGTTCTATGATGCATATCCAAATAAAAAATTGAAAACTACTTCTCATGTAATGTTAAAATAATTTAAAAATTATGTTTAATTTCTTATCAATAAATTTAGTATAATTTGGTTAAATATTTTAAATTTTATGTTTTCCTTATTCTAGTCATTATTTATTTATTAATTAATCATTAATTTTTCCCTGAGAATTTTTATATATTAATGGTTCAAGTATAATTGTTAGCAAATATTTTTATTCTTTGGATGCATATCAGCTAGAGAGCTTTATATATTTATGTATCAGAGTATATTATTAGAATAGTAAGTTTGGGTAATTAGAACCAATTTAAAAATATAATGACAGACTTAAATCATTCATTAGATGTGGGTTATAAATAGTCATTTAAAGAATTTTTCTTTACAAATTTAATAACAGGTAAAATTTCTCTCAGAATCAGCTATTAGAAACCACCTAAAACTATAGATTTTTCCTCCCTTGCGCAGATATTCTGAGATATGATTAAAGTATATAAAGATTTAATGAATCTAGAAATACTAGTTAGAGCAAGAATAATTTTAATTCAAATATATTCCTTTTGAAAACCTTTAGAAGTAGTGTATTTTCATTCCCTGGTATACTGGACCACTGTACCTCAGGTTTGTTTTTGTAAGTGAGACATATGTTGGTGATGATTTAAATCATAGAGGGAAGCACATTTAGTGATGGTGGAAGGACCCTCCATCTGGGAGAGAAGCAGGGAACAGGCAGGCCACTATGTCCAAGAATGCAATTCTTGTTCATCTCCATCTTAAGTAACGAGAAGCCCTGTGGAATAAGCTCTTCCAATGATTTACTTTTTTAATCAAGTCTAAAAATAAATGTACTGTAAATGCTTTTTAAATTACTGAGGAAGACTTGTTTCATAAAGTTTAAAAACTCACCCTGTTACCACGCAACAGAATAACCCCATTAATATCATACTTTTCAAGGTAAAGTACATATTTACCTGGTTGTGTTTGTGGGATTCTTGGATGTTGTGAAGTTTTTGTCTTGGGAGGAGTACGGGGTGTCTGCCTGAGAGCTAAACAAAAGACATAGGTTTGGAATTCTTGCACCCCTTGAAAATCACATTATTTTAATCTCTGGAAGCTCAGATGTTTGTTGAGTGATTGAAGACCAAAGTACACAGCAACTACAATTAAAGCTTCTAAAGATTTACAAAGTAGAGGTAGATAATTTTTTACATATAGAAAAACAAAAGAAAAGACACATTATATGACACTGGCAAAATAAAATTGTTAGAATTTTAGAAATATCTACTGCAAATTTCTTTTAAATAAGTTGAAACTAAATCTCATAATGAAACTTACTCATTACAAATTCATACCACTTCATCAAACTATCCAGATATACTAAATAAAATACAAGGACACAAAATTTTTCCTACATAAAACAGAAAATTGTCATGTAATATTCCAAATATAGATTGTGACTTAAGTTCAAGTTATAATGGGAAAAATTAATCTTATAAATAAAACACAAACTGGTTATACTGGGAAAGAAAAACTGAATAACAAAGATACTTTTCTGCTCAGTATTGTTTTGCTGAGAAATTCCTAAAGAAGTTCTAAGACATTCATTGTAAAATCCAATTGCTTCTTCCCCAAGGAAGTTAAGTATATAACCTAAAGAAGCAAAGGAAATATTAGATGCAAAGTTGTATTTTGTTGAATTGAAATGTGTTCAGGATAAAAGAAATAAAATACAGTCTCAGACACCTTAAGAAGAGCTTGCTGAAAATAAGAATTATTAGACACCAGAAGTTTCTGAATGAATATGCAGAGGCTTCTTCCTGATAATAAATAAAAATGTACAAGGCATACAGGGCTTTCACTGGCATCTTCTTGCCTATAGAGAGATGAACATCAAGATATATCAGAGATTACTTTGGTTTAAATTTCCCTTTGCCAATCATTGGGGCTATAGACACAGGTTCTTCATCAAAAGTTACGTGATTTATTAGAACCTCTCCAATCGTAAATTTTGATGGTTTGAGTTTGATACTTAAACTAAAAGTCATGATTTTCTTCTGATTGTCAGCCTCCTTGATAAGGTTCCAACTGATATGGTAATTTCTCCCCAGTACATATAACAGATCCTGTAAAGGTAAAGGCACGTCATGGAGTAATGGCATGAAAAATCAGAATAGGAATTACTGACTAAACATTTATAATTAGATATTTCAGTAATATAAATTATTAGAGCTATTAAAGACATTTTCCAAAAATATTAGATTTCAGCTTTGTAGTCAATATGGAATTCTGGAAAACGACTAAACTGTAGAGTTTATAGGTAACATTTTATGGGGGTGTTTCAGAGTACAGTGAATAAATTTTATAACCTATATCTCTTAGAAATAAATCCAGGTGAAAAAAATTAATGGCAGTCCAAACTAAAGTTGGATTTATTTATGATGAACCTTTATTCCATGAAAATCCATATATATTGAGAGGACTTTTCATTGTAAGAAAAGGCACATTTGGTCATATGCATGCTGGTAATTTGTTTTCATTTACTTCAAACTCCACCAAGTAAGTCTGTATGATTGGCCAAAGTCAATGGTATGATTTCAATTTCCCTACATACAGTGAAATGGCCAAATCTTTGCAGAAGAAAACGAAAGAAGAAGAGTCTCTGAACAATGACAAGGTGAGGTAGACAGTTATATTGTTTTATGTGGATTACACTATAAAATCTGATTCTGGAGATGTCCTTTAATCTCAAACACAAATTTGATAACTTAAACTACTTCTTTACATGACAGAAGTTATAAAACTGCTCATGATGATAAAGTAATTATAATTAGAACATACATATATACCTAAAATATCATAGAATATAAATTTGTTCCCCAAAAACATTTCTAGATACCGAAGTAAATACTTGAAGAATAGCTGAGAGATGTTTTCAAGAAGTATACTTAAAATATGCACAACACAGTCACTTGAGAGCTTACTGATGCAGAAGCGCTATGCCAGACAGACAGGCTCACATATCAAACACTGTGAGTGAAGAGATGAAGTCAGGGGCCCTGAGGTCCAGGAGAGACATACTGTCACTTTGCACTCACCTCATACACGAAATATAAAATAGTATATTTACCAGGTTCAGTCTGAGGCTCATCTGGGCTGGTTAGGACTATAGTTTGGGAAGGCATGGGAGACATTTCTATGGTAATGGAAGGAAAGTATTTGAGGTTACTAAAATGTTTGACACACCCTAATTACAGACAATGGACAGGATGGTAAAAGATTTTACAAATTGAGAAAATTACAAGTATGCCAACAAAACAGCACTTCTACTTCTTCATAACTCATTTTATTTCAAAAATGCTTAGAGATCCTTGCTTCAATGTACTTTTGAAATAAATAAAATCATTATTTTTGTAATCATCACTTCATGCTAGGATCTTACCTCTTTGACAACTATAGAATATTTAATAGGAGCCATGAAGGAATTATGTAATTTTTAAAAACATAACAATCCAAGCAAGTAATGAAGTACAGAATCTCCCCTAACAGAGAAAAATGAATAAAACATATAGATGAATGTGGTAGGGTGAATGATAATGGAAAGAATGCCACTAGGTCAGAAAGTAGGATACAGAGCTAAGCTTATACCTGGCACATTCAACACAATACCACTTTGGCAGAATAGTCAATGTTAGAGAGAAAAAGAAGTTTTACATTCAACAGTTTGGCTGATGTAAAACAGAAAAAGACACCAAGGTCTTGATAGGAAACTGAGAAAGAGAAAATTTTGGATGGTGGTCATGAATAGGAACACTTAGATGATGGTGCAACATGAATTCGCAAGAAAGGCCCTGAGGTTTTCAGGCGGGTGCGATGGGGACAGAAAGCACATGGTTTGGGTTACTGAGACTGTCATTACCTAGTGTGATCTCGGGAGGTTCAGACACATATGGAACAGATTCCACAACTGTATCAAAACAAAGGAGAACAATTTAAAAGAACTATAAGTCACTAAGCTATAGTCACATATTTCTTTAATAAATAGCCACATAACACATCTCCAAGAATTTGTATTATAACTTTACAGACAGTATAACTGAGTTCAAGGAGGGGAAATTCTATTTTATTACCCCAACTCACCATATAACGTTGATGTTTTATCTGTTATGACTTTCAAATATTATTATGTCTCAATTTTCAGACATCAGTAGAGAAATAGGAATTTATTCTATTTTCAGAGTCAATTATCACTTTAAGCATCCAACAATATTGTAAGTTACAGCTCTTTAAATCTGTTCCGTTTTAGATCATGTCACAGTGTAAGTATTTATAGTCCATAGACGTCACAAATGCTAATTAAAATGTGGTGAATGGATGAATTAAAGCAAGAAAACATTATCACCTTCAGTCTTTGGTTCATCTGGTCTGAGAGGTATTTTGGTAGTGGGATTTATATAATCAATTTCAGCTGGTGCTAGAGAAGAGGGAATGAATGGATAGTTAGTGGTGGGGAGACCAAAGGGGAAGTCATGGAATCCTGTATTTAATTTGAAAACACAGGTTACTTACACTAAGCAGATACATTCTTGAGTATAAGTAACACTCAGGCAGATTATGAAGGCAAGTGTAATTTAGTAGGATACAAAAGAAGGCAATGTATTGGGCGAAAATACACACACCACACGTATTCAACAGAGTCTATAGCAGTTTACTACCTGGTGCTAATTTCACTTCCTTTCATATTTTTGCATAAGTGTTCTAGTAAGAGAAAAAGATAGGCAGAGTTTCTTTAGGAAGCATGAAGGGGACTCCTAAGGATGCAACAATAATGAAATAGCAGGTTCACATTCATGTACATATTCATATATGTACATATATTTAAAGAGTGATCAGAAATAGTTGAAAACTTTCATTCGGTGAGAGGAAACTAAAGAAATTATGCCATGTGCCATGTGCTGCCTATAGTAACTTTTGAGCTCATGGGATATTTGCATGATATGAGAAGCAGGTGGCTGTGAAATGTCACAAAGCATGAGCATATCCAAAGATGACTTTTTTGATGAGATGGAAAAGCATACATGGTTAACGTCCGTTTGGGGAATATTTTTCATCTATAATCTCCTTTGACGAGTCAGCATTAAATGTAACTGATTCCAGAATACCAGAAACTAGTGAAAAACACAAAATGGTACAATTGATCAAGGATGAGTTGTGAACATTAAGTAAAGTAGTGCAAACTAAGCACTTAAACAGGTGCCTTGCCTCTTGTGTCAATGTTAACTCTTATGATATTAATAATGATATTTTATTAACATAAGAAAAGTTCCAATATTGAATTGAATTTATCATATAGGTGTTGCAAGTAATAACCACAATTTATACCTACATCAAAATGTCATTTATGCAATTAAAAATAGAAGAATTACAGTTCTATTTATTTATTTATTTATTTATTTATTTATTTTTGCCTTTTTGAGACAAGGTCTCGCTATGCAGTAAGGCTGATCTTGAGCTCACTTTGTAGCCCAGGCTGTCAAACTCACAAGGATCCTTCTGCCTTAGCTTTCTGACTGCTGGGATTGCAGGCATGCACCACCATGCCCGGCTAGAAATTACAATTCTATGCTATAAAAAAGTAGAAAACTTTTCAAAAGTAAATATCAGGAAGTAGCAACAGCATTCCTAATACTGATTTTAAGAATTTGTTTCCAGTTTTGAGTGGCAATATGCTTTGAAGGATTTATATTGGGTTTTTTTTGTTTGTTTTTTGCATTTTTTTTTTATTGGTACCAGGAATCGAACTCACAACATAGGCTTGCAGGGCAGGCACTTATGCCGCTGAGTTAAATCCCCAGCCCCAGGATTCATATTGTTTTTATTGTATTTTATTTTTTCATCTTAACTGAAATGGGAAATTTCTCTTTCCTTGAATGTCATAACTGAACTAGCATTTTTTTAGATGGCAGAGAAGAAATTTAACTTAATGCTAAGGAAAACCACAAATTCATAACTTTTGATAAAAATAAGGATAAGGTATATAATGGGTTATTTTAAAAGATTAATCAGAGATGTCATTATTCTCTAAAATAATATACAGCAAATTCAATGGGAAGAAGTATTAATTAGATTAACTGTATTAATTAGATTAACAGTTAATCTAATTAATCTAACATATTACTAAATATCAATGTGCAACTATAAAATGATATTTCTATAGTATTTAGAATTATAAAATTCACATCGCTTTTGTATTTTGTTTCTTTGGAAATGCAGCACTCTGAAGCTCACATTGTACTCTGACAGATGAAGCAATTTATTTACCAGGCATTTCTAGGCTTGGTGATGGTTTCAAAATAAAAGTTTGCAGTTCAATAACTGGAAGAAGACAATCTAAAATATAAAACTAATCATGAATAATTACTTCATAGATTTTAGAGAAAAACAGATGAGTTGAAGCAAGGTTCAAAATTGCAAGGTTATAGGAAGCCATGCAAAGTGTATGTTATTTAAAATGGTTAGCCAACTATACTCCTGCCAAATTCAGCCCTCTGCTTTATCCATGAGCTAAGAATGGTTTTCACATTATTTAAGCAATGGGAAACAATGAAAAGAATACTATTTTGTGACATGTGAAAATGTTATGAAATTCAAATAAAGTTTTATCAAAACAGCCACGTTTTGAACTCAAATGAGCCAGGGCCTAGTTATATAACAGTTCTGGTTGCCTTCCAACTACAACAGAAGAACTAAGTAATTGTAATAGAAGCTGAATGGCCTGTAATCTCTGAAATATATGCAATCCAAAATTTCACAGAGAAAACAATATCTGGTTTCTAATTTAAAACATTCTTCTGAAAAGCAGAGCCTATTAGGCTGTCATGGACTACTGTATCTGAATCTTTGTTCCCATGAGGGATCTCCCAGAATTTTCTATATCTCATTTCATGGTGGTAATTCTAGAAAAGTGTTGAGTATCAATAGGAAGGTTTGTTCTATTTTCTCGTTTGACTACCCCTTTTAACACTTTCAACAAGCACTGAGATTTATTGTTTTTTCTCTTCCCACCATTCCATCCATTAATCCAAGTCCTATAGTTACCTCTCTCTCTCTCTCTCTCTCTCTCTCTCTCTCTCTCTTTCTCTGTAGCTCTCTCTCAGTCAGTGTTTCACTGTGCATTTCAGGATGGCCTTGAACTCACTTTGTTGTCCAGGGTGGCCATGGTCTCACAGTGATCCTCCTGCCTCAACCTCCTGAGTGCTGGGATTACAGACACGCACTATTTCACCTGGCCCTTATAGCTATTGCAAATCCCAACTACTCTCTGTCAGTCCACAAGAATTTTTGATTCTCTTAAATATTTTCTGTTTTCCCCACAAACTGGGAAAAGATTTTAGTGAACTCTCTCTCAGACAAGGGACTCTTGTCTAAAACATATAAAGAATTAAAAAAAACTCAGACCTCCAAAATTCAAAGATCCAATCCAAAAATAGGCATCTGAGATGAATACGCACTTCTCAGATGAAGAAATGCAAATGGCAAATAAATACATGAAAAAATGTTAATCATCATTGGTCATTAGAGAAATTCAAATTAAAACCACACTGAGATTGCGTCTCACTCCTGAAAGAATGGCCAGGATCAAGAAAACCAACAACAACAAATGCTGGAGAGGCTGTGGAGAGAAAGGAACTCTCCTGCACTGTTGGTGGGAGTGTAGACTGGTGCAGCCTTTGTGGAGGTCAGTCTGGAGATTTCTCAAAAAGCTGGGATTGGAAGTCCCATTTATTCCAGCTATTCCACTTCTAGGCATATTCCCAGAAGAACTGAAAGCATCATACCACAGTGATATATGTGCACCTATGTTTATAGCAGCACAATTTGTAATTGCCAGATCTTGGAAACAACCCAAGTGTCCATCAACTGAGGAATGGATAAAAAAGTTGTGGTATTTCTATACAATGGAGTATTATTCAGCTATAAAGAAGGATCACATTGAGATATTTATCAATAAATGGGCGCAGCTTGAGACCATACTCGTAAGTGAAATAAATCAATCTCGCATGTGTGAATACTGAATAGTTTCCCTAATGTAAGTAATGATTCAAATATATAAAAATACGTGGTAATCACGATTCCCAATTATGTGGCCTTGAAGCCTTATAAAGTTTTCACCTATTAATTGGAAAGGCTTTATTCTGGGCTTCTTGATATGGAAATATTTGAAGCTATAATATATTAAGTTTTATTCAAATATTTCAAGGAAAAAGACAAACACTATGGTAACTACTATTAAGTCGGGTTATTTGGTGGTGAAGCACTAGGTTGCTGAAACAGTCATGCTTTGACCTGTATTGTTATATTGTTATGTCCTGTTTTATCTCAATCTCTCCCTTATTCTTTAAAAAAATTATTTAGTTATTTCTTATGTTTGTTTTAATTAAGGGGAAAAATTAAAAAAATTAGTAGGATATATAATAGTAACTTTTTTTGATTTCCTATTAACTTGTTTTGAAGTCCTGTAATACTCCCACGATCTTGTTTTGACTGATTAGACTCTGTTCCATTCTGTATGATAGTTATCAAGTTTGAGGGTATAGGCAACTACTTTGAAGGCAATAAGATTCAATAAGATGCCCATTCTGGTTTGACTATTGTCTCCTTTGGAAGTCCTGTAATGTTTACAATGCTTAAGTTTTATTGGTCTTGTTCTCTACTGTTTTGTTCAACTTTATAATATCTAATGAGATAGACAATTCTTTTTAAGGAAACAAGAGACATCGTTGATAACCATTGTGGATAACCTTGTACTCTGTTTTACATCATGTGCTATGTCTATCCTTGGTTTTGACTGACAGCTTTGTTTTGTCATATTTGACTTTATTCTCCCCCCCCCAAAAAAGTAATAAGAACCAAGGTGTAATTAAAACCCAAAATGTGTAAATTTTGTTGTAAAAAAGAGAGGGAAAAAAAGAGCTCTAAAGGATACAACAGCAAGTGTGTTTAGGGGTGTTAAATAGCTGACCATATTAATGTTTTTGGTTGGATCATTGAACACAACTGTTTGCAGTCTCACTGTTTGAATGTCCACTTTGTATTCTTTGATGCTGTGATTTGAGCAACTATTTCTAAGATGATAATGTGTAATCTATTAACTGGTGATTCCTTATTGTTTTTTTTTTTTTTTTTTTTTTGTAGTTCTGTATTACTTGTACCCTTACACCGCTTTGTTTTGTTTTGTGTTTTTCTCTTTTTCCTTTTAAATAAAATTAAAAAAAATATTTTCTGTTCTCACCACTTGACTAAGCAACTATATCGAAGAAAACTTTTGGAAAGTGTTTTCTTCAAGTTAAATTGTTACTTTAACAGGCAAAACACCGCCTTATTTTTGATCTCTACTTCTATTCCTTACCCTATCCTGTTCAACTGCTAATATGGTGCTGGGGATGTAGGAATAAAGGAAAGGATTTTTTACCTAAACCAAAACAAAACAAAGCAGAAGTATCCCTACTGAAAAGAATAGATACAACTGAAAAGAGATGAAATGGAATAAGAAAAGTGAATCCAATGTACCAGAGACAATTCTTACATAGGACACAAGGTAAATTTAGCTACCACGCAGACCTCTCTCAGCTATGAGCCTAATGGCCAACTCTACAATCATTATTAACTTAATAGGGTCTCTTCTTTTACAGGACACAGAAGTTCAAGGCAACTCGCTGTCCTTTTTGACATCCACTGCAATTGGCTGGAGAGACTCTATAAACTAGGAATCTAATTTCAACTGAGAAGCCTTAGGTAGTTTAAAGTTTGGCAGGTGAATAGAGCTTTCTTTTTCATGTTTTTAAAACTGAAGAAAGAACAACTTGGTATATTGTATATTTAATGTCTAGAGGCCTGAATAATGAATTACTATTTTCTAAATTATATTTTCTCAAATTGACTTCCTAACTTAAAAAAAAAACTAACCTAATTTGTTAATGATTGGAGTGTCCTTTAAATTCCAAAATTAAATAGGAATACTAGTTAAGGGAGTAAAATATAATGTGAATACACTCAGAAAAACCTTTATTTAGTAAAGATTAAAATCCACTGCTACAGGGTAGTGAAAAAGAAGAGTAGTCAAGCACATTGATGGTGGAGGAGCCTGAAACTTCCAGAGAACAACTTTGATTTATTAATGAATACCTCATTGCTTGAAGCAGAGCAATAAGATAATACAGATCTCAGGGAAACTTAGTTATTCAGAAGCTTATGCCACTTAATTGTTATAACTCTACAGATCTAGATATTAAAGGGAAAAGGAAAAATTTGATCATAAGATTTAAAACTCAGTCATATGATACAATGTTAGAGAGGGCTTTATGGTACATGGATATATTTCAATGAATCCCAAGTAGCTATTAAGAGCAACAGGCAAAATTTGAATTAAGATTTCTGACTACTCTTAAGATGAAGTATGAAACAGTGTGACAATAGCAATGTTAGGCAGCAGGAGTAATTGATGTTTAATTAGCAAGAAAAAAAGCATTTAAGGAAAGTTACGAAATTCATTACCTAATGTTGTTTCTGGAGACCCAGTACTACGAATATCAGGTGCAAAGTCTGGAATAGGCACTAATTAAAAGCAACAACATGAACACAGGAGAGTTTAAATACATGTGAAAACCTTTTTCTTCAAAATAGAGTTTCAAGTGACAATTTTTAAAAAGGGACAGGAAGTAATGCTTTTGCATACAGGAAGTATGCAATTGCTTTTTGAAGAGTTGGTAACATTAAGTCAGATTAGTTAATTGCAGAAGATAGTCAAAACCTTTGAATTCCACTATATATCTTACTATGATCCACATAACATTTTCTTTCATATTGTGCATCCTGATTGTTATATAATTAATATAGAACATTGCTTTGGAAATCTGTCTAGATAATATGGGTACAAATACATATGAAAATAACTTGATGCATTTGTTGGAGGTTGAAAAATGTTTATGTAATTGTGGCTAATTATGTAATTGTGGCTAATTGTGTAATTTATTGCTGTATCGATGCAGATACAGCAATAAAAATTACAAATACCTAAATACCTATACCAATGTTGCTATCAACTCTTCCTTTTTTTTTGAATCAGGACTCAAACTCAGGATCTTGCGCTTGCCAGGAAGGCGCCATGTCACTAAGCTGTATCCTCAGCCCTCTCAACTCATCTTTTACAGAGCAAGCAAGAACTTCATTCAAATTAAATCACTAGTGTCCCCACATCATGTTCTTCGAACAGCTCTATAGAGGACGTAGACGTTAGCCCCACTTAATGCCTTGACTCCTAGAAGTCTTTCCATTATGGGCATTGTTTTAGGACACCACTGGTATAGACTCTAGGACTCACCCCCAGAACTAAGGGATCACACATTTACCCAATTTTGTCTGAGATGCTTCAGGACTGGATGTGGTCTTAGGTCTGGGACGTGGACGACGTGTTCGTAGTATTTTAGGAGCTAAAGGAAGAAACTTTAGATTATTTTGGTGAAAGTGGCTTTGTAAAGAAAAGGTTTATGTTTTCCAAGATACATTACATTTCTTTGAGATTTAATGTATATGTAAGATTAAGATATTTTCTATTTTTTCCAATTATTTTGTATACACTGAAGATTCCTCTGACAGAGAAAATTCACATATAAAATTGAGTCAAAGAACAAACAGCTATAAATCTTTAATTTCAAAATAAACTGTGGCCAAATTAAGTTCCAGGGTCTTAGATTACAATAAAACTTTTAAATACTTCAACGAATTCATGGCACCATAAAATGTCATAATGTAATCAGTCTAGATAAGATATAGATACTACCAGCTTGTGTTTGAAATCCAGACTATAAAAATAAAAGTATTCTAGATCCTTGCATAGCTTTTAAAATCACCAGATAACTTCTGTTATGACTATTTAATACTCTTAAGAAGAAATAATATAAAGTTCACAAACAGCAGTCTTATAAAGCCAATAATATTGTGATTATGATGATGATGGAATAAGTTTGAAAATGAGCAAGAAAAAATTGTTAAGGAACACAATATAATTACCTAATGTTGTGTCTGGAGCCTTGGTTATAAGAGTGACAGGTTCAAGGACTGTTGTAAGAACTGGCCAAAAATAGTAAAATAAACCAGACATTAAAAAAATTACTTCAAGATTAATTTTACAAACGGATTCATTTTAGCTTCAGAAAGAAAGAAGAGACAACTTGTAGATTCAGTGAAAGCATGGCCAAATGCACATTAACCTGATAGCATAAATTTGCAACATAGCATCGTACAGAGCTAAATATTAGTACATAGTCTTCAAGATGTTTCCTTAAACATTTAATGACCTGACCCTTATGCTGTGAAAGTCTACTGGACAAATTTTTATACATTAACATGATGTATGTTTTTTGGGCTTACTAAAAAGGGCATTTAATAAAGGCTGAGGTAACTGTCTACTCATTTACCTACTATTTAAATAATTATGGGTACAATAAAAGCTCATATGTTTGAAAGCATAAAGAAAACACTTAACTGATGAAATGCACTATCACAGTATCAGAGTCCTTGATTCAATAAAGTTAAGACATACTTAAAAGCTGCTAGAGAAGAAGAGGCAGCCTGTCCTATCGGAAAACTATAACTAAATGCTCCAAGTTTGGTATATTTTAAAATTTGACAATTTAGTAAAAGCATCATTCCCTAAAACAATAGATACACCAACCTATCACATATATCCTAATACATTAAAAAGAAATATGAGAATTGAAATACAGTATTTCATACTTGTTGAGGGATAGAGAATAAATAACAGAGGTTTAACTTTGAAACATAGCCTTCGGTAATCAATGCTGTTTAAACAAATGCATATGATCATATGACACAATGAAAAGCAGTTTGTGTTGTCCTGAAATTATTTCATGTATAGTTCTCTTAAATTCAGCTAATAACTTGACACAGAAACCAGCATAATTTCAAGATAAACACTGGGAAGGCATGACAATAGAGGATAATAGAGGACAATGGAATCTTAAGATGAAGATGATTCAATGATGCACCAATGAAAGAGGAATTAAGAGGAAATGAAGGCAATGAAGAGGAATGAAAAGATAATGAAGAGGAAAGGCAGTATTTAAAGAACACATATTCTTATTACCCATGGTGTCAGGAGCTCCAGTTCTAAGAATACCAGGTTCAAGATCTGTAGCAGGAACTAATTAAAAGTGATCAAATAAAGATGTGAAAAGTCAGCAAATTAAATCTTACCAGTGTGATATTGCTTCAAGATGTATATAGAAATTTTAAGAAAATTTATGAAGTTTAATACTCGTTAAAGATTTGGTTGTCTTGTAGCCCTATAAACATTCCTTTAAGAGCTACCCAACTATAGCCTACTCAGTTCAGTAAGCATCTCAAGTCAATGTGACATTCTTCTAGGCATCTGAGTACCTTTTTCCAACTTTTATAGAAACATTAGATATTTTACCAAAGATGTGCAAGGGGTGATTGAAAAACATGGTACATACTTAAAAATTATTTCAGTATAAGACACATTGCCTTTAATTCTTCTCAAAACACTCCTCGTCTTGCTTTGAGCACACTTATCTTTGTTCTTCACTTTCTTAAGCAGTCTGGAAGTCCTCTTTCATGTCTTTTCTTGCACAGTCATGGTTACATGTTTTGTCAATTCAAAACATTTACTTTCCATGATCTTTTGACCTGCATGTCAGAGAAGTCACAGCATGTCAGATTTGGTGAAAAGTTGGAGAAGGACACATTGGAATGTTTTTATGAGTGTGCCTTTGTATTGGGTGCCGCTTGGCAACAATGCTCACCATATTTTTTTTTATCAAAACTTGGAAAGAAAAGACAGCTTCCAGAACTGCTCCAGAAAGTGGCAAGAATCATTAGATAAGTATGTATAAAGAGAGGAGGAATAGTTTGAGGGGGATTAATAGGAATGTGTCTTTTTACTGTAATAAAATTTTAAAAGTTTAAGCATTCACCACATATTGTGATGACCTTTTTACTATATAACTGCTCTGCAATTATTGGCTTCTTGGTGAAAGCTTTAATATGTCTAAATGGTCCTGGATATCCTAAGTAGCTTTCATGCATGAGACAGGATACAACAAAAAATAATGCAAAATGAGTCACACTCATCTTATTAAGGATACTTATCTGGAAACAGGTCGAGATAAAAAAAAAAAAACAGGCAGATGTGCTCAACAAAGAGAATGAGTATCCACTTTGTGTGTGCTACCCACCAGAGCAGCTTTTCATTCTAATCACAAAAATGTAGGTATCCCCTCTAGGTGGATAGAAAGGATCACTGATGGTTTTCGGGTCAGATGAGGACTTTGTTTAATTGCTCCTATTCATCTTCCCAAATGTAACTATTATGCCTCTTAAAAGCAGTATTTAACTTGTTTCAGGAAATCTGTGCCCCATGATTGGGCTTTATATTTCCCTTTTGTCTCTTCAACACCAAAATATTAAGACCCAGCTTTGCCAAGTCTTTATCCTTGTTCTTCATAAACTTTTCTTTTTCTAAGTTCATAAATGTTAAAAATCCCCTAAATATCAAGTTTGATTTGCATACAAAAAGCACCTCATTTCTATTATTTCCTTCTGTGTATGTTTCACATGGGGGCAGGTCTGCACCTTGACTGTATCACAATCTGAGAGGTAGAAACAAGTCTCCACTAATGGGTTATCCTCACAGCTGTTGCTTGACTGTAGGAAGATGAAAGGTAATTAATGCTTGATTCCATTTGGACACTGACATTTTATCTTTAAGAGAATAAATGAATTAAGTGGCAGAAAAAAATCCAAAGGATAGAGACGATTCCTATGCAGAACACACAAATAATTCAGTCTCCACATTGGTTTCTGACTATATTTGTCCTTGCAAACTCATCAGTGGCAGCAGCAGCAGGTTACTTTGCCTTCACCCACACAGGCTTTCACTCCTTCCAATGACATTAATCATGGACTTCCAACAGTGGCCAGCAGACACTCACATTTACTTGGTGTGATTTGAGAAGCTTTAGGACTTGGTGTGGTTTTACGTTTGGGACGTGGACGACGGGTCCGTTTAGATGTTTTAGGAGCTGAGGAAAGAAAATCTCCAGTTATTGCTGAATGATTGCAGTTATGAGTTCAAAAGTAATAGTGTAGAAGAGAAGGATCATGGCTCCATGTTCCCTGAAACTTATTAGAGGCTTCTCATATTTTAGGATAATTTTCTTCCTAACTTTTTAATTTTAAAATTTTGCCATTATAATAGCCTATATCTTTTTATAACTGGGAGTCTCATGGGCATAAGAGTCATATATAAAATGGAATTGTTAATTCAAAAAGTAAAGGTAATATACAAAACCCTTACAGAATTGGAATCATTGCTAAAATATCATAGTGATAGTGATGTTTGGTTATAAGATCTTTGATAGTTTACTAAAATATGATAAAATAAAATTTCAGAACAAATACCACATAGATGATATAAATGTGTGAATGAATAAGAATTAAAAGTAGAATTTTAGATTCACAAGGAAACTTCCTGATACCATAATAATTGTTAAAGTCAAGACAATTTCTTTCTAAAGTCACCTTTAAGAAAATATTGGTTAATAACCACAAAAGATGACAAAATAATTTCAGATGGTTCTATACTAACAGTGCATAAGATGAGTTCATGCATGAGTCTCTTAAAATGTAACTTGTTTTAAGTGTCAGAGCTTTCAGTACTTTTAGAATGAAGAAAATAATGGAAAGACCACAGAGGACAGTGTCTTAGTCTAACAGTGTGGAAGGACCTGGGGCAATGAGAAAGATGCAATGTGGCAAGGAGAAAGAAGAGCACTTGCTGAGGATCTCAACATGTTATTACCTTGTGTTGTCACCCAAGTCTCTGTTCTGAGTGTCACAGGTTCAAGCCCTGGAGTAGGAACTGATGGAAAGTATTAAAGTAAACCAAATGATTATTTTAAATGAATGAAACACAAAAGTTCTCCAAAATGAACTTTTCTGTATAGCACAATTTCTAAAACTTTGCAGGTTTTAAAAAAAAACTGCTAAACTAAAAAAGTAGGCAGCTTATTTCCTAAAACTTGGCTATCTGTCAGATAATTCTTTATTGTTCCTTCTTTGATTACCTAAGTAATAATCTAAAGTGAGCTGTGTGGATATTGCTATGAACTTATCTTTGGAAAGAGACTAAGGTCTCGTCATAATGAACTGAGAAGGTTATCCCTCTATTGGAAGAAAATAAACAATGTAACTTCAGTGGGACAGCAAAGAACTTGCCCGAGTGTATCAGATCAGATCTCATCTGCTTCATCAGGTGCCTAAGAATCTCCACTCTGGATATTTACAAAGAAAAGGTTTCTGCCCTCAACTGTCTTGCAGTTTGAAGACCAAACATGTCATCTACATCTGAAGTATAGCACAAAAGTGTTAGAAGTCAGAGGATACTGAAGACACTTAATCTTTTTAAATTTTAACTATGTTTAATTTTTCTAAGGAAGTTTTATTTTCAAGAGATTAATGGAAGTTATTAAGATACACAGTGACAGAGAAGATTGATCTCCCCAAGCTGTCTACTCTGTGGGAACTGCAGCTGCACAGGGCTGAACTGTTTACTCCCAGCACTAGAGGTGCTGCCAGGTTAGACTGCTTTGACTCTTTACACTAAGGCCACAGGGTTTACCTGGTTTAGACTCAGGTGCTTCAAGACTTGGTATAGGTTTTGGTCTGGGACGTGGACGACGTGTTCTCTGTGATGGTTTGGGAGCTGAAGGAAGAGATTTTTGTCATATGTACTCATTATATGTCTTCTTTTATCATAGGAAATTCTTTAAGGACAAAAATTACCTTTTAATTCAAAAAATAAAGGTTGATAATTACAATCAAAGTTTCATAGGGCAGCTTGATTGGCACCAAAATGACCAAAAGCCATTGCTAAATTTGAATGGACAGTGAAAGACACTCAGTCTGTGACACTTAATCTTTGATCTATTTTCTACGTACTTACTAAAATAAGAAAATGGTATTACCAAAATAGGAATGAAACAATAACATATAATTAGGGATAAAAGATGAAATTTAGGTGCATAATGGATCTCACTGGTTTTATAAAAGTTCTTAGTGACTTTATCTGGTGAGATGAGCCAGACTTGTGATTTTGAAACACACCTTCAAGACAAACACTGCTTGAACAAAACTCAGAATGACATGAAGGATTCACAAGTGGGTTACATGGAAGACAAATGAACTAATGCAGATTATGCATGACTGTTTCTATTAAAAGTGACATAATTTAAGTCTTCATACATTTTAGAAGAATATAATTGAATACTCCCAAAGAAATGCCACATGAAGCAAGATGAAACAAGACTTCACAGTGAGAAGACGAGGCTGTTGAAAACACAGTGCATCAACATTACCTAGGGTTGTTCCTGCAGCCTCTGGTTTGAGAGTGACAGGTTCAATAACTATTGCAGGAACTGACAAAAAAAAAAAAAAACCAACACAGTAAACCAAAGAAATTTTAAAAGGTATAATAAGCCAATTCATATCCAAACAAATATTGCTGGCAAATCAGTTCTTCTAAGGAAAAAAGAAAAACAAATTAACTCCTCCACTAAGGAAATGAATATATTTGTTCTTTGAAGATTTAACCAAACCTTAGTCTTGGTTGGTTTGAATTATCTGAAGTATCTCAAATTCTCTTAAGTTTTAAACTAATTGAGCTTAACTGATATGGAAACTCTGCACTAACAAATATTTTAATTCATTTTCTTAATATGTACTTCAAATAAATTTTGTTTGAAGACGTAATTACCCTCTTCTTGTATGGAAGATGAACACAACGGGATTGTGTTTAAGTAAACATATATGCAATAGACAGTTTATTAATTTGAAAGAGACATAAAAATTATGCACCAAAGTGATCTGTGTTGATCATGCCATCTGTAGTCTGAGACTGCTCAAATCATGGCTCATAGGAGAGCAGGAGAAAAGTGATCACCAGTCTATAGTACCCAGAAGAGCACCTGCCTGCCCTAATTCCAGCAAAAGTAGAAAGCAAAGGATGCCACTGTTTCTGTATCATCTCCTGAATGAAACCTGAAAATCCTCTTTGATAGCTACTTCCAAATGTGCCATTGTTAACCACCATATTCTGACCATCACACTCATCCAGTCCTCCTGAGTGGGTTCATTTTTCCCTTCATTGACTCTAACCCTGTAGAAGGCACAAGGTCCAAATCCATGCAACCTTGATCTTTTCCTTTGTTAGATCATTAATTTTTTTTGGAACTGGAGATTGAACTCATGACCTTGCGCCTGCCAGGCAGGCACTTGTGCCACTGAGCTAAATCCCTGGCCTTACATCATTTCTTTTATGAGCACATTCTCGAGTCCACTGTTTTAGAAGTAAAATAAATCTATAGCTGGCATATTGCCCATTGTTGTCAAAGTGGTCTGGGAATATGGAAGGAAGTTAGACTTTGTTTACTTGAAATAAACTGACTCTGCCAAAGAATTTTCACTTTAGGGTTTGAGTGTAATTTGATCGTAAAGAATACACTGATCCATAGTTTCAAAGAAGAGTCTCACATAATAAAAATATAATTTTTTGACACCAGCTGGATTTCACCCAGTCATGTTCTCCTTAAAAGCCAGGCAGAGCAGATGTTGTGCATTTCCTCACATTCAGGGAGAATATGAATTGTAACTGCCCGGGAGTGCATTGCTTTGGGTCCTCAATAAGGCACACTGCCAACCCATCACTCTTACCCAAGGTAATTACAAATTTACCCGGCTTGGTCTGAGGTGCTTGAGGTCTTGGTGTGGTTTTAGGTCGGGGTCGTGGACGACGGGGTCTTTTTGATATTTTGGTAGCTGAAGAAAAAAGATCCTTGTGTTACTGTAGGTTTCATGTTTCTGGATACTGAGGAAAGTTTTTTCTAAAAATTTTCAAATTTTCCAAAGTTCTAAAAAATTGTTCCTTTAGATTTACTTTTACACTCTTTTTATTCCAATATGTTTTTAAAAATCATTAATCCTGCTTTTGGGGAAAAACTCATGTATACAGTTTAGATACTCATTCAAGTCAGGAAAATTAGTAGTTATTTTGAGAAATTCATAGAATTTCCTCACTTGGCAAAAAATGGGGAGTATTTAATGAAAGGAAAGATGAAAGATGGCTCATGCTAAGAAATAAGCTTTTAAGATTAAATATTTGAGTAATTGATCTAATTATTAAATTAGTAATAAAACATACCATTACTTAAAGCACCAACAAAGAAACACACCATACAAATAGTTTTTTTTAAAAAGATATAGAAACTCAGGTGTGCAAAGGAGTGTAAGAGTAATTGTTATTGCTGATTAGCCTAGATAACGTATATATCCTAATTTGTTTTAAACTCAGCTATAACACAGAATACTGTTACACAAAGCACAAGATAATATGATTTCAAATGTGTTCCATACCCAGTCAATGTTGTAACTAAGCTCATACTCCTGGCTTTTGTAAAAACAATAGAAAACTTGCTTTTAAGATACTTCAGACTTTTCAGATGACGGAAGTATCTGAATGGCAGCAGCTGATGCACACTATCTCATAAAGGTGGAAAAGCCATGTAATGAGGACAGAGATTGAATGGACAGTACAATGAGCAGCAAAAGCATTTTTCAAGGAGTGTAGGCTTGTTACCTAATATTATCCCAGAAGACTCAGTTCTGAAAATAGCAGGTGCACGCTCTGTAACAGGTTCAGAGGCTGTTTTATGAAGTAACAAAAGAAAAACGTTTTGGAGTTTATTTCACATGCACAGGCAGAGAGAGAGACAGACAGACAGAGAGAGACAGAGAAAGAGACACAGAGAGACAGAGCGGTAACATTCACTTCAAAATGAATCTTGCCAGTAAAAATATTGCCTCAAAGAAAATATGTATTTTTAGTTTTAGGGTGTATAGTTTAGGTGTTACATCTCATGAGATCATCATCTTTGGTCTTATTTAGCATTACTAGAAGGAAATAATCCCTCTAATTATGATGTCTGAAAATATGAATCCAGTATTAAAGACTTTAACTAGGACATTTTTACCTATGCACTTAAAATGTTTTTAAGTATTCTCAAGAAACACATGGCAAACTGACTTACACTTGTGTGGATAATAACTAAAGATATCTACTAGGTTTGTCATCTTATAGTTGCAGCAAACGATTTGGACTTTCTGCAGCAGAATAATTAAAAATGATTCAACTACCTTGTTGACTGAGAAGTGAAACATCTTTCCTACCACTTCTAGGTAGAGAAAAGTTTCTACACATCTTTTCTGATCATAAACTTCCCAGCAAACATGAGTGTGGAATAGTCCCTCAGGATTACAGCACTAGGAAATTCGTTACATTTTTCGCCAGTGACTGGCTCCAAAGCACCTTAAACCAAAGATGCTGTATTTATTGGCATCCTCTAAGATATGCAGGGGCTTGGAGTGGTTGTAAGTTTATGTTTATGCTTTGGAGCATTTTTGGCAGGAGAAAGAGATAATCTTTTAGTTAATTTAGAGGTTTTTAATCTGTAGAGTGTTAGAAATCTTCAAGTTTTCCAAATCCTAACAAATTTTCTTGAGTTTCAAGAAATGTATTTTCCTAGTGTAAAAGTTTTACTCCTAATGTGTTAGTACATCTTCTTTTGTTCTTGAAGATATTTAGGGGCAAAATTGACCTATGCAATAAAGTTATTAATTCAGAAAATCAAGATTAGCATTTTCTATAAGTCATATCCTCCTGGAGTTCCTTGACCTAATTAAAAAGATTGAGAGTCATCTAAACTATGGTGGGGAGAGAGGGAAATCATTTGCACAGTAGGATGGTTTGTTGTTTAGATCTATAGCTGGGTCAGTTATTTAATTCACTAAAACCCACTACCCAAATATTAACAAACTGCAAAAAACCAGATTAAAAAGACATATGTACAAAGGATGTACAGAGAAAGTTTCCTTATTTTGCATACATCAGAGTCAGCTACTCTTAAGGATATATAAAATTTACTCTAACAATCAATACTGGTTAAACCAAAAACATAAAGTAAGACGAAAAGCTTTTTAAAAAGCTTCCAGATGGTGAAGTCCCAAGGTGAATGACACATGTCTCTTACAAACAAGAGGCCATTTGTTTCATGTCTGTCTAACTTTCATAATATAAAGGATTACTTTAAATAGCAGCAGAGGATAAGTCTGACAGAAGCAGAAAAAAATGCTTGGCAAAGGCAGGCAAGCGGCATTACCAACTGCTGTTTCAGGAGCCTCTTTTACAGGAGTAACTTGTTCAAAGACTTCAGTAGGAACTGGCCAAAAACAACAAATCAAACCAAAGAACATTAAAATTCATAAAAACTCACAATATTCATTTCCAAAAGATTTCTAGCATGGGACAAATGTGGTTATCCTGAACTTAGGGAGCATGGCATTTTTGCTTGGAGATGATCATTCCTTAGAAGGGATTATCATTAACTTTGTATCAGTACTGGCCCATGTAAACTGTTTCTCCTTTAATGACTGGAGTCTAACTACTGTAGCCTGCTATGGTTTAAGTGCTATAAGGGTCCACTGGGATTAAAGTTGGGCTTTGCTGGGTGAAGCTATTGAGAGATGATGGGACCCTTGGAAGGTGAGACTAGTGAGAAATCTTTAGGTCATTGGAGGTTGAGATAATTTGTAGAACACCCTGGAGTTTCTTGTGCCACCTCTGAGTCCTTGAAAGAGGAATATTATAAAAGAAGCAAATCTGGCTCCCTCACACTCTCTCCCTCTCACCTGAGATATAATCACTTGCTGCTTGCCACAGGCAATTGTGCCATGAAGTAATACAGACAAGGAACACCCCTCACCACAAACACTGTGCTATGCCATTTGAATTGAGAACCTCGAACTCCATGAGCTAGATAAACCTCTTCTTTCTACATGGCTTGTGTCAAGCATTCCACTATGACACAGCAAAGGTACTAAATTAATAAATCAAATTCATCGTACTGAAAACTCATCTTTGGAAAGGACACATAAGTGGGCGGCATAAGGGCAGCTACTGTGTGAGACAGCAGGACCTTTCTCTGTCCCAATACCCTGAGAAATTCTGACTGCATATGGATCCTCAGATGTAATCCAAACTCCTGACTTCAACATTTTGACTTCTCATCTGATCCTGAAGCTGTTTAACTACAGTAGCTTCAATAAAATGTTCTGAAAACCTTGAAGCCTGAAAACCTCCACAGGTGAATGAAACTTCACCTTCTCTAACTCTCCCATACATTTCCTACCCTTCTGAGCTTTCAGATTACCCACCCCTCAGGATGATTTTCCCTAAGAATTATTCTTCTATTTGTAAATAGTTGAAAAAAAAGTAAAAATAAACCAAAGAAGAATATGCAACAAAAACTTTATAGCTCACAAAGCCTGAAGTATCTACTCTTGGACACTTTTACAGAGCACGTTCACCAATGCCTAGGACTCACATGACTAGAGTTACCAAAAAATAATTCCCATTAATAAAACATACTTTTAGCTGTTTAAGTTTACCATACATATCCAATACTTAAAGGGTGAATGGAATTAAGTGAGAAATAAATTAGATAGATATTGGAAAGAATATTTAATTGGAAGAGAATAATGAAAGTGGGTACCACTCCATCTCCTCCTCCCCTCTTCCTCACTGTCTGGTCTAACGTGGATCCAGCATTGCTCTGGACTGACCATTGTACTTTCTGTGAGTGCCTAAGAAGGGCTGATGAGATTCTATAACCAGGCCCCATATATTTACTCAGTTCTGCTGGAAGCGTTTCAGTTCTCCACGTGGTTTTAGATTTGGGATGTGGATATGTTTGTTGAGGTACTTTGGGAACTGAAGGAAGGAAATCTCAGGTTAAATAGTGTTTTGGATCCCAGATACTGTGGCCCTCTACACTTGTTATAATTTTTTGAGTTTTAGGAAACTTTTCTTTTGCACTGAAATATTTGGCTCTATTTGGTAAATGACCTGTAAATTGTTTACATTTTATGAAAAACAAAAATCAAACAGAACATAAGTAGGTATAGCAAGAATACTTCAAAATGATTCTCACAGGGATTCCTCAATTTCAAAAAGCTCCAAAATCTTGTTGAAATATAGGGGTGGGGGTGTGGCCCCAGGAATATGTTCTATTTTACTCTTTCCTTAAACAAAATTTTATCATTATCTGAAATAGTAAAACAACGCCCTGCACATAGAATAAATGTAGCAACTTGGATCTGTAAAAAACACCTGGTACACCATAACACATGCGCCAATGACTTTGTCTAGGTTAGGCATAGACAACCCATCCCCTGCAAAATTGATTGTGTTGGAAACTTCCAACAAAAATATGATGATTAAAATGTTTCGTGGGAGCAGACATCACAAATTTAAAGACATCACATTGCAGATGAGAGAGTAAATTCATGCTAGATCATCTGAAAACAAAGTTATTTTAATGTACAAATAGAGTAACAGGATGACAGAAGCTTGGTGAAGTGAAAGAAGCATGAGGATGATGCTGATGAAATGGGCATGAAATGCAGATGTTAACAGACATACGTCATACCTAGTGTTGATCCTGGATCCTCAGTTCTAAGAGTAACTGGTTCAGTGACTGTAGCGGGAACTGATCAGAAGTAATAAAAGACCAAAGAGACTTTGTGAGTATACAGAATGTCAGAAAATGAATCTTACCAGGAAAAATAAAGTTTCTAGAGATGCAAAGTTAATTTTTAATATTCACAACTCAAGATAAAGTAAATGAACTTTTTCTTTTGACTAAATTGCCAAACTCTAACCAGATAGGTACTTATTTATTCAGAAGATAGTCAGTCATAGCCTTTAGACTCTGCAGAGCAGCTCCTTGGGGCCATTTCTGAAATTTCATTGTTGGTTAATTATTTGATTTTATCTAGAATGAATAGTTCTTCATTATAGTAATAAAAATCTGATTCATTGTTAGAAACACATATGACAAAGACAGTTAACACTTTCATGGATGCCAAAACCAAAAAATCAGCTATTAGCAGTAATCAATGACACATGCAATAAACAGTACAGATTTTGAACACAAACACAGTCTAATATACAGAGTGTGGTGAATACCAATAATTCTTGCCCCTGAAATTAACACCTTTGTGTCATCTTCCCTACTCCTAACTCTTGAATATGTGCTGAACTTGTGATTTGCCTCTAACAAACAAAAAAGAAAAGATAATAGGCTGTTACTCCATCACTCCATTATGTCTCTGCCAAGCTATCAGAGGAGAGAGAGAAAAAAATGGGCATTATGAATTATAAAGCTGTATTAATACTAAAAGGAAAAAATTGTTGGGTGTCACCCTAGGATTTGTCCAGCATACATAGTAACTGCTAAAATGAAGATAAAATATACTCATTAAGAGACCTAATTATTTAGGAATACATCCCTATCTAAGATAAGATGAAGAATCACTCTTAGATTTTATCATCATTAGGCTGGATATGTTCAGTTCTAAGGACAGAAAAAGTATGTTTCTGTCCAGAAGTAGAAATCACTACAGCTCAGTGGATCAAATTTAGGTACCCAGCCCCCTAAAATTCATCCCATGGGCCCATTAAACAGGAGAGCAGCAAGAAATTGCCCTCTGCATGGCAGTCACCTTCGACAGGCTTCCTTTCTCTCAACCTTTATTCCCTCATTCAGTTATTTAAATTTATATGCCAAATGCTTCCCAATCATCCTGGATATATTGTATCCTATCATGTAGTATTGAACTGTTAAAGAAATTATTTATTTTACATTTACATGAACATGCTGCTTTACATTTCTGCCCGCTTATATAAGATCAGCTTTTATTTACTATTGCAGTAAAAGCTATTTAGTAAAAAACAAACAAACAAAAAACTCCTATTTCTGACATTTGGTCTCATATAGTTTTGGGGAATTAGAAAAGACAATATAAGTAATTGATTTTAACTGATTAAGTTGGCTCAACACTACTGTAGGAAGTTTTATCTTTTAATATTGAGGAAATTTAACAATATGAAAAGTAAATAACATGGTCATTGATTGAGAAATTTACCATGAAGGAAGCATGAATCACTTAGACATCTCGTGATCTCTTCACTAATCAGCAGCTTTTAGTTCTAGGAAACGTATGGGGCATGTTCTAGTGTATCGTGTGTGCATAAATTTAGAGTCCCAACTGGGGTAGGTTACACAGATTCTGTAAGGTGGATACCACATATTTACCCGGTGTCATCTGAAGTGCTTCTGGATGGGGCGTGGTTTTAGGTTTGGGATGTGGATGATGGGCTTTTTGTGTTGTAGCTGAAGGAAGAAAATTTATTGTTAGTATGGTGCTGATGACTCCATAAAATGTAATTAAGGTAATTATAGTGTGGCTCCAAGTTCTCTAAAACTTGATAGAGTTTGAGTTAAAAAAAAAAACAAACAGTTTAAAACATTTAGTATATTAATACTGACGTTAGTATATTAATAACTGACAGTTCTCCAGAGACTAAAATTACACATATAAGTATGTTTAAGCAACTTTTGAGATTATTGTTATTTTCTTAAAAGTTTTCCTAACCCCAAACTGGTTGAAAACTCTAATAATGTGAGAACAACTCAAATTAAATTTATAATACTTATAATTTAAGATGACTAGGCCGGCAAAATTTTCACTTGCTAATTTACTAGAATAAGTATACGAAATTCACTGAAACATCAGCAAAGCCTAAGTAGTCATATAGAACTTGAAGTATGAGGAAAGTAATCAACTTAAAGAAATTACATGGTATTTGCACTGAATTCATAATCTAAATGAGAGACATATGGAAACATATATTTGGCTTTTGGCTCTCACAGGACTGTTTCGAGACTCAGATTGACATGACACAATTTCAAACTGAGATATGGAATAGATAGTTGTTTTGAATTCAGTCCAGGTATATTTCTATAAAAGGAAAGAAAGCCTCCAGTATTTTAAGACGAATTGTGTAATAGGATGACAACAAAGGATGACACAATCATCTATTCAGAACTACAGGAAAGCTTGACAATGAATTAGAAACAAGTACTTGCTGAAGGACATAGAAAAATCATTACCTAAAGAAGGTCCAGGAGTAACTGGTCCAAAATCTGGTGTAAGAAATGGCCAAAATAATTTTAAAAAGAAAATGTTAAACACATGAGAAAATCCATCAAGTTTTTTGAAAATGAAGTTTAGTTGTCTAGCATTGTTTGTACAGCCATAAAGCAAAATGTGAAAGTCTTTTTCTTGTTTTTTCTTTTTTTTTTCTTGGCACTGGAGATGGCATTCATGTCCTGATGCATGCGAGGTAAATGCTCTACCACTGAGCTACATCCTCAGCCCTTGGAAGTTTTTAAGTAAGAGCTCATAGACATTTATTCAAAAGACATGGTTACATCCCTAGAATTTTTACATGGTTAGCTACAGGTTTTACTTTTGAAATATATAATCTGAGAGTATGATCAAAAACCCTACTTAGAATTCTCTTTATGCACCTCTATAATAAAACTATGTTTAATAGTTATAAGCAAAGTACATGAAAGTATAATGTATAGCACTATAGACTGGAAAACAAAACCTAGGTCATGATAAATGCAGTTGTTGATATATTTAAGCAGATGCGATCGTGAATAACCAAAATAAATGTTTTTCTTTTGATCGAGAGTCTACTTTCCAAAATGACCAATATCTTTGTCTACAGAAGGCATACAAGAAGGTAAATACAGAGGTCACTTAGTCCACACAACTTGTTAATGTATTTCTCTGTTATTAGGACAGGAAAGACTTAACACTGAAGAACAGGGGTGCATGTTAAGGGTTCAGATTCAGTCACTGAACACAAGACCTCAAGGTCCTTCTCCTGAACTTACTAAAAGTAGCATCCCTGCCTAGGAGGAGGAGAATAAGTATTATTTGCCTCACAATCAGGTTGAACTTCTTATTTGTAAGCTGGTGTCACCTTCACACAGCACCTTCCTTTTTGTTTACACAATTTCTGCTCATTCTAGTAATAAATCTACGAACACTTCAAATTTCAAGGTCTACATTACATATGTAAGCCTATGAAATTTTTGCTTCTCTAAGCACTAACTATATGCTGAACAGTTGGTAAATGAATTATGGTTTTGCCTACATCTATTTATGAGGTCCCCCAAAATAGCTTTCTCCCTCAAATAAATAATTTATTGTTAATGTAGTATTTAATAAAAATGCATGAACACCCGAATTAAATTTGATAACTAGATACCTAACTAGATAAATTTTCCAAAAAATCAAATTGCAATGGATGTTAGGATAGCAAATAAAATACACAGGTAATGAGGGAATCCTCATGGAAAGAACATGAGGAAGTCACAGGCATCCAGTGGTAGCTGGTTTCTATGCCTGGGGCCAGTGGCAGTGAACCTATGCCACTTGGGCAATAGTGGGCTATTTTTATCATTGACAGCTCCAAAAGTTCCCCATCACTGCCTTAGATCTTCGCCCTAAAGGGTCATATAAGCGACATATAAGGTGGCATATTAAATTACCACTCCAATACCATGCCTAATGGTGTGCCACAGGATTAGAAAGAACATACTATTTACCTGGTTTAGTCTGATGTACCTTTGGGCTTACTGTGCTTTTATGCTTGAGCCGCGGACGACGAGTTCTTGTTTGTTTTGTTATTTTTTGAGCTAAAGAAAGGAAACTGATTATTAAAGTTACAGATTCCAGAAGCTTAAGAAAGAATTAAATATGATGGTAAGTTTTCCAAAATTTTCCTACTCTATCACGAGACTTGAAGAAAATCTGTATTTTCTGTCTGAAATTTTCTTCTGGCAGTCTTACATAAAACCTTTTTAATTTTTGTGTTCTAATGACACTTCGTTCAAGAAGAACAAACGTAATATTATTTTATTGTTCTAAAACCTTTATTACTAGCTGCTGGCATCAAGTTTTCAAAAAAGTTCACAGACACAAAGAAAGTCAAATACATGACATGTCAAGATCATATCAAAGAACAACATAAGATCAGGTACTGTTCAAAAACCGTATTTAGAAATTACTTGGTTTGACATAAATCCATTAAAATTATTAGAATAAGCACATTTCATTGCCTGAAATCACCAATACAAAATAAAAATGTCCTGCATGTCCTAAAACAACAGACAGTAAGATTCCCACAAGATTATATTTGATGTTTAAGGGACAGACATTCCTAATTGTATTTGAAATTCAGTTGTAACACTTTGAAAACTACTCGAGTAGACCGATGCATTCTGCAAAACATTAATAAAGCTGTATAACAAGGGAGATTGTCTCTGGACTAGCTACATACAGGTTTATAACCAAGTAACTGGTCTTAAGCACTTTCAATAAATATACTTAAATGAGGAATATAATTGAATGATGACAATATGTTGAGAGGAATCGTATGAAGGAAAACACGCTTAAATGTCCCAAGATAGTGAAAGAAGTGTCAGAACATACAGTGAGCAGAAAATAAGGTGCTTAAAGACACAAAATGTTATTACCTAAAGTTGTCACTGGAGCCTCAGTTTTCAGAATTATATGTTCCATATCTGTGGTAGGAACTGACCAAAAGCAGTACAATCAACAACAAAGACTAAGAAATACAGAAAAATATTATCTTAAAGTCAAATCTTAAGTCTATTACATTTAAAAAGCATTTCTGAACCCTGAGAAAATAGCATTTGTTATGTCCACTAACTGGCCATACTGTTGCACCCACTTATCTCATAAGATAGACATACCATTGGTATGTTGTATACCTATAAAGCCCATAAAAAATATTTTTCTGTGTTCAGATTACTCTGAAAAAAAGCATCACGAAATCCTATGCTACCTGAAATATCACCACTATTATTATTTTTTTAGAGTATTTTTTTAGAGTTGTGAGAAGTACCAAAAAATGTTGTTAATCAATATTTTTACTGGAGATACGGAACAGTACTGCAAAGGTCAGTTGTGCTTTTTCATCATAATAAATGTTTTTTTGCTTTTTTATTATTTTCCTCATTTGTTTCTTTATCTCAAATGATCATTAGGAGATAATTATTTGAGTTAGGAATGGAGATGACTAAGGAAAAAGTTTGCAAAATAATAATGCAAGTTTTTGTCTAGATAAGCAGGATTTCTATACTTCTATACTATTCCAAAGGATTATTCATAGATATGAAATTTACTAAGAATACAACTCTGGAATTAATGTCTCCATTTATTTTTTCATTGAAACTAGAAGACCACATATAACATTTGAATGTCTTACCATCAGAAATTCTTTGAGTATTTACACAGAGACTGATGTTTCCTGATTAACTGCCACAATTCAAAGCTAGTTTAAGCCATATTCAATAATAAATAGTATACGGAAGATGAGGAACCCAGAACAACACCATAAAAATATTTATAACCGATTTACTTTCAAACAAATTTGCAATCCCTATTTTGTTTGATACTTAGTATTACAAGATAAATTTATCAACAGAAAGATTCAACTGCATTTGAGTAGTGTGGAGCTCAGGAAGAAAGAAGTTCACAAGACACAGACAATGATGTGCTATCATCACAAGCTTCTTACAAACACACCTAGGACATGCACCAACCAGCTTTTGCATTGCTTCCTCCTGTATCTATAAACTGTAGTCATATACAGGCGAAAGTTGCTGGTCTAGAAAGAATGGATGGACAGAGCCTTAAGGTTTTTTTTAACAGTATCAAGCAATCTGAATGTCTCTAAAAGGATCTGAGGAAAGAGTAATATTCAGGTGTTAGAAGCTGAGCAGATGAAAAGAATGCCTAACTTGATGTTAAAAAGGTACCTGTTGAAAACAGTAAGCAATTCTGAAACAAAATGGAAAAAAGATTGAATGACAATAGTGCATACAAGAAAACAGATAATGATGGAGGAGATGAGAAGGACAAGTTCAGAGAATTACGGACCAAGAAAACATTGTTACCTATGGTTATGGATGGCGCCTCAGTCTCAAACACTGCATCATTTAAACAAACAAAAAACAAACACGTCGGTAACTCTTGGATCCTCATTAATGTTTAATTTTGAGCATACAGAACCTACTCTATTCTAAATTGATATAAATAGAATTCTTGGTAGGCTTATTTTTATGAAAGATTCTACCTTAGCAAATTGAAAATTTAGAAAAAAATTTAATATAAAACATTGAAATTTTCAGAATTTTTATATAAATATCTTGTTCCATAGTGAAAAATTAGTCAGTTAATAATTATTATTTAAAATTCAATTGAGTATTTTGGAGTAAGTCTATTAAGGAAGAGCACAGGGTCAGCTTTTTTTTTTTTTTTTTTTTTTTTGTCTTTTTCCTTTTTTTATCGGTACCGGGGATCAAACTCATGACTACCTGCTTGCAAAGCAGGCGCTTATGCCGCTGAGCTAAATCCCCAGCCCCAGGGTCAGCTTTTTGTACGTACTATCTACTAGTGATTGCCAACACCACTTTAAAAAATTTTCTATCTATAGAAAAAACAAGTCTTCTGGTCATTACAAGTCCACAATATTTGATATAAATATGCTTTAAGAAAATGGGATCAGGCATGGTAGCACAGGCCTATATTCCCAACACCTAACAGCATCTTGCAAATTCAAGGCCAGTCTAGAATATAGATTGAAAGAGAATCAGATATAACATTTACAAATTTCCCACCCATCACTCATTTATTCACTTAGCAGTTAAAATATTAGTGCAACTATTTTGAGATGATAATGAACAAAATCATGGTACTTGGGTTTTTGTTTATATAATATGTAAACATCTACAGCAACAGTTTCAATAAAATTTTTAAATGAAAACATTTTGTTAAGCTAAAGCATGGGAAATTGTTTACCGGATTTTGTTGGTGGCATATCTGGATTTGCTGTGATTTGGGGCTTAGGAAGTAATTGCATTGGCGGTTTTGACTCTGAAGAAAGAAAGGTGGTATAATTAATGCCATAGACTGTAAAGGTGAATATTATTGTCACTTACATACCATTTTCTTATTAATATGTCAAGGCATTGAAAGTAATGATTACCAGGCTCAATTTGGGGTACATGTGGTCTGTGTGAAGTTTTAGGTCTCTTAGACCGTTTAGGTGCTAAAGAAAAAGGTATTACAAATTAGCAGAATAGTCCTGGCTGTGTCTGTCAAAATTCAAGATATATAAGTTAAATAAAAACACTGTACAAATGCAGTAAATATATAAAAGTTAATTCGTGATGTGTTAAAAGGGTAGGAAAAGTATTCATTTTAGCTACATGAATGCATCATTAATTTTTCCTTTCAGGAAAATGCTTAAGTTTCCTTTTCAAAAAGCACTTAAAATGTGTCTCTGAGTAAGTACTGATAACCGTCATAAGGTGTGTGTTTATGTAAATCATATCAAAACCACAAAGTATGTTAGTTGTATTCTTCTTGATAGGTGTTTTTCAATATAAAAAAGTAATATAGAATGTTAAAAATTGCTTAGTAGGAGATCTGGAAAATAATCCATAAACACTTGACTTTACACAGGTGTAAAAATGTTATATGGCTACTGATTTCTGGAAGCTTTCAAAGCAAAGTGGTGACAAGTTGATTGTAAATGCCGAAAAGTTAAAACGAAATGATTATAGTCATCAGTACCAAAAAATAAAACCATCTTGAGACTTTTAATGCCCTTAACTTTCAAAGATTACAATTAGTTTTATATTGGGCCCTAGAGCAAGAATGTACTATGGTTATCTAAAAGTGTTCAAAAGCATTTATCAAAGAAACAGAAAAACTAAAGAAACCATCATGCGGTAGCTTTTCAGAGACCCTCACAAGCTGAATGAATAAAGCAATTAAATTATAGCATGACATTAGGGGAAAATTTATCATTTTTTCAGTCTAGAATGAGCACAGAAGTCCCAGAGGAAGTGTTTGTGGCTTTCTCAACACCAGCACACATGTGACTGAAAGACAGAGGTCAGTGAAGAACCAGAAAATCATGTCTGAGAACACAGATCTTCCCGAAAGGAGCACATCAGATTCCTGTAAAACGTTCTTATCTTCAGGTTTTTTAGGCACGGGTAGAAAATGGGAAGGAAGCATGGGATGGAACTGCGACAGATAGTAAAAATGTAGTCATGCCTGGGGTGGAGGTGGAAAAGGCAAAGGTGACAACCTGTGAAGGCACTCGAAAGGGACAGAATTACCGAGTCTGGGTACCAGGGGCTCCAGGGACACTGGGACTGGCTCCACGGCTATAGAAGTAAAAAACCAAGATCACCAAATACAGCAGGAAGTAGCATCATGCCCCAAGCTAGGATGCTCTACCTCATCCAAGTACTTTTTTTCTGAATATGATTTCCCTTTAAAAATTTTCCCATTTACTCCAGTTTTCCCACTTACTTTCTCAAACTCATCTTCCATGAATATATATCAAATGTAAGATTTTTAAATACCTTATTTTAAAGCCCACATAGTTGAAGGGCTTCCTACTGTGTGTATTTAATAGTTACAAATAAAATACAGTGCTTTATGCAATATGCTAGATGCGATATGTATCTACAAAGTAAGTATAGATGTTCAAATATAAAAATCGAGTATTATTGGTTCCTAATACCCAACTGCTCAGGTAGCTGGCTGCTGAATTACAAGCTGCCATATTCCACTTTGTGTATTAGTTGGAACCTTGAACACCACATTTACCAGGTAAAGACTTGGGAACTTCTGGGCTACGTGTTGTTTTAGGACGGGGGCGACGACCTGGTCGTTTGGTCTTTCGTGGAGCTGAAGAAAGAAAATTACTAGTTAATACAGGAAGGGCGGCTCCACAAATTGACAACAAACATTGTCTGTATCTTAGAAGGTTACTTAAGCCCTTTGATTTATTGTGAACACATTCTTCTGTTTTTCAAAGTTTCTTAAAGCATTATTTACCCAGTTAGGTTACTGAATTTTTTCCCAACATTTGTAAAATGTCCAAGAGACATCCCTATTCTTCCACTTGAGATGAGAAACCTCAAAAGTATTCTGTACAATTTAGAGGAGACAGTCACATAAAATTTTGAAGATAATGCTGAAAGCAAGCATTAGAAGAGAAGCTATTAGTGATATAAAGTATTTGGCTTAATATTTAAAAGAAGTTTTTCACCTTGTATTTTAAAAATCAATAATACATGCCAACAGCTTTGAATTCATAAGTTCCTTTAAGGAACAAAATTTAAAAATGAGACATATTTATAAACCATATGTACAGCATTTTGACTTTTTCCCAGAAATAAGAACAGAGCTCATAAACACAAGTGGACATTAATAAATAAATCCATGAATGGGACCCTGACAATAAAGACATCAACAGTGAAGATGAGAGAAAACAAAGATCACCCACTCAATAATATATAACCTAATGTTATTAGAGGTTTAGTGTCCAATGTTCTGGGTCCTAAAAATCCTTAAGCAATCATTAAGAAGAAATAAAGTATAAAATACAGTTAATTTTAAATTCTTAGATTGAGCAAATAAAATGGTGTACTTTTATTATTTAAGAAGTACCTTTTCTACTTAAACTGACTCCTGTGCTTTTAGACAAAGTGAATAAAAATGTAGCCAGTCAGTTCAGTTTGGAAAGAGAATCGGAAAAAAAAAAAAAGAAAAAAAAAAAAGGCCAGGCATGATTCTCATTTGGAAGATGTGAATGTAACAAAATAACCAGTTCATATTAAAGGAAAATTTGGGTAATTGGCTAAAATGGCACTAGAATACATTTATTTTGTTCCTTTGAAAAAAGAAAGAGCTATTAAGATCCTGTGTGTGTGTGTGTGTGTGTGTGTGTGTGTGTACACGCCCGCATGTGCATGCATGCATTTCACTTTGAATGGCTTTCCTAATGACACACAAGGGTATTTGTATCTGGAAAGATCATAGAGCTTTCCAAGAAAGCCTGCAAATGTTAGAATTTTGAAAACTTAGGAAAAACAACTCCCAAAGTAAAGAGTGCAAATATTCCCTAAGGAACTCAGGAGACTCCAGTGGAAATAATCAGCTTAAAACAAGCCAAGGACAAATTCCTCAAATATAAGGCAGAACAATAAAGAAAGTATCAATCAAAATTAATATGACTTGCACCCATGTCTGTCTCAAAGACTTTGTTCAGAAAAGCACGGTCACAAAATAGATAACTCTGGCAAAAGTAACTGAAAAAACATCTGAAGAACAATTAAAAATCATCTTAAAAACACGCCAAAGCTAAGAACAAAATCAAGGACAGATGGTAATAAAAACAAGATCATCCTTTTGCAACTAATTAAAAGAAGTCTCATTACCTTTTGTTGACAGTGGTGGTGATAAAGTCTGAGGTTCTGGGGCTGCAATAAAAGCAGGTAATATCAAAAGCAGAGCTGAAGAGCACATCTAAGATAGAAATGAACTTTCTTTACCACAAAAAGTGTTCCCTCCTTGACGAATGATCCTGTTCTTCCAGTTTATGACAGTGACATTCGCTTATCCCACATTGTTTCCGTGAAACACAGTAAGAGTTGAGAATTCTCATACTGGTTGTTGATCTTTAGTTATGGCCCTCACTACACAATGTTCCAATAGCTATACATTGTGTCTGAATTTAAAGGAAACTCAAAAGACATCTTTCTCAAGAGGTTTTGAACTTGTTGCCATCTGTCATTTTGCTTCTTGCAGGGGAGCCAGACTCATACAAAGAAGAAGAGGCAGTGCCCCAACAGGCTTGTTTCCATATGTATGTTAGTGTTGAATGATCTCCCATATTCTGGAGCTAGCATGCTTTCACACACATGCAGACACACACACACACACACACACACACACACACACACACACACACATACACACAGAAAGGGATTAAATTTATCAGCCAAAAGGGGCTCCGTGTATTTGTTTTACTCCGTGTTGTATATATATTGCCAGTAAATAAATTAACGTATATATAAAATTTAACTCATTTTGTTTAGTAAAGCAATAGGTATCCAAAAGCAATCTCAGATGTTAGCAAAGGTTCACTAGGTTGAATAACAATATTATTTAAATATCCTGATAGATAAACACTCCAGTTTTCATTCAAACTAGCAAGTAAATTATACTTTATGTGGAATAAAACGTGGTTTGGTTTTAAAATCCATTTGGTTTTGAAAAGGAATGAGTTCATTCCAATAGTTTTCTTACTATGCTATGGAATAAAAAGAGTTACAATCTTTCAAGAAGAAAATTCAGAAGGAATTCTGTTTTTGAAATAGAAAAAAGAGATTCCTTTATTCTTACAGAAATTCATAGAGAACTTATCATCTTAGAGTTTAAATCATTCTGTGACTAAACCTTTCAGATAGTATCTTTATTAGGATTTATCATTGATCTTTGTGGAGTAGGAGAATGGTAGGTTGGGGAGAAGAAAATAGCAAATTAAAGAGAAACTACAGCAACAATGGTTTTGACAGGAACTTCATAACAATGAACTATTCTTTTAAGCAGCAGAAAGAGAAATCACAAAGACAAATGCTGAGATCTTTCATTTATTCTGCAAGTGAAGTGCTTCCTAAAAACATCACTTGCTAGCATGTCTGTGTCCAAGAAAGATTTTGTGTGAGAATATATAAGATATGAAAACTAAAAGGCAGTAATTGAAACAGAATACAATTCTGTGCACACACATGCAATTGTGATTTCGTAAAAGCTTGTCCAGGAACGGATTATAACAGGAGGGTGGCAAATTACGGTAATATATTAAATTAGACATGGAAGTAAAATTTCTCTGTGTGTGAGGTTTTTAAGACAGAGGGAGAAGGATAAGGAATGAGAATCTAGGCACTTCATATTCTACAGGAAAAAATGGGGAATAAATACCAGTACATGAGATGAATAAATATTAAGAAAGTATTTACATTGGAAAATAGAAACTAATAAAAAATTTTTTTGAAACTGAAGTTTCATGTCTATAATATTTCCATCTAAAAGTGGGCAAAGTAAAAATTTTTTACATACAGCATCTTTTAAGTTCCCTATCAAGCTTCTGAGACTTCAAAGCACAAGTACATATCATAAAAAGACTTGTTTTATTAAATAGTCTTAAAATGTTAGGAATAAAGTTATAAAGTTATGCATAACAAAACTGAAAGTGACCTATAATGATGAAGCCACCACCTCAGTATAAACAAACATAATATACTCTTCGATTTGTGACAGGTATAAGAACAATTTACAATCCTATCCACCACCTAAGATGCTATGTAAAACAAGCAGATGAAATTAGGAATTTTTCATTTTTTGGTCCAGTAAAAATTTGAAAATCCAAATGTTATTAACATCTTAAAGGTTAATCTATGAAGAAAACACTTCTTGTGATATGAAGTAGTTATATTAGGGCATGAAGATAGGTGGCTGTGTTTTCTGGAAAATGTACAGGACTGGGCTTATAAAATAGGCACAAACCAATGTGGCTTTCTCATGTGCTGACTTAACCACCAAAACCTGAAGAAAAGCAAGTTGAATGGAATGTGAAATGGAAAAATAGAAGTGTGAGGCGAGGGCTGGGAAAAGGCAGTGAAGTTTTCAAATCAAAAAGCGTTTGGTGGTTAAGTGCTCTCATGAACCTTGACCAGAAACCTTCCACAGAGCTACAAAAGGAGTCTTACTTAAATAAAAATAAGCAAAATATGACTTAAAAGGCTAGAACCCAAGCAATGGTTTACAGGGATCCAGTCCTACTCGGTGTTACCTTGAATTACTCAAGGTCACCTTGAGTAGTAGATTTAGGTACGGATTCTGAAGTGGTTATGCCTGCTGTTAGAGACAAAGGGAGAACTATTCTTAGGTTAGAAAGTTTAGAAATCAAAGGAACATAAACATAGCGGCTTCCAAATAAATCTTTCCACTTTAAAGAAGTCTGTCTACTCAGAATACCTTAGAATGGTTACTCTTCCATCTATATTTGTATGAATGAATGACTTTCCTTTCAGAAATCTTAGAAACCATTGAAATTAAAAATTCAGTGTATCAATATAAACTTTCAACAACATGTGGACAAATTTTTATGCTTCCCAATTTTGTTTTGTAATAATAGAAATAATTATATTAGTGAAACATTTATTGAACTTTAGTAAACCAAGCATGCAGTAATATTTCTTGATAATAATAATAATCCTTCATGCAAAATACAGCACAAATATATATATATATATATATATATATATATATATATATATAATAGTTGTTATCTTATAGCAAAGCCTTCTAAAATGATTTTAAATAGATATGTCAAATTCTTTTCATTTACAATTGTCAGAATTCTTTTATTTCAACTTCTAGGCTGTTGGATTTTATAAACTATGATTTTTTTCATTCAAGTGGGAGTTTTCATTCCATTTCTCTGACCTAGAGACCTTTCCCATGGTCAACTACACTCTTTTGCCCAATCCCTAATTTTTGCAGTCTGACATGTATAACTGGTGATCATATTACCTCTTTTAAGGGAATCATGAGATTTCTCTTTCTGAGTAGTTACATTTTCCTTTCTTATCCACTTCATTGCAAAGTTAAATCATGTCTGATTAAGCAGAAAATATCTTGCTTTAATAATCCTACTTTGTAAACATGCTATTAATGGAAATGCAAATTAAGAATCCAATAAATATTATAGTGAAAAGTTTGTTTTTCAAGAGCTAAAGTTTTAACCCATAAATGACAATAGCAATGAGTTGTGAAAAAGCTCCTCATAGTCAATCAACATCTAAGTTCACCGTGTAAGTCCTGGATTAATAGAAAATGATTTGGTCATTGATTATTTTCTACAGTGCTTACATAGAGAGTTTTCTGGTCTTAGTTAAATAGAGAAATCCTTTCCAGCAAAAGAACCTCTTTTCCTTCACCAAAACACCATTAAAATCTCCTGATATATAAATAGAAGCCACTGTCCAGAAATCAGCCCCAGCTAAAGAGTTTGGCACATTTGAAGCATACAATCCTTTTGGGTTTTGTAGCTTGCAAACTGAGAAGTTTCTCCAAAACAAGACAGAGTTCTTAGATGACAGAAACACTTCTCCTCTTTCAAGTTGAAAGGCTATTATTCAGCGTCATCAGAATTCCAGTCAATTTTGGTACTGGAAACTATTTTATAGTTTTAGACAAGGGGGTCCTCAATCACTCACACTGCTACATTTCTATGCTTTCTCTGTGACGGTCATGAACATAATGATCTACCACAGCTCACAGCAATGCTGTGATAATATCCAAGGGGCTGGTTATGATGAGATCATCTTAGTGCTTTTCTGTACTTTCCATGGGAAAGTGTGTCAAATACTAACATACAAATCAGAAATTCTTGATCTAAAGACTTGTAAAACATAATTTTTCAACTCTTCTTTTTATTTATAAGCAACTCTTCTTTTTAGAAAGAGCAGGGTAATTACCAGGTGCAGTATGTGTCATGTCTACGATTAAAGGATGTTGAGTTTCAAAGTAATAAAACTGTGTTTTACTGACAGTTTGAAAAAACAAAAGCAAAATATCCAATTAGCATACAGGCATTTCAAAGTGTCTCAAATCATCAAGACAAAAACCTAAATCTAAACTGTTAAATGGAATGAACACACCACTTGGGAGATTTTGGAAATATCTCATATTCCATTCACACAGAAACATTTAAGGAACACACACTGATAAATTTTTCATCTGTTTTGAAGAAAACATTTCAGGAATATATTAAACCTAACAGTATTGCCACTAAATGGTAACTAACTATTCAGAATAAAGTCAGCAATTTTAACCCATGTTTTAAAAGAGGTATTCTCCTTATTTTGTACTTATTCCATAATTCTCAGCTACACCTAAGTCTTCAAGCATCGGGGAGGGAAATACCTTTTAAAATTAATATTCAATGATATTATGATTTAAAGCTCAAAACTATCCCCCTAGCACCAAAATAAAGAGGCATTTTTCCAAATGAAGTCTAAAGCTGAATTTGATGAACTTACTTAGAAAAGTGGTAAATGATGGCAATGACCTAGCTTCAAATACAATGGCTAAATAGTGGCTTCCTCTAGGTGTCCTTTCAAAGCCTCATGCAGTCATAAGTAGTGCTTTTTCACAGGTAGCTGGGTCTAGAGAGTGTCCTGTGCCAGCTTGAAATGACTCATGGTGCAATGCTTGGATTAAGGATTTGAGTGCTACCTGCCCTAAGCAGATTGAATAAAACATAAGGGATAGAAAAAGCCATGGTCATCCCTTGTTGCTTGGCTAATCTCTGCCTTCCATGAACTGTTTGCCCTTTGCAATGTCCCTCTGTCATGCCACCCTGCCTTCAGCCAGTCGATTATGAACTGTAACTCTTACAAAGTGTGAGCCAACTAAAACCTTTCCCACTTTAACTTTGGGTGTCAGGTTTGTTATCTCAGCAACAAGAGAAAAATAAGAAAGCAATGAAGCAGTAGTGGACCAACAGTGTGTCTTGCTGGCACAGGACTGTATCTGAGTGCTGAGCTCTGATCTATTAATGACAGGGCAAGATAACTACAACACAGAGTTGGTGTATTATGAGAGACTCAGTACTGTTCCCCCTGAGCCTTTAGAATTACTAACAAGACACTATAAAAAAAGCTGGGCTACTAATTTTTCCACAGTAAGATAAAGTAACACCATACAAGCACGTATCATTATTATGCAGTATTAGTTATGTAAGCACAAGGTTTTTAGAAAGTTTAGATATAATTGTCTCGGGACTTAGATTCTTTCTGACAATGAAAGAAAAAAAATCCTTCTATTTTAGGGATAGTAAAAATATTCTCCAACAAAAAAACCAGAACAAACCTTTGTAAATCCTGCCCATCTGAAACTGAATAAAAATTTTGGAAAGTAATTTTAAGTTGTCATAACAGCACAAGTCTTATGAAACTTCTTATATTACAAATATAAATGGAATAAGCCAAAGTCAGTTTGTTGAGCATGATTCTGCATATATTATTTGACAATAAGAATATTACTTACTCATTGATATATTATTTGAACTACCCAAACACTGTGATTTATATTGTTGCCCTGTCCTTTTCTTCCACACAAATCCTATATGTCTATTTAGGCCTACCTTGTCAGCTCTTCCTTTGCTGGAGCATCTATACAATCTTTGAAGAATGTCTATAATATTACAACGTAATTGTAATAATATGCTGTAGTCTCATTGTTATGTGTTATTTTAAGATTACGAAAAACTTCAAAGCTGGAGTCAGATCCTCCCTATCTTGCCCATTGCCCTATTGCAAAATGGAAAACATAGTAGGCAACAAAAAAAAAACAAGAACCATCGGTGTATCAGACACTTAAGTGTAAATGCACATCAAAAAAGTGATACTATATATCTCATTCTAAGATACTTTAGCAAAAGAACTTGCTTCTGGGTTTACTAAAAAGTTCATATGTTAAAAAATAAGATGATTTTCAGTAAAATCTTGTTGTTGATATTTGATTTTTTATTTTGTATTATTATCTAACACTTAATTAAAAATTGTTTCAAATTATTCTCTAGATTCCTGTAACTTAGTTTTTACTCTAAGGAGATGAACATGATCTATTTAGAAATAAATATCCTGAAAAATTAAAGAGACATTTATTTACCAGGTTTGGTTCTTGGAGTTTTGGGTCTGGGGCGCCGTTTGGGTGAGGAAGGGGTAGATGGAGTTTGCTGGGGAGCTGAAAGAAGAAGATTTAACACAGCTTTGCAGAGGACACTTTTCAGGGGTCAATCAGACTGTGCCTGTAAACTTACAAACTTCTTGAGTGCAAGAGCTATTTTATTTTTCTTTGGCCTCCCCAAGTTTTTAACACTGTGCTTTATACACAGTATATAAAAAATAAACGTTGACTGAGCCAAAGGGAATTCAGTTTCTACATGAGACCTCAGACAATGTTGTTCATACATTAAACAGTCTATGAAAGCAGCACCTTTGAAGTATTTCTGAACACGAAGTACACTGAATAACTCAAAGAGCTAACATTAACTAGCAGGGGTACAGCATGAAATAAGATATTTTGGAAAGTCCAGAAGTTAATCAACTCTATTCTTCAAGTAATTTTGTGTAAAATACAAATTATGTTGCCTCTGTTTTACAAATCTTTCTTCATCGTATTCAAGGTTGCTGAATTTACCTGGTACAATTTATACTTAGACTATTCTGGTTAAAACACTGATCAAGTCATATCCAAATGTGTTCAATCAAAGAGAATACATCTCAAAATAATTATCAGTTATAATTCTGCTATTTTCTTGTTGACAAAGTTGAAAGAACTATAAAAAAGAATTATTCTCCAAAATATATTGAGCACAATACATAGACATCAGGATTATAGAAACTCTTTAAGTATTATCTCAGGGATAAGTAGATTAGATAGCTCAATTCTTTGAAGAATGTCTTGCTAGAGAAGGGGAAATGTTTGATACTAAAAATATTCTGAAAAAGACAACATGACTCACTGTTTTTGTCACTTTACCTGTTCTTTGAAAGCAAAACTATGCAAATGTCATTAGTTACCATGTGTTGTGGATTTCATTGCAGGACTGGTAAAAGTTTCCACTTTTTGAGGAATAAATGGTGCTTCGCTTGGAGCTGAAAACACAAACACCCCAGCCCACCAGGTAACAGCAGTTAAAATGAGTTGCTTCAGGAATTTTAACATGCTTTTAAATGGTATAATGCAAATGCCACAAATACATGATTAAAGTTGCAAAAAGTATTTGCCTTGAAAGCTGGGGGATAAAGTTAAAATTTTAAATGGAGAAAAAGCTATAATGATCACTGTTCAGTAGCTGATGCCAGACAGACTCAACACATGACCATGAGGTAATGCAGGCCACAAATACATGAAATGACAGAGTGTGAATGATGAAGATGTTCATGCAGTTTTCAAAGCTTTTCACAAGTTTAAGGATGAGGAAAATGCCATCTATTATAGTTCAATGAAAGAGACATAAACACATGTATGCGTATTCATGCACAAAACGGAATATAAAAGATGCCTGCATAGAGATGCATACACATATGTACTCAGGAACAGAAAGTATATAAAGGATTAGATGTGATGGAATGAAATGGTCTTTCAGAAAAAAGTCAGTCACATGGATTATAGATTTTTGTTTGATGGAAAACAAAGCACAATTTTTCTGTTAGAAACATTACCCAGTGTTGCCCTTGGCTGTTCAAGAGTTCTAGAAGTTTTAGGTGGGATAGAATCCAGAATAGGATCACTTGTTGCTGTTGGAATAAATGTCAACATTTATAAAGGAGGGCCCAGGAATAAAATACGAATTCAAGAGTAATTATGTCTTGTGTGAGGAAAAACACCAAGAGCACTTGAGGAATTACTAACCAACGTTCTTAAATCAGTGATTCATTAGGAGTTGAAGATGAGCTCACTTTTAAAAACATGCATGCCTTAAATACAGAAAACATGCTAGTGTTTCATACATCCAACTTTTTAAAGTCTGATTTTCCTAGTTTCCTCCTTTTCTGCAGTTACCTTAACTCATTATAAATATTTGATTTAATTTTTCTCATCATCTACCTAAAATTATCCATTTTTGCTTTTCATGATACAAATTGCATTGAAATAAGGTTATGCATATAAAAATGAAACTCATATTTGCATTTCACAGAAACCAGTCTTACATTGAAACTCCTAGTTTATAAGTACCTTGTTTGTAAAGGCTTAAGAAACACTTGCTAACAGAATCTGCCATATTAAGTCAAACTCACTGTAAATGGATCTATAAATGAAAGCCAATGATAGGCAAATGAATGAAGCAGGATTCATTCTAGAGCAGGGGTCAATCAGACTGTGCCTGTAACTCTAGAGCAGGATTTCTCATCTTAGCATGAATGACAATTAGGGCTGAATAATTCTGCTTTAGGGGAAGCTGCCCTCTTCACTGCAGGGGTTTGGCAACATCCATGTCACCTCCCTCAAATTCTGACAATCGGATGTGCCTCTAGACATTGTCAAATGTCCCTGATGGCGGAAAGAGGTTCAAAATAATCCGACTTATGACTCATTGCTCTACAGAAAACTAAGACTAAAATTTTAAGAATTATTCCAATAGTACATTATATTACTTTCCCTTGTGGCAACACAACCTATCTGCATCTCCATTATGTGACAGAGCTTATTTATTGATGAATGTAATGAAATCGTTATTCAATGCGAGATGTGAATAGAATTTATCTCCCTGACACACATGAGTACTACTCCCCTGTGAAGCTCTAGAGGGCACACCTTTTTATTCTCTGGAAACTGAGAGGAGTAAACACCAAGGTATCTGAGGAAACCTGGAATTTAAACACTTAATTGAAAGGCTGGGTATACCTGTGTGAGGATCTGATACATCAGGCTCAGCTGAAGTTGAAGGGCTTGAGAAAACATCATAAGCTGCTTTAAAAAATAAAAGATGAGAGGTTAATTTTGCACGATTTCATGGCATAATTTGATGATGGCTGAAGGACAGTTTCACTAGGGTGTCAGTTTGGGCTTTTGGCTGCTAGTCTTGTCACTACTGTTTTAGCAAACACCACTGTGCCATTAGCTTTTGATTTTCCTTGATCTGAGTTGCAGAATTTTCCTTGATCTGAGTTGCACCAGTTCTTGGTAGTGGCATTCAGAGTGACATGAACACAGTGCTATCTATTTATAGTGAAGTGACGCTAACTTTAATTTAAAGAACTTCAACAAGTATAAACATAAATAGTCAGGTGGCAGCTTGGGAAGAGATTTCTAAAGAAGGAAACAGCAGTTACTAAAGTTATCCTCTTAGTATTTTGCACGTAGATGGCATGTTGTCATACTCAAACTTATTAATGTCTCTGAGAAATAGGGAAGGTAGGCATTGCCTTTACTTTATAGATAATGGGCTGTTATGTCTATTTTCTAGATAATAAAGTTAAGATTACAGCACTGGAGAAATTTACCAGAGTACACACTGGAATGTCAAGTTCAGTACATTTGTCACCCAATCAGCAGTACTAGGAACAGCAACGTGAAGCAGGACTCTCTTTTGGCACCATTTTTTCCTGTCATTTTATTTAAAGGGCTCTTTCTATTCCTCTTTGGAGCTATGAGTCCATCTGCAATCTAAGTACATTTAAAGATAAAGTATGTATTCTATGTGAAATTCACAAAGTAGAATAAATATAAACATAAAGATTGAATTATTTTAATGTAGGAATATTCACATAAGCGCTTAACCTGGAAGAAAAAACAGTATTATATATTTTTTTAATGTACAACAAACTGTCACGATGGTAAAAAGAGGTAGAGAACAAAGGAACTGTTAGGAGGTAGATGTTGTTTTCTTTGCCCATTCAGATTGGCTGTGCAGAAATAAAAGGGAGGGAGTTCACAGAAAAAAATTACTCTTGGGATGGCGCATAACGCAATGACAATTTAAGAACTCAAAATCACTGTTAGCTGAAACTTTAAGAAAGGTAATACTAGATGGTTTGACACATCTGAACACTGAGAACAGCTTTGTGCACCGTGTATTGATGAGGCAGAAATACATTTCAGTTTGTGACGGTCACTCTTACTTTACAATCTTTAAAAACAGGACAGTTGTGCTAAAATGGGCACATATTGTGAGAATGCATCTATTATATTGAAATATAAAGTTTTAAAGTATGTTAAGCTACACAAGGTACAATTTTAAAAGGTAGTGTAGGAATGATGAATCTTTTAAAGGAAAAATTGTTGTCAGTTTCTGATACTAGGTTTGTTTTATGACAGGTTTACACTATGAATCCAGCACTGTCAACTCTGTTTTCCACTAAAGAAATAAGTAAACTTTATCGACTTTTATTTAAGACTCTCATCCTAGCTAAGAAATTGTGAATAATTTGACTTCTTTATTTATTCTATTGCTTTTTAAAAATGCCATGGCTGTCTTTGTTATCCTAATTTCCAAATCACAGTTCAATCTACTGACATTGAACCAATTTTCCTATTGTCTATATTTTTCTTCAAAGAGATAATATTCATTTACCCTCATTTTATTTATTTTCTACCACTACAATTCCCTTTCACTCTGGAGGGTCCAAGCCAGGCTGCTAACTTCTCTACATTATTTTGTGGGGAAAGAAGCCCTCTTCCAGTAGTTTCCAATTGTCAGGAACTCTTCTTATAAACATTTTCTCAAATACAGTTGACACATATCTGTCATCAAACTTAGTCCTGATACTTCTATTGCCATAGTTCCTGAGAACTGAATGATAAAGAAAAAAAAGACTGCTAAAGTCACACAAATACCACTCACTCCGTTTGATACTGTTTGGACAGTTTTGAGAAGCACACTGCCTCACCTTATTCATAGTTAAACAACTTCAAAGTTATAGTTCTCAAAGGACCGGTGGTGTTGAAATGGAATTCTCTAAAATGTTCTCAAAAAATCAACAGCTTTTGATTTCTTTTCAAAACACAGTATATGCACATCTATCAAAAATAAAGTTCCTGAAATGGCTGGGCCTGACTTCTGAAACACTGCTGCCAGTCATATACCTGGTAAGTATCCAAGAGTTACAAGTGAATTTACAGAACATGGGACCGTATACATCAGGCAAAATGTGTAGTTTAAATCAAAGGTTACAAAAATCACTATCAATTTATTGGAAAAACAAAAATGATTTAAAATCACAACATAATTTTACTGTCAGATTTTTCAGAAAAAAATACTGAAACTGTACTTGCTCTCTAACTTCCTAAAGTCTAAAACCGTATTTGTTGATTATGTTTTGTTTAGTTGTCTGCTTTTACTTTAGAAATTAATTAAAAGTTCAAATCCCACAGCGAAAATGCCCTGATATTACCTTGGAAGTATGTGATGGCATACAAAGCATTTCAAATAATTGAAAATTTATAATTTTATTCAAATTCCCTAAGTACTAATAACTATGTAAAAGATTTTCTTTAAAAGGCTAAAGGGGGTTTAACTCAGTGGCACAAGTGCCTGCCTGGCAATCTCGAGTTCATGAATTTAATCCCTGGTACCATAAAAAAAAAAGAATAAATCACTGGCTTGGGGATAACACAAATAGTTGCTACACAATTAGTTGCTATATTTGTATATTACCATGGAAATAGGATTCAAAAAATATGAAGAAGTAATGTAAAAGCTTAATAAATAACTAAAAGAGAAAAACACACCACCAAACATATAATTCTCCGCACTATTTAAAGATATGAATAATGTTTTCTTCAGTTAATGGGAAAACAAAAAAATCTTTCTATTTGGCCTGAAATTTGAGAGAGCAATGCTTGCAAGAAAATGTTTGTGAAATAAAATCAAAGACTGATGCTATAAATCTCTTAAAAGGATGCGCAGAATATATAAACCATCTGCTATGCCTGAAAGCTATTTTCCTGCTCTCAAAGCTTCAACACCAGTACTTACCCTACGCTTTTTCCTCTCTAAGGATTAATCTAGTTGGGTGGGCCAGATCTGTGCTAATCAACGCCTCACAGGGTAGGCAGTGAGGTCTAAATACAGTTCCCCCTTTACAATTGTTCTAAGTAAATCACGTGTGGCCAAAACTTTCTAATATGCTACTTCCTTGCTGGTTGCTTCAGCTTTTAAATCTTTAATTCATACATCTTAGTGCTTGTGTCAAGTTACTAAAAGTTTTACAAAGTACTGAAAGAATTTAGTGCTGAAAATAATTAGAGCTGACATCCTAAAGAAGCTCCCACCAGTTTGATGCTTCATCAAGGGAAAGCTCTGAAAGATAACAATTTATGCTGCAAGGGAAAATAATTTTACTCAAGAAGAGGTAGTTTTAGTAATAAACCTTGGTAAACTGGAATAAAAATTCAGTTTATCTGGATACTTTAGAGGGAAAATAGGCGAAAGAGTTTCCTAAGGATGAAACTGAGTCATTTTGGGTTTGTGAATATTTTCTTCATTTGAAATGGAAAATAAATAAAAGTCTTTTGAAGAAATGATCAAATACATTAAGGAATCTTAACACTGATGGCATTATCAAGGCAGAAACAAGCACCTCACTTCCATTCCATCAAGCTGCCGAAGTCATAAAAGTCCTTAGAAATCACAGACACACCTGTGGGATGATAAATGCCTTATGTGTATGCTGCGTCTTCCACTCTGGCGCCCATGAAAAACACAAGTGGACAGTGGCATAATTCTATGCACTGAGCCTGTGCAGGTCTTCACCCTACTCTACTGAGTGATTCAGGTTGCTGCTCTAACTAAACAGAGAGGTTCTGTGATACTATTCAATATGTCTGTCATTAGTTACTGAAATATCAGGCTATTTCCAAGGGTTACAGGACCTCTGCAATGTGCAATGTCTTTTCTAGTCTTCTTAAAAGTTTTTACACAATCTAAATGAAGATCTACAGATCCTTTGCAGATCCTTTAAAGATCCTCCTTTTATTAAATAATTTAATAAACTAATTATTGCTTTTATTGTTGTAATTATTGTGTGCAGCAATTTAGAACATTTTAGATGAGTAGTATGGTGGGAAGAAGAAGCAGACAATGAAAAAGTCAGTGCTACTAAGGAAATATTGGGATATCCTTTGTGTGCTATGCATCATGTGAAATGATTTATACATAGTTTCTAATAGACAATCTGATGAAAATTTTGTATAGTATTTCCTTTTATAGATGGATAAAATGAAGTTCTGATAATTATTAACTCAGCTTTGTCTCAATCTGCAATTACAGATCAAGAGTCAAATTCATGATGAGAATAAATTTTGAAGACCAGTTGGCTTTTTAAAGATCATTTGATGGTTCTTGTTTACCTGCAAGGCATGCCACCCTAAGAACAACATTTAATTCTATTTTGAAATCTGTTCACCAAACTACAAAGCAAGATATATAACAGTTTTACTTTTAACTTGGAGTATATTGTTGTAGAGAAGATTAGGAAAGAAATGAATGAGTAACTAACCTTTGTTCTGACACCCATTCAGATATGAGTTCCCTATGTATCTCATTAAAAGAAAATAACTGTCATAAAATAACTTTGGAAGGATCAGTATGATGCCGTATTCATATTGCTTTGAATCTCTCAGAAGAAAATCTCCATACAAATACAAATTATATTATTTCATTTGGGAAATGATCCAACATATGGACAATTCATCTAGGGATGGAAGGTATTAAGAGCTTTCCTAGAACTCCTATAGCACAGAGATTGTAGTGAGCTGGCAACTTTCCAATAGAACCACTTTTATTGAATTATCAGAAAGATGGGCCTTTTCCTGAATAATTTTTACAACCACAATTTCTAAAACCTGGCTAATAACCTTTTAAATAAAAATTTATAGATAATTTTACATTCTGGTATGTAGGAATATAGCATATTTTTATGATTTGTCTTATATACTTTATGGAAAATTAGATTTGGCAAGGAAAACAAAAGCAATCAATCCTACTTAAACATACTTTATAGAAGGTCTATACAAAATGCAATTTTAAGTAATGGCATTGTAAAACACAGTATTAATGAGAGAATAGAGCAAGCACGCTGAAAGCAAGGAAGAATATACTCAATGATTACACATCTCAGATTTCCTGGGATATTCTCAACTTTAAATATCCTGTTCCTCTATTGCCAAAAACTATTGAAATGATGCGGGAATTTGATAATCAGCATGCAAGTTAGAATTTTGAAATAGTCTTTTGTATAAATAGTACAGAAATCTTTTTGAAAACACTCACTCTGATTTTTTTTTTTTTTGATACAGAATGTGCCATGGCAAACAAATTCTGAAAATGTCAAAGAAAAATAAATTTTATAATGGTGAACCATGTTTAATAGTTGATCCAGATAAGAACAGCCTCTGGGATCCGGAATTACCTGGCAATCACAGGTTGGCTGCAGCATTTTACCACTGAATCTCAAACATCAAGCATATACTGTTAAATCAGAACTGGAATGGTATTTCTTATTTTGTTACTGCTCTCATATCACTAAAAAGATCTCTAGAAAACTAACGAGCCAATTCACAGTTTATTTTAGCCAGAATTCAAAGAATATATCCAGAAGATAAAACATATATTTTTAAAACAACAGCAAAACCATTTCACTTGTGTATTGGAAAAAACAAGACTCAGCTTAATATTAAGAACATAGTATAGGTTTTTTATTTGCCAGTTAAGGAAGCTATAAAAATAAAAGCAAGAAAAGTTAATATTGCTCTTACAATCTCTTTTTTAAAAACAAAAAAGAATATAATTACCAGTTTGAGGCTTCACAACTTTGGAATCTCCCGATGTTTTAGATGTAGGTGCCATCCATGACTTTTCACTTGTTACTATGTTGGAAAAAAGTAGAATTTGATGAATATTTAAGAGGAGGAAAAGACAGAAGCAGCTTCCTGGTATGATATAAGTAGCTACCAAAAGACTGAGATGTAAAGCTTATATGGATTCTATCAAAAGTAGTCCAAGATTGAGCAGATAATCGATATGCACTAGCGGAGAACATCTGCCTAGTGACAAGGGTGAAAACAGTTTGTATCCTGCTCTCAACATTTTAAGGACAGAAAACAAATCAACTGGATTATGTGGAATTTATAGACTGACGATATTTATCAAATTTATAAAATATCCAAACAAATAAGTCTTTTCCTTCTTTTTAAAACTAAATCAACCATCTATTTACCTTAGTTAATTTAAATCTCACTACATTGAAGTTTTCAGAGTTAGGACCCTAGTAAATGTTCCCACAGAATTGAGCAATTACTACTCACATGCTGGGAATAAAGGTCAGGCCCCCACCCAGGGTAGGCAAAGGTCTATTGCTGAATTACATCCACCACCTATAATAACACCAAATATAAGGTATTTTGATTACCATAGCTAACCCCAGGTTTCTCAAAAGGGAAGGCTGTTTTTGCTTCAGGAAATTCAGGAAGCCTTTTTGGAGCTGTAATTAAATACACAAAGTTATGACCCGAAATGCAAGTAATAGAAAAAAAATGACTTAAAAAGTATTGAGCTTCCAAACATAGTATTTCACATTAAACAATATGAATGAATAATGAATCTTAGTAGTATTCCTTCTGTGTTTCAGTGCAGGATAATAAATTTTTTTTTCAATTTTAAAATCAAGCCATTAAGTTTGAGGAATTTGCACTTTTTTCTATCTTTATCAAGTTAGTTTCTCAATTTCTTCAGTTTTGTTTGTGTGTCTTCTCAAGTACATTTTATTTAAATTCAAACTAAACATCAAATTTATCTGAAGTAGCAAATGCTTCACCTAAATGCTTTTTAAAATAGAATCTGTTAACTACATGGATCTATATATAAACATCTCCATTCTTTTGATATTGTACCTATAAATAAATCTAAAAATGCTAATGAGGAATTTCCAGAAATATCTTTTAAGAAAGACAATTGAGCAAAAATATTTTGGAAAAATATTGTTCAGTAATATGCGGATTGTGAATGAAAAGAATAAAAAAATATTACCACCAAAAACAAAATTCACAAATATATTTTTCATAGGGAAAGCCTCTTTAGAATTCTAATAAAGATTGTTTGAAGGCTTGGATGTTGGGAAGTTTATTTTATATAAAACACCTCCCCATTTTCTAGTAAAAAGATGAATTTGAATGAATTACCTCAATACCTTGAAAAAAGCATGCATAAAATTCCAAAGCAATAATAAAGCTGCAGTGTTTAATAACTTTTACCGAGAGTGCTCTGTGGCAATTCGAACTTAGGTAACAGAATAGTTTGCAATGATTCTGGGGTCCTTTGACTGATAACTGCAATAAAAAAGAAGGCAGTTAGAAACACCTTGCCTGGGGATTTGATTTCTTGGCATAACCATGACCATACATAGCATGCTTCAAAACAGGGATTCAAGTGCAAGGAGCAGTTGATGCTTTTCGTGGAAATAACTGGTTTTCCCTGGAAAAATTACACTTGTTAAAATTTAAAAGATGAAGATCAACATCATAAGTGCAGGTGCTGCTCCTTTTCTTCAAGAGAAAAGGCCAAACAACAAAAGAAGTTACAGTCTCTTGGGTGAAACAGCACATAACACAAGTGATGTGAAATTCTTACTGAAAATTGTGATGGGGAGATTTTTTGCACACTTAGTATGCATAAGACTTCCAAAAGCCAATTTAAGTAGAAAGCTCTGACAGTTAAGAATTAAATGTTTCTCCCACCCCTCCAAGATTTGGAGGTTGAAAGGTTGATGTTTTGTCTGTTCAACCCAAGAGACTTATTAAAAAGGGCATGCTGTTATTATCTAGCATTCATGTCTGCCTGGAATACTAGTCCCCAAGACCCAGGGACTTCAGTGCAAATGCTTCAAGAAATAGTGAAAGGGTTTTGGCCCAGATAGGACACTGTAGCCAGGAAAGCCACAACCGGAAGCAGGAAGCCCCATCTCCCCTGCCCCTAGGAAGTTACCTGTGATGCCATCTTCCCGCCCCTGGAAATTTACATATGGCGCCAAACCTAGGACCAATGGGCTACCTGTGTATCCCTAATGCCCGCCTTAGGTTCCACCCCAAACTGAGGCTATTTACAGGTCCCCACCCCACGTGTCCGCCAGAGAGATCGCGGGACACCAGCGGTGGGGGTGCCGGTCATTTCTCTCCGTGTTCTCAGAATAAAGGCCACTTTTTATTTTATACTTCTCATCTTTTGGAAATAATCCTAGCAATAGAAAGGTTGTTAGTGCCAGAAACGGGGAAGAAAAGAGAGATAAGGAGAAAGGGGAGAAAGTAGTATAAAGGGAGAGGAAGAAGAAATACAGTAAAGAAGAGAGAGAGAGAGAGAGAGAGAGAGAGAGAGAGAGAGAGAGAGAGAAAGAAAGAAAGAAATGAAAGAGAGAGAGAGAGAAAGAAAGAAAGAAAGAAAGAAAGAAAGAAAGAAAGAAAGAAAGAAAGAAAGAAATGAAAGTAAGAAAGGGGGAGGGAGGGAGGGTGGGAGGAAGGAAGGAAGGAAGGAAGGAAGGAAGGAAGGGAGAGAGGAGGAAATGGGAGGCTAAAGTCCTGAGGTTACTCTATTACTGTTTTGTTTTGATTTTTTTAAAAAATGAAAGCTCTTAGAATTACCCAGTGTTGTTTCAGAAATGTCTAATGTACTAGACACAGTAGGTTTAGTGGTTCTTGGAACTGTTTCAGGAGTCACTGAAAGATAAAAATAGATAACAAGATAAGATGACAAAGCATGATCATAAGACATGTTTTGTTGGTCTTCAGAATTAGTAACTGATATGTGGTATGACCTTTCTTCTCAAGTTCCTAATGTGAAGGCCTCCCCATCTTGCCCCAGATCCCTGAGTTGATTTTTCCTTCTCAATATATCATTTCTGGGTTTAGTCCACTTTCCATATGGTCCACAGAAACCACACCAAACTGACACTCATTAAAATACTTACTAGATCAAATTCTTAAATTTATCTTTTCTCTTTATCTCTAGTGTTTAACATAATGTCTATGACAAATGCACATTTGACAATAGGTTATTAAACAAATGAGTGAATGGGAAAATAAAAGAATAAACCAGAGTTAAAAGGTTTAATGAGAGCTATAACATTATCAGATTTATTTATGAAACTTTATCTGCATTGTCTGGAACTGGGTTAAAATTATGATCAGTTTTAAATAGTAGCAAATTTGTTCCAATTGCTAGGTGAAAAGCAATTAACACTTCAGGTAAATGATTTTGGAGATATATGAACTACAGTTACTGAAATCTGGAATAAATTGTATACTGGAAAGTCCTAGAATTTTGCAGGATAAATTATATGAAATAAACACAACACTGAATAAGTTATAGTGATTGCCTAAGAATTTCTGAAGTGGAAAACTCTAAGGAGGGTTTGGCAAAGAATTAAAAAATCTGTTGACTTTCATCAGAGATTATGCCAAGAGAAGAAAATGTAACTTGGAGAAGCAGGTAGAATCTTTGAAGCAGAAGAGGACTTGGAGTCAACTCCTGGGTCATGCCTATGCTTTTCTTGGTATTGACAAATTACATTAAAATCATAAAATTACCTAGGAATTTTATCCATTGGGTTGTTTTGGTAGTTTGAGTAGCTTCTGCCTCTTGCTATGAAGGCGAGGATGAAGGTCTGTTTCTTTTCCTTAGGCAGTACCACACTCTTCTGCTCAGTCCGAAATATTGTACTTCAATCTGCTTCTTCAAGTTATTTTATTACCCCATCAATCTTACATTCTCTGGACCAGTTACAAGTCCAAATATTTAGCACCAAGAAAATATCAGTAATATCCCAGGTTTTAGCAATCTTATAGATTGAAAAACTTCAGAGTAGATTACAGTCACTTTGCTAAATGTGAATTGTGAGAAATTCTTGCCAAATGTGGAGGGCTGGATAACGTGGTATGGTTCTGGCAAGACCCATGCTTTAGAGATTAATGTCTCCCCAGTGGACTAGATTGGATAGTTTCACTGAGAGAAGAAACCGTGGAAACCCTGATAAACTAAGGGAAAATACTTGCTGCATTTATTCTTTAAACTATTTTTACTGAAGCATTATATATTCTATATACTAGGCCTACTAATCTCTCAAAGACCTTTGTTTCTAAATTATTCTAGGGTATTTCCATAGCTGTGAAACTATTGATTTGTGAAGAATATAAGACATTTTACCAAACTGACCAGATGTGAAGAAGCAATGAAAAATAATATCATCTTCTAATAAAAGGACTACACTATACCAAAACCTTATTATTACATTTTAGGGGAAAACTAATGCAGCGTTGATGTAACAACTTTCATTTAGAATAAAAACTAGAGCTTAAATATTGCATATCAGTTTTGTGATCTAATAGTTCAATTTTTATCTGTCCTTTTCTCAAACATTAAAAAGCTAGAATCTTCTATTGCTTTGTGCTTATCATCAAAATGAATTTTCTACTAGCTCTTCAGTGAAAAATAAAGTTTGTAGATCATTCACTGTTTGGAAAAATATGCTGCTTCTTTTCTCAATGTCCACATAAGGATCTAATTACCTGTTATGCGCTGAGATGTGGTTTTTTCAACCTCTGGTGTTTTAGATTCAGCAGGTAAGGCCAAGGTTTCATTTTTAGCTAAAAAGTAAGGAAACACAATTTACCTCCTTTCTTCATAGTAGTGTCCAAATATATCTTATTCAGTGCATAATCAAGTAACAGACAAATTTTTAAATTTAATCTTCATATGTACACATAGGTCCCTTTTTCCCCAATCAAGTAAGTTTATTTTCCATTTTACTCTCTTTTGAACAGTTCAAAAGAGGCTTCAAAATTTCTTCTTGTTCATCCTAGCTAATTCTTTAAAATCTAAATTGGTATTGGAATGAAGGAAAATATTACAACAGAATACTTGGATAAATCTTATTCTGTGTCATAAATAGAGTTTCTGAAAGGCAGTTTGTACTGCAATTGTTCTTTGGAATTTTATAGTCAAGTACTGCTATTTTTTTTAAAATAATGAATAGAAAATTTTCATTATAATACATGGCCAAAATGTAACAAATTATAACTCTTAAATATTTGAAAAATGCAAATCCTACACAAAGACAAATAAGAAAATAACACTCAGAAAAATTAATGGAAAAAAATTAATGATAAATTGTATTTAAATGATATGTAAACATAGATTTTCTGTTTTGGTCTTTTAGAATTTTAGTGCAAAGAATGGATTATTTCCTATAAAGAGCATCTCGGTAGACCCTACCTCCTGATCTACTCTGCCTGTGATTCTCTCTCTTTTTTTTAATTTAGTTTATCAAGGCCATCTATATTAGAGATTATGGCCAATCTTCTCTGCCTCAATTTCTTTTTACTTTTTCTTTGAAAGTATGTATTAAATCCACTCATTTACTGTTTTGTTTAGTCTTTCTTTAAATAAAAAAAGAATGAATCATTTTTCCATTTTTGTTTCCATTTCCATTTTGTTTCCCCTTTATTATCCCCAAAAATTCCCTATTTGGGAAAATTTCTTCTAAATTTAAAACTTCTTTTTCAAAGAAATTAAATATCTAAACTAGAACTTCCCAATGGTTAAGACTTGCCCAATTTTAAAAAGTTGGGATTCACTCTCTTCCATTATTTATCACATTGAGTCAGTGATCTGCTTCTAACATTTCAAAAGTCTAATCACATGAAATACTTCATGCATCTTTGAGGAACCCTGATTATTCCACTTACAGCTAATTAATAATCAGATGGAATTTTTTCTTATGAGTCCTGAGCCATACAGAATTTATATTTCTCAACTTTTATACTATTGATGTTTGGGTAAGGGAATGTCTTGTTTACTGTAAGATGGTTAACAGCTTTTCTGACCTTTGCCCATTTAATTTGAATAGCTGTCACAGTTGTGACAAGAAATGTCTTGAGACATTTTCATATATTTCCTGGGTGTCAAAATCGTGCCGTTAAGAACTATTAATCTAACCCACTTTCCCACCGGTCTCTGGACACACAAAATTTGTACCCTTCTTCTGTAGTCTATAACACTTTTTAAAATCTTTTCAGTTAACAGAATACAAAACATTTACTTCTAACAGACTTAAAGACAGTTAGAAAATCATATTTCTAGCTTTTGGTATATACAATGGAAGGGATTCCTGCAGAGGGCTTACTGTTTTCAGGCACGATTTAAAATGCCTAAGTCAGTGTCAAAATACTGATGAACTTGCTACTTATTATACTGCAGAAGTTTCACAGGAATCTTGCACAACGGAAGTAGTTAATGCTGTACACCAGCAAAAAGAGCTTCGTTATATTTGTGCTATGCCTAAATTATATGATCAAAGTACCTGTAACACCGGTACTGTTCTGTATGCATCTTTTTTCTGGGTGACCTAATTAATATGTTAATCAATGCTCCCCTCTGTAAAGAATTGTAAATCCCTGGGAACCTGACCTACTTGATATGTTAACCACTGTTGCTCTCTATAAATAACAGATGTTATCTAAAATTGAGTGCTAAAATAAATTGACAAAGGATTGTTAATTCCTGCTAGATTTCTCTGTCCTCTGCAAAGGGAAACAAAGGTCTTCCTCATTCCTTAGCAGATTTCCTGATCCACGCCCATAACCCTTTACTTTGTAAACTGTGCTTTCTACAAAAGTCTGAAAAGTTTTGAGGGAGATGCACAGCTTTTGCAAACTCCAACTGCACTGTGTTCCTGGGCCCAGGAAAAATAAATCAGTGCTGCTTAAAAAAAAAACAAAAACATGTCTTGCCCCATTTTTGGACTTGAGGTTGGGGCTCTAGGGGGCTCATTTGTGGATCACAAGAGTTAATAGCACTGTTTAAATTTAGTTAGCAGGGCATAAAGAGAAAGTACTCTTTCTATAACTAAAAAGAAGCCAGTATAATTCATAAAATCTATTCTTAAAAGTTTTAAATTATATTTTTTCTGTGGTCTTTGGTAGGCCCAGATTTTGATTAGAACCATTCTAGCTATTAGCATGTGAAATAACATCAGTTTACAAAGTTTTCACGAACTGTAGTCCTGGTATTTAAAAAAAATCCTACTTATTTATTGGGTAACAGTATCACATGATAGAGGAAGTAGTTGTGTGGTAACTGGCAGCAAAGTTTAGCCTCTCTGAGATCTGAAATCCAGACCCTGGAAAATCACAGCAGGGTGAAAAGAGAAGCAGAAGTAGATTACTGGGAATCAGCAAGAAACTGACAAGAAAAATATAGAAGCTACCAGAGAACTTGGAGAAACTGTCCATGTCACAGAGAAAACAATAAACAATCTGGACTCTCTCACTAGCATAAGGTGAGGAGAACTTGGCTCCTTAGAAGCAGTGTAAGTGCCCATGGCTGGGAGATCCTGGAGAAAAGGAAGCAGACTGCTGATAATGCAGACCTCAATAGGAGGCCAGAGTGGCTGTGAACTGCAGAAGCAGTGCAGGGTCCACGGGTCCAAGGGGACTTCTTCACAGCAGGCAGTCAGAGAAGGATCCCAGTATGGGTGTTCACCATATCACTAGAGAGTGCATAATCAGGCATCATTTCAGGAAAGGGTTTATTTAAATTTGAGATGCAGAACAATTTTGAGACTATTCTGTAGTTCAGTCTTGGAGAATAAGAGCTGGGCCTATTGCACTATCCTTCCCTCCAAAATTAATAGAGGTGGTTGGATCTGTTCTTTTGATCTTAGCTGGCTACTTGGGGTTTCATTTCACTTGTCTCTTAGAGATTCCCTTTCTCCTTCTTTTCCTGGGCTCATTTCATTTATTGTTCTAGTCCTGGTATTTTCTGAAAGGGTTTTGGCCCAGGCTGGACACTGTAGCCAGTAAAGCCAAAGAGCTCCTATCTCCCCCACCCTTAGGAATCTACCTCTGGCACCAAACAAAGACCAATGGGCTACCTGTGCATCCCTAATGTCCCCTTAGGTTCCCTCCCAAGCTGAGGCCACTTATGTGCCTCACTCTGCATGTTCCACAGAGAGATTGCTGACCCCGGAGTGGAGATGCCGTGCCCGGGGGGTTGGGGGGAGTCTCTCCCCGCATTCTCAAAATAAAGGTCATTTATATTTCATACTTCTTATCTTTTCAGCCACCGCAGGTCCCCCACAGTTCTATCATATGGTTCTCAGACCAGGAACAGCAGGTGAGAGACTCCTGGGGCTGGTTCCCAGTTTGAGTCCCCTGCCGTTCAGGACCATGATCAGGACTGGACTGCATCCTGCATTAATGCCTCATTTCTACACTCAGAAGCTGTAAGCTTGTCACTGCTGGTTTGCAAACAACACCGACCAATTTACCACAGGTGAGCAACTCCCCGGAGATTGCCACTGGGCCAGGCCCCAGGCGGATTTTCTCCCCCTTTGCATGGGTTTGTGACACTTTCACGTCATTTGGACATCCCAGGGCAGCGTCCTTCTGGGAAAACCTGAGTCCACGAATCTCTCTGGTCCTTTGGGTTCGGATAGCCCAAGGCAGAGTTTTCTGGACCACCCACACTGAGAGGCCCTCAAGTTCTTCAGAGCTTTTTAAGTTCTCATGGCAGAGCTTTTACTCAACCCACATAAAGTCCACTCATAATATTGGTGACGGCCAATTATTAGGAGTTTAGAGCCATATTAACTGTTCGGTCCGCAGTAAACAAGTGACGACTTTAAGCTTGACAGACCACGGCCTGTTGCCTCATCTGGTTCTAACCCTGTGGGCTAGACCCCACACCAGATTTTATCTCAGGGACCACTTCCTGTCCTCTCCCCCCAGAAACCATACCTATCTATGGCTTATCACACTGCCAACAAGCTTACAAAACTCTCTATCTTTAAGCCTTTGTTTTGGGAATGTGTCCTTTTCAGCCAGGGTCCCCGTCCCTTTGTCTCCTCCAGGATCCCTCCCCCTCCCCACACTTAAAGAAATAACAGCATCTTCCCTTGCAGCCTTTCAGAGCTTTCTCAGTGTCTCCTTTCCTCCTTGCTATCTCCCCCCCCACCCCCTCACCCCCCCCCCGCCGTGCTGCCAGCATCCCTTTGTTTCCTGTGCATGCCAACCCATTTCCCGCTAAGATAAAAAAACGAGACCAAAACAGTGTTAAACAGTTTTTTTGGCTTTCTCACCACCGCCCCCAAATCCACGCATGGTGGCATGGTGTCTCGGCTCTCTTGCGGCCAGGTCCACACGTGTGTTTGGCTTTAACGCCGCACCCTAATCCGTGCACCCCATGCAATTCCAGCTTTGCGCAGTGCCAGGCTGACATGGTCACAGCTTCACGCTGTGGCCCCACTCTGCCTCCCAATGTCGCCGCCCCTGTGTGCTGTCCCAGCCCCTCCCTCCCCCTTGCACCATCGTGGCCACCTTATGCATTTCCAGGTGCAATCTCAGCCCGCCCCTGCTTGCTGCATCTCGGTGCTCACCCCGCCCACTCTGTGTGTTCCATCTACGGGCTGCATGCCAGAGAGATCCAGCCCCCACCCCCAAGTGCGGGTGGGGGCTCTCTACAAGCACGCTCTGTCTGCCTCAGAGTTCCATCCTGCCTTAGACACTGCACATCTCCCAGGCAGGCGCATTTCCCAGTCAGGCTCCTCCCAAACACAAGTGCCACTTTAAACACAAGCACAGATAGG